ATGTTCCTGTGGCCGGCACCGCCGTCTCCTTTGATGCTAAGGACTTCCTGCACATCAAAGAGGTGAAATTCAGGCTCTATCTATGATGCTAAACCTGTGGCACTGTTTAGAGGGTTGAATTTAGTCCACTTCACCTTGGATTATTCATTACATGAGCAGGAGTGTGTCTAAAGAAGCCTTGTTATATTTTTTGGGGGGATTTTCCCTTTCCTCTAGTGTGTTTTTGTGCATGTAAATGGTCTATTTGAGCTAACCAATCAGAGCAGACTGGGCTCTGGTTTCAGACAGAGGGTGAAAAGAGGTGCTGCAGCACAAAAATAAAGAGCTTTTTGAACATTAAAGCATGGAGACATGTCACAGTAGAGACACTACGAACATACAAATATGAAAAAGGAATATATTTTTTAGTTTGAGTTCACTGTGTATGATCATTAATTTAATTCTAATCCAAAACACACTTTTTAAATGACAGATCGTAAAAGAAAGTCTCCATCTTCCTCCCCCAGAGTAATGTGAAACCCTGAGTTTCTTATTCAAGATTCAAGGCTTTTATTGTCATGTGTACAAAGCTACAGTGTAGAATCTAGATATATCAATGAACATCTTAGCATAAAATAGTTAAAATAGTGCAAGTTTGGGGCTCTCTGCTGGAACTGCTACCTCCGCGACCCGACCACGGATAAGCGGGAGAAGATGGATGGATGGATGGATGGATGGAATAGTGCAAGGAGAGTCTATTTTATTTTATTCTCATCTCTCCGATCTACAGAAGTACAACAACGACTGGTGGATCGGCCGTATGGTGAAAGAAGGCTCTGACATCGGCTTCATCCCGAGTCCTCTGAAGCTGGAGAACATCCGTCTGCAGCAGGAGCAGAAGAGAGGGCGCTTCCACGGGTGAGTGTTACGATATGTTTATTTTATTTTTTGAATTATCACAGTCTGTCGGTTTCCTGTTTTACTTTGAAAGGTGTTCATCCCCTGTCTGTCATGTCTGTATGTGTTTCCTGTCTGTGTTTTCCCTCCTGTCCGACCCATGGATGTATAATAAGACCTGGATACAGCGTGGGAGGCGGGGTCTCGTTCTTTCCTATGAGTGCTGCTCATTGGCGCATGAAGGCAAAATGGCCCAACTTTTGAGAGAGCGAAACTTCACAGATTACCCATCATGCCTAGCTGCCAGAGCAGAAGAACCCGTATGTGCGCTCATAGAGCATGCGCAGTTGAGTTGCCCCTTAAGCCCCGCCCCCCGAGCTCCCACTCTCGGCTCACTAGAATGAATGGAGAGAGAAAATAAATCTAGATTCGGCTTTTAGTGCATTTTACAACTTTAAGGACCTAATGATTATAATAAGGGCTATAACCTAGTTCATACTGGGTAGTTTATTTAGTTAAAAAAATTATCTGCTGATTTACAGACGTCTCTTTCCCAATGTTAGTCAATGGGGAAAAGTCTTTCTGGGCCCAGTGACGTCACGGACTGATATGGAAATTGTAGTACCGCCGTTTGGACACAACGAATATTTTCATCAGAGTCCGGCGCACTTCCTGGGGGCTTGGTCCAACACAGTCTCACAAAAAAACGTGTAATAGCTACGTTGGTCCACAGGGCAAAACGTAGTATATTCACAAATAACCCTCTCAAGACGTGACATGGATACAATATTTGTTCCTATTAATTTCTAATGACCAGTGTCCATGTCACGTTATCGCAAACATTCCCGGTGAGAAGAAAAAACATGGCGGACACCCGATTTATTTTTGGTGGAAAATCCTAAATTGTTGATAGTTTGGCCATTATAATGCTTTTTGATTACATTTCTAGCAAGAAGTTTGTATTGTACTTTTAAAATCTACGTCCAGTGGATGTGTAGGATCCATAGTTTGATAGATATTACGAAGATTATTTGAGCTCCATGTTTTTTTTTACAAAATATTGTCACGTCTTGAGAGGGTTATTTGTGAATATACTACGTTTTGCCCTGTGGACCAACGTAGCTATTACACGTGTTTTTGTTATCCTGTCTGATTATCTGATTCTGTTCACCTGGTGTCTTTGTGTTTTCCCTCCTGTTTGATTATTTGATTATTTTCACCTGGTGAACCTCTTTGTGTTTCCCCTCCCCTCCCATGCTGTGTCTTGTCCTCTTGATTGGTCATGTGTGTATTTAAGTTCTGGTTTTCTGTTGGGGTTTTGTGTTTTTGTACTTAGAGGTAAAGAGAGTACCTGTCTGTTTTGCTTTTTTCCAGTTGCCTTGAATAAAGGTTATTTTCAGTTGAAACATTTGTCTGTCTGCACTTGGGTCCACCCTGCGCTGCTCAACCTTAACAGTGAGTAGCATGGGAGGCCTGGGACTCAGGAGGGTTCATGAAGTGCAGGAATCAGCAGTCTCTGATAGAGCGGATCAAACGGCATAAGGACAGTTGGAGGGTTTGGGGATGAGTGAAGGGATGAGGAAAAGCCTGGCAGTAAAGATGGAGGATAGAGAGGAAGTCAGGTGGATGAAAGCTGAGCTGTGATGTGTGGTCCAACATCTCTGAGGGGAGCTGGGATCCTGCCCACCACTGAATCTTCCACCAGATGGGGTCTGAGTTAAATTAATAAATATATAAGTATTATTACGGACACAGCATAATGAATTGTGTGACCCGCAACATATATTTGAAACACCAAACCCGAGAGAATTTGCAAAAATACCTTTATAGCAACATTATGACTAAATCATGCAAGTCTGGAGGACTGGAGGACAAATGTCACATATTTCTGATCAAACACAATACAATACAAATATTGTAGGAATGACTATTGGTGCTTTCAGAAAATATTAACACTATGAGATTTTTGGTAAATCATAATCAGTAATGTGGAAATACTGACTAATTGTTAAAGGAGACCGATCATGCAAAATGCACTTTTTGATGTCTTTTATACATAAATATGTGTCCCCGGTGTGTCAGGGAACTCACGCAGCGTCAGAAAATAAAACCCTCTCTCTTTTCCTCCGTACCCAAATCTCTAAAAACGGGGCTACAACGGAGCTGATCCAGATTTGCGTCCGATATGACGTAATATCGGAAATGTAGGCTGGCTTTACACCCACGGCACTATCAGAAACATTGCTATCAGAAACAATGCCCGACTGTTTTGGACGTAATATGGCCGGTGCATGTTTACATTAGCATCGCTAACACTCAGAGCTAACCTGTACTGGAGAGCATGTGTGTGAAGAAGCAGGAAATAAAAAGGAACTCACCTTGTGGTATAACCGGCAAGAGAGAAAGCCTTTGAGCTCCATACTGTTTCAGAAATAATCCTTGATAATCCATGATATGGCGTTTCATCACGGCAGCATTTAGTTTAGACAGTAGCTGCCGGGTCCCGCATGAGCTCAGCCCCCTCCTTTTTTATTTGTTATCATTTTTTTTGTATACCCAAAATCAGCACTTTTGAAACAGGAAGTGAAATAGAGGGATATGAGGCATGGCTAGAATGGGTGATCTGTTTGGTATTTTGAGCAAAACACTTCATAGACATTTTTTTTATATATGTGTATATATCTGAGACCTATGCTATTGCCTAAAAATAGCATGATAGGTGACCTTTAAAAAAACAAGAAAAAAAGTAATAGTGCAATATAATGAAATCCAAAATGTAAGGCGGCATGTCGTTTTATATCACAATATCTAGATAATATCAATTTATTACACAGCATACGTGTAATAGTCCTGTGTCAAATGTCTTTTATTCACATTTGGTTAACCTTATAGTGGTTTAGTCGACTAAATATCTGGGCTTTACAGTCTCATCTTCAAGGAAAACTGTAACTGTTACGGTCTAGTTTTAGTATGTTTGAGTCATCAGATTATATTTAACATTTTGATATCTTGTTCTCCCTCCTGCTCTCATCACTAGCAGTAAAACCAGCGCGAATTCCTCCTCGAGTCTGGGAGACATGGTGTCGGGAACATTCAAGCCGAACCCAAACTCTGCAGGTTAGTCCAACAACAACAACAACAACAACAACAACAATAAACGAGTCTCTGTAGATCTGAGAGGAAATGCTGTCCACTGATACACAGATCGTTTATCTCAGGATCTGCACTACCTGTGTCTGTGTCCGCTATGTATTCAGCTCCTGTGATGCTTTATGATGGCTGATGTGATTTCTCATATAGTCACAGTCCAGTATGCAGTAAGCATTTATAACTGATCCTTTTTTTTTTCTTTCAGGAAAGCAAAAACAGAAAGTGGTGAGTATTGCCATTTTCAACTCTATTTATTTTAAATGTAAAAAAAATAATTCAATGAAATTCTTTTTTCAATTTAAATATTTTCCATTCGTTCTAATGTTTTAAACTTTTTAATGTTCACATTTTTATATTTATTTTGTTGGACATTTAATTTGCTTATTTTTTATATCACTAATATAACATGGTTTGTTTTATTCTTGTAAATAATCAAATACAAAAATGAAAAAATAAAATAGTGATAGATTTGTATTTATATGGTGTGGAGTGTTGGTTTTCTTACATTCATATTAACGGTCACCTATTATGCAAAATCCTCTTCTTCATGTCTCTTCTACATCAACATGTGTCCCCTCTGTGTAAAGAGATTCAGAAAGTCTCAGGAACAAAGATTCTCTCTCTTTTTGTCCTGATCCATTTCTATAAAAACCTGTCTGAAAATGAGCTGATCAGATTTTGGCCACTTTATGATGTCATAACGATGTTTTGGCTTGTGTAGCCATTAGCCAATCAGCAACCAAGGTAACCCCCCCCCCCCCTTATCACCTGAATCTCCTCCTAGAGCACCATTGTGTTCTTTTTAACCAAATCTCTCTCAGAGGGGCGTGGGGAGGGGCTCCTTATTTTCATCTAAAGTAACAGACAGAGAATCAGCACTTTAGAAACAGGGCTGAAACAGAGGGGATTATGGGATGCTGCAATGATCTGTTTGGTGTTTCAGCCAATCAGAGACAGGCTCTGGATATATCTGAGACCTATAACATATTGATGAAACCTTTACATTGTGACTGTATGTCCCCCCCCTCCAGGCTGAGCACGTCCCTCCCTATGACGTGGTCCCCTCCATGAGGCCTGTTGTCCTGGTGGGACCCTCCCTCAAAGGTTACGAGGTAAAAGACTCACTGCTGATCCTCCATCAATCTGGCTCTTTCACATGCAGGGATAGGAGGGTTACTTCCAAAATATATTCCTTACAATTACAAGTTACCTGTAAAAAAAGTGTGTTCAGTGACATAATCTTGGCGAAAAGGAAATATGAATAGGTTTTTTGTATATTGAAAGACAACAGGACAATGTGACCTTAGAAAAGAAAATGTATTTAGGATAAAAAATGATTTCATTGATAGTAAAACCTGCCTTTCATTCAGCATATTCAGGCTTTACACCAACACTGAAACACGTGAGCACATACTACAGTTTAAAAAAGCAGAAATAAAATCTGAGCTGACAGAAAATGCTCCGTTTAAGTTTAACACACACACTATTTTATGAACACATAGGTTCACCTGCTGAATTAAAAACAGAACAAATGAAGCAAAGAAAGTGAAAACCAGAGGAGGAAGAGGAGGAGGTATGAGAAAGAGTCAGTTGTCATGGAATCACAGTCTCCGCCTCCCATTCCGGTGTTGCCGTGGTAACAACCTTCTGGGTAAACTGCATAGGTCTGAAAAAAAAAAGTGGAGCATGGTTTGAAATGAGAAAACAGAGATGAATGTGTTCTGCTCTGAGGTCTGTCGGACTGAGATGAGAGGCTGAACGGTGTTTAATGTTTCTACAGGTAGAGTGGAGAGTTCAGCTTTTTAATGACATCAGATCAGACGGCTCATTGTGATGACTCCATGTCAGACAGCACTTCAGACGAGCCAACAATAAACATCATGACGTACAAGATCTCTGGCTTTTTATTTGTTGCCAGTATAGGAGAGGCTTATTTTTGTGGCCCTATTAGGCTTTTTGGGGGTTTTCCCTTTCCTGTAGTGTGTTATATTTATATAGCTTTGTGTGCATGTAAATGGTCTGCAGATGCTAAAATCCCTGTTTTTTTTTACTTCTTTGTTTACGATTAAGATCAACCTTTACTAATCCCAGAGGGGAAATTCCGATTTCTACTTCCGTAACACAGTGACGTCACTATGTAACACTTGCGCTTCTATTGGCTAGCGCTCCAACACATTGTACGTGATAGGATAAGGGGCGGTTGACCAATCACAACAGAGCCGGCCAGCTAACCAATCAGAGCAGACTGGGCTCTGGTTTCAGACAGAGGGTGAAAAGAGGTGCTGCAGCACAGGCAGTATGAGAAAAATAAAGAGCTTTTTGAACATTAAAGCCTGGAGACATGTCACAGTAGAGACACTACATACTGATATACACCTGAACATCAGCAGGAGAGGACTCTTTAAAGTAGAGACACTACATACTGATATACACCTGAACATCAGCAGGAGAGGACTCTTTAAAGTAGAGACACTACATACTGATATACACCTGAACATCAGCAGGAGAGGACTCTTTAAAGTAGAGACACTACATACTGATATACACCTGAACATCAGCAGGAGAGGACTCTTTAAAGTAGAGACACTACATACTGATATACACCTGAACATCAGTAGGAGAGGACTCTTTAAAGTAGAGACACTACATACTGATATACACCTGAACATCAGCAGGAGAGGACTCTTTAAAGTAGAGACACTACATACTGATATACACCTGAACATCAGCAGGAGAGGACTCTTTAAAGGAGAGACACTACATACTGATATACACCTTAACATCAGCAGGAGAGGACTCTTTAAAGTAGAGACACTACATACTGATATACACCTGAACATCAGCAGGAGAGGACTCTTTAAAGTAGAGACACTACATACTGATATACACCTGAACATCAGCAGGAGAGGACTCTTTAAAGTAGAGACACTACATACTGATATACACCTGAACATCAGCAGGAGAGGACTCTTTAAAGTAGAGACACTACATACTGATATACACCTGAACATCAGCAGGAGAGGACTCTTTAAAGTAGAGACACTACATACTGATATACACCTGAACATCAGCAGGAGAGGACTCTTTAAAGTAGAGACACTACATACTGATATACACCTGAACATCAGCAGGAGAGGACTGTTTTATTTTCTGCAACAAATATTTCAAGCAAACTTTTAACTTGTTCAAATCTGCAGAAACACTAAAAAAGAGACAGCTACTGTTTTGATTCAAGGCCTCAGACATGAAGTCCTACTCGTCAGGAGAGACTATATTAGAAGCTGCACTTTGCATTTCCCCCAATTCATCATCTGTGCATCGGTTTTTGCGACACTTCTCATTGTAACTGCTCTGCCGAGAGAGCTGAAAGGAAAGAGACTGCAGACGAATCGCTCGGTGTGTAAGAGTGTGTAATTCACAGCTGCAACCTGAATACACACCAACAGAATGAATAATATGAGTCCACTTAAACTCGTTTAGCTTGATTCTTCTTCTTCTCCTCTTCATGGCTGTAGGTGACAGATATGATGCAGAAGGCGCTGTTTGACTTCCTGAAGCACAAGTTCGACGGGAAGTGAGCAACCATACATACAGAGAAGTGTCATATATTGAGTCATCCTCCTGCCAGTTTCCTCTGTATGACGTGTGTGTGTTTCGTTTCAGGATATCCATCACAAGGGTAACAGCTGACATATCGCTGGCCAAGAGGTCAGTACTAAACAACCCCAGTAAGAGGGCCATCATTGAGAGATCCAACACCCGCTCCAGCCTGGGTAAAGCTCACTGTTCCACTCAATGATGTGCATGTGTTGTGGGTGAATGCCACTGAATGGATGGTTATAACCAGGGTTGAGTTCTGTTACAATAACTAGTTACATGTGGAAGAAATGTAATTAGTAACCTAATCCAAGTGTCGCAATATAGGAGTAATCTAACTAATTATTTTCTGTTCCTTTTGGATTACTTTAAAGAGGCTCTATTATGCTTTTTAGTATTTTCCCTTTCCTGTAGTGGTTAATATAGGTTTTTGTAAATGGTATGCAAAGGCTAAAATCCCAAATGTCTCACCCTGCCTGAAACGTCTCCATTGGACTACTTTGTTTTCCTGAACAAAGTGACATCACTATGTAACAATTGCGCTTCTATTGGCTAGCGCTCCAACACATTGTACGTGATAGGCTAAGGGGCGGGACATCTCTAAGCGGTTGACCAATCACAACAGAGCTGGCCAGCTAACCAATCAGAGCAGACTGGGCTCTGGTTTTAGACAGAGGGTGAAAAGAGGTGCTGCAGCACAGGCAGTATGAGAAAAATAAAGAGCTTTTTGAACATTAAAGTAGAGACACTACATACTGATATACACCTGAACATCAGCAGGAGAGGACTCTTTAAAGTAGAGACACTACATACTGATATACACCTGAACATCAGCAGGAGAGGACTCTTTAAAGTAGAGACACTACATACTGATATACACCTGAACATCAGCAGGAGAGGACTCTTTAAAGTAGAGACACTACATACTGATATACACCTGAACATCAGCAGGAGAGGACTCTTTAAAGTAGAGACACTACATACTGATATACACCTGAACATCAGCAGGAGAGGACTCTTTAAAGTAGAGACTCTACATACTGATATACACCTGAACATCAGCAGGAGAGGACTCTTTAAAGTAGAGACACTACATACTGATATACACCTGAACATCAGCAGGTGAGGACTCTTTAAAGTAGAGACACTACATACTGATATACACCTGAACATCAGCAGGTGAGGACTCTTTAAAGTAGAGACACTACATACTGATATACACCTGAACATCAGCAGGAGAGGACTCTTTAAAGTAGAGACACTACATACTGATATACACCTGAACATCAGCAGGAGAGGACTCTTTAAAGTAGAGACACTACATACTGATATACACCTGAACATCAGCAGGAGAGGACTCTTTAAAGTAGAGGCACTACATACTGATATACACCTGAAGATGAGCAGAATATGGCCCCTTTAATATACTGTATGCCACAGCGTGAAATGACTGTTTATAACTCGCACTTTAAATGTTTTTGTGTTATATTGTTGTTGTCTTGATGCAGCGGAGGTCCAGAGTGAGATAGAGAGGATCTTTGAGCTGGCCCGGTCTCTACAGCTGGTCGTGTTGGACGCAGACACCATTAACCATCCTGCACAGCTCATCAAGACGTCATTAGCACCCATCATCGTCCACGTTAAAGTGTCCTCACCTAAGGTAGGATCGCAGGCTTAGATACCAACCATCCAACAAAACTTGCAGTATAATCGGGGTTGGGATGTTTACTTTAAAAACTATTACTAGCAACCTGTAAACAAATGCAATCAATAACCTAATCTGAGTATCAAAATATAAAAGTAATGTAACCTGATTACTTTCAGTTTTGGATTACCTCAATATCAAATGCAATGCTAAGAATATTCATACAATATGTCCTATATATATGTTGCACTGTTGGAGGAGCCTGTGACCTACGTTTTTCATTGCCATCTACACTGTAGCTAATGTGCACATGACAATAAAGCCTTGAGTCTTATCTTGACTTTAAAATGTATGTTCTAATGTATATTTGCTTGCCACAGGTCCTTCAGCGGCTGATCAAATCAAGAGGGAAATCTCAAAGCAAACACCTGAACGTGCAGCTTGTTGCAGCGGAGAAACTATCACAGTGTCCTTCTGTGAGTCAACTTCAAACTTTTATATCCAGAATTAAGCAGCAACTCCTTACTTTTACCAGATGTGAGACTTTCCTCCCTTTTTCATCCCTGGTAGACCCCCCCCCCACACACACAATAACACCCTTTGTTGTTACATTACATGTCATTTGTTAGACACTTTTATCCAAAGCGACTTACATACATTCAGTACTGTGGACAAACCCCACAGGAGCAATTTGGGGTGTAGTGTCTTGCCCAGGGACACAACGACATGCTGACTGCAGTGGGACTCGAACTTGTTATCCCCTGATTCGAAGTCCAGCACACTACCCACTGAGCCACAGCCTCCTGTTAAAATACCAACCAACTATGTGCAATATGTGCAATATATATATATATGCCGTTAATAACTGCGCAATTTATACCTGGCTGCTAAATCCTCAGAACTGTTACAGGATGTGTTTTTTGAACTTTTTTTAATTGTAATTCTTTTATCTTTAACACTTTTGTATGCATGCTTCTTAGGTAACATTAAGCTGTCTTTGGCTCTTTTTCTCCTGTAACAATGTAAATGTCCCCTCTGTGGGACTAATAAAGGTATTCTGATTCTGATTCTGATCCCCTCCGCCCCTTTAGGAGATGTTTGATATCATCCTGGATGAGAACCAGCTGGAGGATGCGTGTGAACACCTGTCAGAGTACCTGGAGGCGTACTGGCGTGCCGCTCACACTTCACTGAGCACGCCTCTCAACCCCCTGCTGGGCCGCAATCTGGGCTCCACTGCGCTCTCTCCGTACCCTGCTGCCATCCAGGTAGAAAACTATTTAGTATTCACTTTAGTTTGGTTTAAAGCCTGACATCCCTGATCATTTATTACTGCGCTGAAAGAACTGAAACGTTTACTTTAATTCAATGTACCATGTCAACAGATTTCACATAACTGTATGTGGTTAGCTGAAAGCAAAAATATGAAGTTCAGCTTAATAATATTGCTTTCAACTAACCTAATAGAGTTATATGAAATGTCAGTTTTTTTATGTGTGTGTTTATATGCTTACCTGTTCAATTAATGCCATTTAAATATAACTTTTATCGTGCGTGTTGACAAGGCATTGCACATGAGTAAGAAATAAGATAAAATAGAAAATATTATAGTAATATAGTAACAGTAGAAAGATGAAGTTGTATCAAATAACTTTATTGAGTACACAATATAAAGAAATACACATTATACATTTACAGAATAAGTAAGTACACACTATAATGGACTCAACTACTTCTAACAAATTATACAATATAAAATAAATAATACAAATAAACATTAACACTAAAAATATACATGTATAGGTAGAAAATATACAATATACTGTACAGTATACAGTACAGTAATATACATAATAAGCTAATACACATGGGTACAACTAACAAGATATCAAATATACATTAAACATAAAACATAGGCCACTGTGTACATTATACAATATAAAATAAAATGAAATAAATAACATATAATAAACGTACTTAACATGTCATTAATTCTGTTATTTTGACTTAGTTAAATACGTTTAAATATGTTTTTCTCTTCTCTTTCTGCCAATGTCTTGAGACCCTATTTTGGGTTTTCTATGACGTGTTTTTTTGTTGTTGAAAATGTAATAAACTCAAACTCATTAAATATATATGTTCTCCCTGAAACAGGCTCAAAGAAACCGCAACAGCAACCACACGACAGCAGACCTTTCTCCTGTGGAGCACCGCAGCCTGATGGCCGCCGACGAGAACTACCACAACGAACGAGCGCGGAAAAATCAAAACCGCTTGTCCTCCGGATCGCAACACAGCCGAGACCACTCCCCTCTGGTGGAGGAGGAATATCAGGACCCCTACCAGGATGCTTACCATCCGCATCGTAACCGAGGATCCCCAGGAGGATACAGCCAGGACTCCAGGCAGCGGCACTGATCTGTAAATCTAAACAAAGTGTAGGATGTGGACAATAAAGGCAGATTTGTGATGAAACTACTACATTCATTTGGACTGTAACAACCCTTTGTCGATGTGTAGTACCTTCATTTCTCCTGTTGGGCCTCGGCTCCTGCCAATTGAGCATTTGAACTTTAAAAAAAGAGTAAGAGTCCTGCTCTTGCTTTGTGATGTGAACCAAGGGAAAGGGACTGGTTGAGAAAGTAGCACAAGAGCAAGTTTTTAAAATGAGCTAATCTGAATACGCCCCAGATGTGAAGTACACTAGCAGGTGATAGTGTGTGACGTATCAGCTGTTACAGTAGCATGCAGAAAGGACAGGTCACTTCCTGACTCAAAACAGTGCCACAAAGGACCAAAAGGTGATGCTCAGCACATAACCTGTTTGCACGCGTCCAAAAGCAGGTTTAAGAAGAGTATAATGCATCTTTTAAAGTTTGTTTGTCTGCGATGTGAGTGTAATAAATCTGTTTTGAGTTTCACACATTTGCTTTTGAAGTGACATGAATGTTGTTGTGGTGACCTCTTCAGGGTTCATACGGTAGCTCCCTGAGCCATCTCTTTGTTATTTTGGGATGCCATTTACCGTATCAATACAGAAAGGTAAAAAAGGAAACATGCAGATACATATTTCATAGCTCCAAACCTCAGGAATGAGAGGTCATTTAGACCTAGAAGTGTGCGGACAGATGTAGCGTTTATCACCCATGTGAGGGGGAATCAATTCTATGTTGAGTTGTAAAGGGATTAATGATTTAGTTGTTTCAAGAAAATATATATTACTATATCTAAGGAACTCTTCCAGGATAATAAGTTGTCATGCCAGCATGTTTCTCATGTGCCATGCATTTATCAGCAGTTTCCTGTCATGTGATTGGCTGGGCATCATTTGGGAAAAGATGGAGTTAGATTTTAGCAAGTGACTTATATTGAGGGCTTCCGTGTGTAAATTCAGTAAAAAATTATTGAACAGAAACTTTAACTTATTAAAATGTTCACTTTCAGTACAGACAATGACAGTCCAATCATTACTTATTTTCAGAGCCTTGCATACACCTTCAAACATTTGATTTAGAAAAAAACATACTTGTTGTAAAGAAGAACTAAATTAACATTGAGTAGCAATCTATCAGGCATCCATGTTCATGTTTTCAGCTGAAACCTTTTCTTTGTATTTAATTTGAGATGCATTACAGACTCCTATTTGAAAGCACTTGGGCAGGATGGCTGTATTTGTCAAAATGTGTTTTACTTTAACAGCAGTTCCTGACATGTTCTTAATCAGATGCACTTGTATGCTGCCAGCTGATACAGGATCAATATATCATACTGTAAGCCTTTAATGACATGTATCTTGTAACTAAATGTTTGTTGAAGTTCACGAGTTTTTCAACATTCCTTCCTGCTCGTTTAGGCCAGAGATCTCAATTGTGCTTCAGAGAGTCTGGAAGAGAAAGACCAACAAGGAGACTTTTGTTCTTATCTGCCATATACAGTAGCTTTTATTGATGTTGTTTCAAAACTCTGAGGCAACAATTTAAAAGATTTCAATCCTGCCTGTGTGAGAATGATGCATTGATTAGAGAATTTGTGTGCGCTGTAATTTTACAATTGTAATGAAATAAACTGCCCTTATGCTGTTGTACATAAACACACAGTTTGTCTTTATTGCTCCATATATCTTAAGAAAATATAACATATATATATATATATTTGTATTGATAAATCTTTCAATCAGTGGGATTACAAGATTACAAAAATGACATTTTCCAGAGCTTAAAGCCATGCCTTGAATGTCTTGCTTTCCTTGAATTATATAACTCAAAGGAGTTAAGATGATTGGTGTATAAAATATTTGTTTTTTAAAGGTTAAAAACCAGAGAATTTCTGCTATTTTGCAGGTCAACTAATTCATGTATTGACTGATTGTTTCAGTACAACATAATCATTCACTAGTTCAACATACTATTTAGAATTGTCTGTGTCTGCAGTAGTCAATAATTAGTAAACATGGACATAATATAGTATTATTGCTTTTTGTGTGTTTGTTTTCATTTTCCTAAAGTCATTATCAATCTATAATGTAAAAACGGTATGGTATGATTAACTGTATGGGCAACTTCTTCCACCTTCTACCTACATTTGACCACTGCTCACAGACTGTCAGAGGTGGGAAATAACTAAGTACATTTACTTTTACTTGTGTTACTTTAAGTATAGTGTAATGCCAATACTTTTACTTCAGTTACTTGTACACACGCACACGATCTGAGTACTTCTTCCACCTCAATTGTGTGTACATAATTTGCCCCAATAGGATTGTGCCTGTACGCATGCGCAGATGTTGACAGCTAACTAGCGCAGCGCACTTCACAACAGCAGCTGATGCTAGCTCAGCGGCTACCGTTTCGCTTTTCTTTTCGGGAAACAATTAACCTACACACTCAAATGTACCATCCTGCGTGAGGGGAACTATCCAGAAAAATTCACACGAGTATGGCGGTTGTACTTAAAAGCCTTGACAGCTCGTGTGTGTAGTTAGCTAGCTGGCTGGCTAGGTAAAGTTGATAGCACTGATTAGCATCAACGCTAGCTAGCTCCACGGATTCTTTACAAGCTGGCATCGAAACACCTAACCGTCAGCCATGGGGATACTATTCACGAAGCTATGGAGGCTTTTTAATCATCAAGGTAAGAATGGTGAAGTGACATTTATTATGAATTTGTCGAGGACATGAGATGGTGGTCAGTAAGTGAGGCCCGTTGTGACAGCCAGGTCTGATCCGTTCATATTAGCCTCAGAAACAGCCCTTTATACACCAGTGTGTGAGCAGGGGTTTAATGTAGTGAACAGAGATGGAAGAAGTACTCAGTATCTTGTACTTAAATACAAGAAGAAGTACCAGAGTGTAGGAATACTCTGTTACATTAAAAGTCCTGCATTCAACATCTTACTCAAGTAAAAGTACAAAAGTATTGGCATCAAAATATATTTAAAGTACCAAAAGTAAAAGTACTCATTATGCAGATTGGACCATTTCAGAATAATATATTACATATGTTATGATTTAAAGAGAAGTACACAGAGATGGGATAAGTACTCAGATCCTTTACTCAAGTAAAAAGTACATAGTATATTGTCTCTTTTCACAGTGACATATTATTAAAGAATATTTTGTTATTCTGTTTTTTGTATCCAACCAGAGGTGGAAGAAGTACTCTTGGACTTAAGGTAAAGTAGAAGTACCCGAGTGTAAGAATACTCTGTTACAAGTAAAAGTCCTGCATCAAAATCTACTTAAAGTGCCAAAAGTGAAAGCACTCATCATGCAGATTAGCCCATTTCAAAATCATATTTGATTGATTATAATTATTGATGCATTAATGTGTTTATCACAGCTGGTAAATGTGCTGCTCATTTTAATGTCTTTGTATGCTGCAGGGTAGCTTGTGTATTTTACTCCAGGTAATTATAATTATTCTGTACTTAATTGTATTCAGAAATGGGTCATTGTGCAGAATGAATACTTCTACTTTTTGTACTCTTCTATATACCTTACTTTTACTCTAAAATCAGGACTTTTACTGGTATGGGATTATTTTAAAACCATAGAATTTGTACTTTTACTTGAGTAAAGGATCTGAGTACTGTAGTGAGTAGTGATGAATACTGCTTTCTACACTCGCGTTTCTGCATTAACTTAGTGTTAGATTATTTATTGGAGGGAGGGTTATGTGAACCTGATACTGATCCTGAATCAGTAAACAGGTAGGTCTGTGCTAACCCTCTGTAACACGAGTCTCTGTACGCTGCAGCCCTCAGTATATTATGACTAGAGATGGCTACACAGCACAGCACACTGAAAGCAGCCACATCAGCAGAATGTCACAGCCAATAAGGATCTGTGAATGACTTCAGAGGGAATCACATTGACTTTGCACTGTAACCACATCACCTTATCAGTGTAATGTCAGCAGTACAGTTTACCCATCTAGTCACACTTGGGTTGGTTTCTCTAAAACAGGAATTAGTTCAATTTCCACCATACAGTTTTAATTAGTCATGGCTCGAGAGCAGATCACATGGGGACATCCTGTTGGGTGTCATTTGTGAACAAGATGTGGGTGAACATTATATTATATCTCCTGTTGATCTTGGTGCAGTGACTTTTGCAATCTAACTTGTTCAATTTAATCAAGAGTACCAGTGTTTACTGTCAACATGCATACAACAAATACCTGATTGGTCAATCAACAGATTATGAACACTGACTTGTTGCTTTAATCAGTGTTATACAGTGACTATCTAAGTTGTTGGCTATTACTTGGATATCTTCTGACAAATTACAGGGACAATACCTCAAAAGAGTTATTGTTATAATAATAAAAAGGCCAACTAACATTTGATTTCCTCCAAAATGTCCATCAAACATTGGCAAAAGCTGTACTAATGATCGTTTCTTTGTCTTGCTATTCATTCATAGCTCCTAGCTCTGTTAGATCATCTCTGTTTAGCTTCTATCCATCATGTCAGTGGGGTCTTTAAGGCTTTTGTTGTAACCCCTGGATCTAGCCCCAGTCTCAGGAAGTCTTACCAACATGTCCCCAGTTGATTGATTCAACACGGGAACAACAGACGTTCATTCACAGGGAGGAGGGCATGTGATCAGACATTAAAGACTTGCTTATTCATGTTCATCAGAAGTGTTACAAGGCCTTAAAGCAGTGTTTCCGCCAGACCAGGGCTGAGAGGGCGTCCACCGTCGTGTCACGTGAATTTTGAATTGAGCCGTCCCTTAAGTTATAGATACTATCTCTTTACGTATTAGTGATGGGAATTCCGGCTCTTTTTAGTGAGCCGGATCATTTGGCTCTGCTCACTAAGAAGAGTCTTTCGGCTCCTAAACGGCTCTTCATGTTACCACAGTTTACCACGGAGCCTCAGTTTCGCCGCTGCGAGGCTCCGGCGCTCGCAGTTCACGCGCGTGCTCCACTAGCACCCCCCGTCAAGGCTCGCCGGCAGTACACTTTCCGTCACAGGAACACGCTTTGCTGGCGGCGAAAATAATCCCACCAGACTCCTTTGCCCCTCCAACACAGGGATGTCCTTGTCCTTTTTCCTTTTCGTCATTTCAAGCTATAAAAACTCGATCTTCTCTCGAATTATTATTTTTTTTGGACGCCCTCGGCTCGAGTTCAGGAGTTCAGTTCAAATGACGGCAAGACGCCCCCCTGGCGGAAACGCTGCCTTAAAGGCAATGGTAGTGAACTCCTACGCAACATTATGGTCACAGACTTGGTGTTTGTTCCAAAAACATTTTTGTAAAGCATTTTAATTTCTATATTTTCTAAAGCATTTATTATATTCAGTGTTTTAAGGGATCATGAAGACTAAGCCAGCGTATCCCCTACTCATTGGGCGACAGGTGGGGTACATCTCTAGAAATGTAGAGACAAACACATTCACACTTGCGGTATAAAATAAGGGTCGGATTATGAAGAAAAATCACTTTTGCATTGGCTGAGCACTCATTTTCATGGATTTTGCTTACAGTTACAGCACAAATCAGCATCAGTTTACAAAGTATTGTCATTGCAACATTCACACTAATCTTTTCTTGCAAAATATATCAAATTGTTGCTCGTTCCACCCACTTTTCCTTCACTTTCTTCTCATATTTGATAGTAAATCGACCATCTGTTCTGCAGGTCGGACAAAACAAACAATGAAAAGGCGTTGCTTTTGAACTTTGGAATATTGTATTATGAGCATCTTACATTTAATGCAGAACCGTTTGTTGCAGAAGTTCTTTTTAAATGTAAGAAACTCATACAGCCCACTTATCCGCCCACATTTAAAGATGTTTACTGTTCCTTTTCTTAGAATCATGCGTATCAGCTTAGCTCACACCTGCATGAGCTAACACGTCCTTTTTTTTTTTTGCCTTCTCCAGCTGCACAATACTGTAGTGTGACCTCCAAACTCTGAAGATAGTATAGCTGCTTGTTATGGCTATGCATGCAGTTTGCAAAATATGTTTTGTTTCCTTCTGAAGTGCTTCTTGCCTACACAGCTGTTTGGGGTTTTTGTTAAGGGTTCATCTGGTTTAACTTTAGCTATTTAGCAAGTAGGTGGTTTCACTTCCTTAAGACTTAGAGAGGTTTGAGTTTCTCTTGTAACAGCCCTACCTTAACTCTGTGGTAACTTAAGTAATCATGTTTAATCAAATAAAAGTTCACACTAGGACTTACTTTAATTTCACTGTATTGTGTATTTAAGAGAGGACAGGTAAAGGAGCTGAAGGAACGTTATGGAGCACATCTTATGAATCATTTTATTTGGTTAAATTCATTTTAGCTGTCTCAATCTGTGAAAGGCAGGTGTAATGCTGTAATATATTGGTCTTTCATAGAACTGTCTTTTCTAGAATATTTTATATTTGGTATTCTTTGTGGTTCATGTAGTTTTTTACCTTTCTATATATTTTTTCTAACTTGTTTTTCCTAATGCGTTTTCCATAGATATAGATTATTTTGTATTTATTTTTGCTCTAATTATACATAGCAGTTTGCAAAGCTTGAAACACCAGACTCAACATGCTAATGCTGTGATTCGTTAGGAAGTATGCTATCATTCAGATTCAATGTGTGGTCTGCGGTCATGCGTTCGGCCACGTTTCCATTAAACTTCATTGTTATGCAGTTCCTGGAAAAAGCTATTTAAAGGTGAGGCTTTCTTTACAATAGCTTTGTGCATTCCTAAATTCCCCTCACACTTTGGGCATAAAGGCTCAGACACTCCAAACCAGTGTTTAGGAGAGCCGGCTCTTTCGGCTCCTAAACGGCTCTTCATTTTACCACGGAGCCTAGGGCTGCACGATATTGAAAAAAACTGACATTGCGATTTTTATTCCCCCTGCGATATATATATTGCGATATGAAAACATACGGGAATTGAAGAAAATACCGTTTTTTTTCCCCGCAAACCATCCTTTCTTGAACTTTAATGCTATACAATTGGTATTTTTTTAACTATATTTAACCGGATGAAGGATTTTAGTCACGGACGTCTGGATCTTAAGTTATCAGAGCAACAAGCTGAGCTAGCTCGGTTAGCAGCGCAGAACTGTCCTGGAGAAACACATGAAACTACTTTATTCAGTGTTTTTACCTTTAATCACCGGGTCCGTTTGCTTTGGAGATTTGATTGTGATTGGTGGTTTGCTGTCACTCACTCAAGTACCCCTGACATGAGAGCCGCGCAAGTTTTCCTTTTGTAGCAAGCAGCAAAATAATTGTAACATGACGTGTTTGAGTTAATTTGCCTACTTAATATCGCACGTCCTAAACTTTTTTTTTTTAAATGTAAAAACACGATGTGAATATCGCGCATGCGCATATCGCGATTATCGTCACGACACGATATATCGTGCAGCCCTAACGGAGCCTCAGTTTCGCCACTGCGAGGCTCCGGCGCTCGCAGTTCACGCGCGTGCTCCACTAGCACCCCCCGTCAAGGCTCACCGGCAGTACACTTTCCGTCACAGGAACACGCTTTGCTGGCGGCGAAAAGAATCCCACCAGACTCCTTTGCCCCTCCAACACAGGGATGTCCTTGTCCTTTTTCCTTTTCGTCATTTCAAGCGATAAAAACTCTCAATCTTCTCTTGAATTATTATTATTTTTGGACGCCCTCGGCTCGAGTTCAGGGCGTTCCGAGCTGAATAAGGGCGTCAAATTACGGCAAGACGCCCCCCTGGCGGAAACGCTGCTCCAAACCTACATCAAAGAACAAGAGGAGACAAAGGTTGAAGGTTTTTGTAAAATATAGCTGAATGAAGTTATGTTGAAGCAGGCTCCGAGAGTTATGCTGTGCAAATATATACTTATACAATACCTAACTTAAAAGCCAGACACAATATTGATAATGCTTTCCCTCCTTTGTCTTGGGAACAAGAACTATACAGTTGCTGCATTTTGATGTACTTGAGAATTCAACTAAATCAAAACTAGTTTGTGCACAGGGACTTTCCTTCATGTGTTTGTGTGTGATTGCAACCAGGGATGCACCATCACCAGGAGGTTTATTGAAATCACAATATGGACTATTGCACTTTCCAAATTGCAGTTATGAGCGTAATTGTTAAAGGCATGGGCTCAGAATATCATTTTCAATCATAATGTGAATACTGCTTCAAAAACTTTAATTTGGTCTAATATTACAAATCATATAGCAATTACAATATCACTCAAAATAAATGTTTTTTTTCAGATGTAGCCGTATCTGCAACACTTTAAGTAGACCAAGTGTTAAAGGTCACCTATTATACTGTTTTTCCCTTGGTTGGTGATTGGCTAATGGTTACACAAGCCAAAACATCGTTATGACATCATAAAGTGTCCAAAATCTGATCAGCTCATTTTCAGACAGGTTTTTATAGAAATGGATCAGGACAAAAAGAGAGACAATTCAATTCAATTCAATTCAATTCAAAACCTTTATTTATCCAGGTGAAATCCCATTGTTCCTGAAACTTTCAGAGTCTCTTTCCACAGAGGGGACACATGATGATGTAGAAGAGACATGAGAAATTGATTTTGCATAATAGGTGACCTTTAAGATAAGTCTGAAAAGCCATACTTTAAAATCCTTCAAAGGAACAGAAATATGTACAGTAGGTACAATGTGTGCTTGATCACTTTCTGTCATGTGTTAGCTTCCCTAAATAACCGTAACTAAAAAAACACCAACCAGTCTTTGTTCCTCATCTGTCCTCTGTGTCACAGGATCTGAAACATGGCAACGTAATTAAGTTCCAGATTTAAGGAGAACCTTAAGTGCTGTTGAAGCTTGACGCTGGGTATTATACCCCAAAGGATTTATGGAAAAGCAACCAGCACTTAGATCCCTCATGCGGTGCAATCTTGCCTTCTGTCCTTGAAAAAGAACACCTTACTTTCTTCTTGACTTTATTGTATTAACGGCAAGGTTTTAATTCATCGTAGTTGTCACATCCTGTTAGTCTTCTTCAGGTTAAGCCTCTTTCTATGTGTGGAGGGAATATGTGTCCTCTCGACAGCTGCTGCTCGGTGTCGCCTGATTGTATAAGTCTTTTAAAAACGACCCACTAACACATCTGTAGCTGTGAAAGTACACCGTTCACAGCAGCACAATGTGTCTGTTATACTAGATGTGTGAAGCTCCAGTACACACTTTGGTACTGAAGGATACAGCTGCACACAAAAAGAGCTGCTGTTTGGTTCTCTCAATGCAGTCTCACACACAAAAAGCCATCTTTTAAACATATTTCTCTGTGAACTCTTTCTAAGTGTCTTCTTTTTTCTGCCTTTCAGAACACAAAGTTATCATTGTAGGTCTGGACAATGCTGGCAAGACCACAATCCTTTACCAGTTGTAAGTATCCAAACAACACAGCGAGCTTATGTCTCATAGTTTCAATCCATTCGTAATATGAGAAATAAATGGATCAATGAGTTTGTGAACGTTGCTTGTATTATGTGTGTATATATATACTGTATGTGTACATATATCTGTGTACGTGTGTGTATGTATATATAGCATTTTGCTTATCTATCTGTGTATTTATATACATACGCACATGAAAATCCACCTACATTTGCAGTATATAATATTTGGGTCCCTGACCAAAAACGTTGAACCTGGATGACGAGTGGGAGGGCTTTTTTCTTTATAAGATTTGTTTCTGCCCCCCTGCTTCTACAAATGTTCTGTTTCATTCATCATGCTGTCATAATATTGAATTGGATTAGTTGAATAAAAACAAGATTGTTGCTTGTGTTACCCATAACCTAATTCTTTTCCCACTCTGTTTATAGTTCGATGAATGAGGTGGTACACACCTCGCCTACAATTGGGAGCAACGTGGAGGAGATTGTCGTCAACAACACCCATTTCCTGATGTGGGACATCGGGGGCCAGGAGTCCCTCAGGTCATCGTGGAATACCTACTACACAAACACAGAGGTAATGCAGAGTTATATGTGGGCTCACTGCTAATCGGAATAATTGTGGGACTTCCTTTTGTATTCAGAGAAATTGGTAAAAACAGTTTGAACATGAGCTAGGAAACATAATTGTCCAGGCACATATATTGGCTGATATACATTTACTACAGGTATATTATTTGGTCTAAATATGTTGGCCAATAAGTAATTACATATTCCATAACAGAAATGATGGTTTGTCCCATTGACATGGTGTCTAACAGAGAATGCTGACAATTTGTTATTAAAAACATAAAATATACCACTTTTCTTTGGGATCTTCATCAAGATGGTTGGTTTGAGGTAAATAGAAACAGATTACTATCAGCCAATAAATGAATATCTGATTTTTTAAACTTGCCACAAACAAGCTGTGACTGTAGGTTCTTCTGTGGATTGTTTTCACAGGCATTTAAACAAAAATAGAGAATGTATTCTGGCTATAATGCTGTCGAGTGTTGATGCAGTTTGTATGGTGCTCTGCTTACAGTCTGGTGAAGTTAAAATGTCTCTTAATGTCCATTATTTCTCTCCATCTTCTCTGGGTAGTTCGTCATCGTGGTGGTGGACAGCACCGACAGAGAAAGGATCTCCGTGACCAAAGAGGAGCTCTGCAGGATGCTAGCGCATGAAGTGAGTATCATGAAAACAATCATTCTTAATTATCTTCAACTAAAGTTCCAAGCTTCATTTCAACAAAGTTTTAAATTACTTTTCTTTGAGACATAGCCATCATTTTCACATCATGAAGTATCTTGACCCTCTCCTCTGTCTTCGTCTCTTTCCTGTCCTTCAGGATTTAAAAAGGGCGGGAGTGTTGATCTTCGCCAACAAGCAGGATGTGAAGGGGTGCATGTCTGTGGCTGAAATCTCCCAGAGCCTCCAGCTCACCTCCGTCAAAGACCACCAGTGGCACATCCAGGCCTGCTGCGCCCTCACTGGGGAGGGGTGAGAACTGCACCTAATACTCACTCGCTATATTAGATTAGTCAAAAATGTATACTCAAACTTTGGTGCGTTTATGTAGTCAAAATGTTGCTGTATAGAGCTGTCACCTATCATGCAAAGTCCACTTGTTCATGTCTCTTCTACATCAACATGTGTCCCCTCTTCCTCTGTCTCTTCTTCATCAACATGTGTCCCCTCTTCTTCATGTCTCTTCTACATCAACATGTGTCCCCTCTTCTTCATGTCTCTTCTACATCAACATGTGTCCCCTCTTCTTCATGTCTCTTCTACATCAACATGTGTCCCCTCTTCTTCATGTCTCTTCTACATCAACATGTGTCCCCTCTTCTTCATGTCTCTTCTACATCAACATGTGTCTCCTCTTCTTCATGTCTCTTCTACATCAACATGTGTCCCCTCTTCCTCATGTCTCTTCTTCATCAACATGTGTCCCCTCTTCTTCATGTCTCTTCTACATCAACATGTGTCCCCTCTTCTTCATGTCTCTTCTACATCAACATGTGTCCCCTCTTCTTCATGTCTCTTCTACATCAACATGTGTCCCCTCTTCTTCATGTCTCTTCTACATCAACATGTGTCCCCTCTTCTTCATGTCTCTTCTTCATCAACATGTGTCCCCTCTGTGTAAAGAGACTCTGAAAGTTTCAGGAACAAAGATTCTCTCTCTTTTTGTCCTGATCCATTTCTATAAAAACCTGTCTGAAATGAGCTGATCAGATTTTGGCCACTTTATGATGTCATAACGATGTTTTGGCTTGTGTAACCATTAGCCAATCACCAACCAAGGTAACCCCCCCCCCACACCTTATCACCTGAATCTCCTCCTAGAGCACCATTAGGCGCATTCACACCGCAGTACTTTTCCCACAAAGGTTAATCAGAACTTAGTTCATCAAGTACAGATCACGTTCACACCGGAATAAGTCCCTGGGGGAGGATTAGGCAAATTAAGCCGCTGACGTCACTTCTTCTTCTTCTGCTTTGGGTTTACTGGCAGGCCGTGGGACTCCCTGCAGCTTCTACTGAAGCCTTCAGAGTAAATCGCCAGAACGCCGACACCTCCTCATCTCCACCACTCCCATGTTTTCTTTTGTGTTGCCATAAGTTAGTCTCTCTCCGTTTGTGCGCTGGGCTAATGCTAATGCTAATAATGCTAATGCGAGGATAATAAAATGGCGGCTTCACAAAACTTTTTGGGAGTTTTACGGGGCGTGGTTTGCAATCCGCCCAGCCAATCAGAAATAGGAACCTTTTTCTCCCACGAAAGTCCCTGCTCTCTAGCAGGGACTGAAAAGGGGGTAAAAAGGTTCTCATGAACTCATTTTAGTTCCCGCTCTTTTTGGTGTGAACGCGACATTTCGGAACTATATCGGAACTAAAGTGGGGACAGTACTTGGTGTGAAAGCGCCTATTGTGTTATTTTTAACCAAATCTCTCTCAGAGGGGCGTGGGGAGTGGCTCCTTATTTTCATCTAAAGTAACAGACAGAGAATCAGCACTTTTGAAACAGGGCTGAAACAGAGGGGATTATGGGATGCTGCAATGATCTGTTTGGTGTTTCAGCCAATCAGAGACGGGCTCTGTATATATCTGAGACCTGTAATATATTGATGAAAAACAGTATAATAAGGGACCTTTAATGCCTCTCTTTCTGCTTTTCCCATCCCTTCACATCCCCTCCTCACACTCTTCTCTTCACCTCCAGGCTGTGCCAGGGTCTCGAGTGGATGATGTCCCGGCTGCGTGTGAGATGATGACCTTTGACTTTTGATCAAGAGTGCGCCCTTGCTCTTTGTTTTTCCTCTGCCTCCGGACATGAGCTTTGAAACGAGGATGGGGCTGAGGTCGGTTGACGGACGGAGCCCTCTCCTCTCTCCTGCGATGGGCACACCGCTGCCAGGACGTTATACTCTTCTGTGATAATTTATTTTAACGAAAGACGTCTGAGCTTGGGAACAGAAAAAACCACGATGTTTTCAGAAGAACAACAAAAGAGACTCCAATTATTTAAACGGAAATGTTTGCACGGTTTTTCCTTTCACAGAAGTCGGCAAATGGACTGACTTTGGGACTGTACATGGACTTATTCTTCAGCTGTGTGTGACTCCAGCCCTTTGTGGCCTTGCAGTATTGCCAGACTGGCTGTGGCAGTTTTTATTGCCCCCACTTTACCCCATGTGTACAGTCCAGTATTCTCTTTTAACGTGGTGCCTGCAGCAGTGATGATGGTTGATGGAGACTGAAACATGCAACAAGGAGGGTCAAATCACAATATACCCTCTTAGTTTCAGTCCCTATGAATAATCAGTGAAATAAAGTGTTTTTATCTGTTTCAGGTGAATCGCAGCGTGTCATGATTGAGTTTTTCCTGTTTGTAACGTCAGTTGTTCTTTTTATAGTCCTTTTAGGGGGCAGAATGTGTCACATGACCTCATGGTCGCTGGTGCTTTTCACGGAGCACGATGAGCAGCAGTAGAGAGGAGAGAGCCAATGTGAGCAGCACACAGTGAGTGGTTAAGATGAGACCAAGGCCCAATGCCAAATGGACCCCCTGCCACCTTCCAGTTAGTTTGCATGTTCACATGGGGGGTTTGCACATTAAGTACCGTTCCGAACCAACTAGTGGAGAGTGTGAGTGGGTTATTATTAAACCCTCCAACAGTGAGTCTGCATGACTTAATCTGCTGCACTTCATGACCATGAGCAACGCTGTTTGTGTATACCATACGATAATACTTATTGTCAGATCAAGTCTGAAATTGTTCTTGTATCACAGCAGCTCCATTTGTAACATCAAACAAGAACAAATATTAAGACGTGATACTAGAATATTTGACATGAAATAATACAATCCCCCAAAAGACAACGTGTTCAAGACCCTCAAGCGCAGTGGTTCTCAACTGGTCAGGCCTCGGGACCCACTTTTTTCCTTTGTCAATATTCAACAAAAAATCGTTTAATGAGATGACGGTCATCAAGTTTCTAGAATCAAAGCTGTATAACATAAAAAGGCCCACTTGTATTGTAGTACAGACTTGGAGCCAATCCTGCAAATTCACCACACGTGAAAAATGTGACATGCTGAAAACCCAACCCCAGCAGGGGGGTCTGGGGGGATTGTCCCCCAGGAGATTTTTAGAAATACTCACATATAAACTACGCATTTTGGCACACTTTAAATTGTGGGTAAGGGTAGATAGCTCCCATTGTTCTGTGACCTGTCAATCATCAAACCGGGGGTCATATTTCATCATGTGTTCATTTTTATCTGAAGTTGTACCAATGGATGTATAAAGAATAGTTCTACCGCAAAGTTATTCTCCGTGGGGACTTCCGGGAACAATCTTGATTCTGATTGGCCAGAAGACTCGAAAAAACATCAGCAAAGATGTTTATTGAGAAGATGATCACTACGTGACAGAAGTTTTCAAAACCGTTTATGGTCTCCGGTACTTCCAGTCCAACGCCTACTGCATGCACAGCGTTAGAAAATCGGGCCTTCAAAATAAAAGTTTGACTTTTTTTTCCTTCACTCACACATCTGCGACCCACTCGAAACGGGTCCGCGACGCACTTTTGGGTCGGGACCCACCAGTTGAGAACCACTGCTCTAGTGTACATTTGACCTGGGATTTAAGTCTGTATTCATTTGAGGATTGACTGGTGCACAAAAGAGTGCTTCAGTCTAATCTCATTAAATCGACATATCTCCGAATGTCATGAAACACGCTGTTTACGAATAGTTCTTTTATTAGCAAACTGCAAAATAAAAGATATTTAATATCGTCATAGGATTATATACCCAGGTCTAGTCAATGTGTGCATTTGATTGTAAAGTTTTGCATATTTACAGGGACTTTTGCAAAAACCAAGCAGCCTACTGTATAAACATCCGATTGAATAACAAAAAATGCCACTAAAGATCTTTGGAGTTTTATTTTACTTATTATTTTTTTTTAATTGCTGTTTCAAAACCATGGTTACTACACTTCCTGATAATGCCTAAAAGTGGGGAGTTTGTTCAAAACTTGCCGCTGTATTTACACCCAACATTGGAATTGGGCCGAAACTAAAGCAGACTGACTGCGTAACTAATAGGGCTGGCAAGTAAACATGAATGAGTACTAAAACAAAGCAAAAATATTTCACTTATTTGTTGGGTGTGTCTGCTTCCTCATCAGGATATTCCTGACTCCTCAGATCTGTTGCTATGAGGAAGCTTTTTTTTCAGCTCTACCTTTCCTCCTAAACGTGTCATCAGGACACGTTTCCTCGCATGCGTCTCGTGATCATCCTTTTCGTCATGGTAGTTGTAACAGCTGACTCATTCATTGCTTTAAATGTAGTCCTTCATATGCTCCCTTTCCTCCGTACTCATCAGTCTGAAAATGCGTTTTTTAAAAGCTTGATTCTTTAAATACCTTTTTAAACCTTGAGCAGCCGGTTTCACTGTGAGCATAAATCAATGTGTTTCGCTCTGACATGAATCAATTGAGTCAGTTCTGTTTGTTTTTTTGGCACATTCTCTCTATAGATAAGTCTAACATTTACAGATATGGCTTTAAGGACCAAACACTTTCACAGTGGAACTTTTTCACAAAGGTGGAGGGACAAATTGATTGAACACAAACTCTTTAACACATGATAAAAACAACATATTAAGAGAAATACGTCAAGATGCTAATTAAATCGCTGTCAATGTGGAGCTTGTGCTATAATTGTATATGAAATGTGTGCATTCTGTTCTTTTCCCCCACCTATTTAATATTGCCTATGCATTCACCGATGTATACACTATTTGAACTAAGTATAATTGATCTGAAAGCGCACAAATATTGAATTGAACATCATCAGACCGGAGTTTGTTGTGAGTTGCTTTCAGTCAAAATGTGTTATCTACAAATTGCGATATATCTGAGTTTGAGAAAACATTTCTGGTATTGTATCAGGTAAGTCAAACCCATATAATACCCAGTTAACACACAATATGTTTATCTTGAATAATTATTAATTGCATGTCTGTACATTTAAGAGGCCCATGTGTCCTCAGTTTAGTCAGTGATGGTGTCAGACACTATAATAACCCCAGAGATGTAATCTAAGAGTTAAGCAATTTGGTCGTCATTTTCTTTGCACAGGTCTTATATATGTTTAAACAACGGGAGTGTTATCGTACAGAAGTTTGAACAAGTCTATCTAGATCCCAAAGTGATGACAAACAAACTCAATAATTCCAGCTCTTTATTGACCCAAGAGGACATCACTCTCTTCTTATAGAGCTAGAAAGGTCAGCGCAGATTCATCTGGAAATGTAAAACAACAACCTGACCTGTCCTTGCTAAGTCACTCCAGTCTGACTGATGGGTCACTTTAGGCCTCTTACCTCACTATAATTCATTGTTTTGGTGTGTGTTGGTGGGCTTAGATTGACTATTGGCAGTGTGTATGTTGTCCATCCTGCAGCTGTTGTGTCCTGGTCGCTCTGATCATCAGTCATTTTTTCCAGTGACTAAGCATCATGACCCCCAAACCCCCCCACCCCGCTCTGGATGTCCTTGGCTTAAGGTAGTCATTCTTTTGCCTGCTAGAATAATCAAAAGTGTTTGATACCCTGCCTGATCTTTCAATGCGATGTACCAAATTTGTTTTAAAGGGGTCATATTCTGCTCGTTGTCATTTTCAGGTTCATATCAGTATGTAGTGTCTCTATTTTAAAGAGTCCTCTCCTGCTGATGTTCAGGTGTATATCAGTATGTAGTGTCTCTATTTTAAAGAGTCCTCTCCTGCTGATGTTCAGGTGTATATCAGTATGTAGTGTCTCTACTTTAAAGAGTCCTCTCCTGCTGATGTTCAGGTGTATATCAGTATGTAGTGTCTCTCCTTAAAGAGTCCTCTCCTGCTGATGTTCAGGTGTATATCAGTATGTAGTGTCTCTACTTTAAAGAGTCCTCTCCTGCTGATGTTCAGGTGTATATCAGTATGTAGTGTCTCTACTTTAAAGAGTCCTCTCCTGCTGATGTTCAGGTGTATATTAGTATGTAGTGTCTCTACTTTAAAGAGTCCTCTCCTGCTGATGTTCAGGTGTATATCAGTATGTAGTGTCTCTACTTTAAAGAGTCCTCTCCTGCTGATGTTCAGGTGTATATCAGTATGTAGTGTCTCTACTTTAAAGAGTTCTCCTGCTGATGTTCAGGTGTATATCAGAATGTAGTGTCTCTACTTTAAAGAGTCCTCTCCTGCTAATGTTCAGGTGTATATCAGTATGTAGTGTCTCTACTTTAAAGAGTCCTCTCCTGCTGATGTTCAGGTGTATATCAGTATGTAGTGTCTCTACTTTAAAGAGTCCTCTCCTGCTGATGTTCAGGTGTATATCAGTATGTAGTGTCTCTACTTTAAAGAGTCCTCTCCTGCTGATGTTCAGGTGTATATCAGTATGTAGTGTCTCTACTTTAAAGAGTCCTCTCCTGCTGATGTTCAGGTGTATATCAGTATGTAGTGTCTCTACTTTAAAGAGTCCTCTCCTGCTGATGTTCAGGTGTATATCAGTACAGTATGTAGTGTCTCTACTTTAAAGAGTCCTCTCCTGCTGATGTTCAGGTGTATATCAGTATGTAGTGTCTCTACTTTAAAGAGTCCTCTCCTGCTGATGTTCAGGTGTATATCAGTATGTAGTGTCTCTACTTTAAAGAGTCCTCTCCTGCTGATGTTCAGGTGTATATCAGTATGTAGTGTCTCTACTCATGTCTCCAGGCTTTAATGTTCAAAAAGCTCTTTATTTTTCTCATACTGCCTGTGCTGCAGCACCTCTTTTCCCCCTCTGTCTGAAACCAGAGCCCAGTCTGCTCTGATTGGTTAGCTGACTGGCTCTGTTGTGATTGGTCAACCACTAAGAGATGTCACGCCCCTAAACCTCATGTACAATGTGTTGGAGCGCCAGCCAATAGAAGCGCGAGTGTTATGTAATGATGTCACTAAATTAGGGAAGTAAACAAAGGAGTCCAATGGAGGCGTTTCTTGCAGGAGGGGAACTTTGGGATTTTAGCCTTTGCAGACCATTTAAATGCACTAAAACATAGAACAAACTACAGGAGAGGGAAAACCCAGAGAAAACATAATAGGGCGTCTTTATTAGCTTGAAATATACTTTCCCTCAATCAAGTTTGAAATAGATTTGGGTTTATATGTCTATGCCTTGAGATATGTCACGCTTTGTAACATGACTACTTCTTCAATCTTGCAGGTTAGATGAAATAAAAGTCATGGTGATGTTGCTACTGAGGACCATGCAACAGAGCATCACACAGTCATACACAGTCACACACACACACACACACACACACACACACACACACACACACACACACACACACACACACACACACACACACACACACACACACACACACACACACACACAGCTGCTGCTTTCCATCTCAGCGCCTGGGTAGCAGATCTGAAATACTGGAGAGTAAGTACCGGCACATCATCTGAGGAGAGGAGAAGTAAATATACTGTTTGGTCCATGTTTTATTCTTTGTTTGAAGCCTTGTGTCATCCTTAACCCTCTTAATTCTATTCATGATTTGCTGTTACACTAAACCATAGCTGCTACTTGACCTCAATTCTATGTTAAACGTCTCTATCTAGAAATAGTTTGTGATGTCTTTTTATACGTCAGATTATATTTATGCACTCGGGTCGAGTGAGTCGCAGTCTGCTGCTTTGAAAATGTATATTTCTTACCCAGGTATCAGTCACTTGACCTGTGGGATGGAATTTCTTTAGTCTGTTTTATTACGTGAACCGAATATATTTATATATAGGGCAGCACCTAGAGCTATATTGTTTCAAAGTATTGTAAATATACAATTGGACAAAGCTAAATGTAATTGTTAACATCATTATGAAGCTAAAAACTGTCCTCAGTCTGCTTTCCACTGCAAGTCAACATTGCTCATAATAACTCGTTATTCACTCATAATCCAAGGAAAATTGGTAATTGATCAGACTATTATCTCTTCTTATACTTCTAGAGATCCAGTTACACCTAAAATACTAGTAGCGATTCATTTGTGTCTAATATGTATGGGTTAAACTAAAAACTGTCAGATGTCCTCAATCAGAATTCTACTGCAAATCAAGAATTTCTCATAGTAACTCATTATTTGTTCATAATCCAAGGGAAATTGGTAATTGATCAGACTATTATCACTTGTTATACTTCTAGAGATCCAGTTACACTTAAAATACAAGTAGCTATTAATTGTTGTCTCGTGGGTTAAGCTAAAAACTGACAGATGTCCTCAATCTGCTTTCCACTGCAAGTCAAGAGTTGCTCGTCGTAACTCGTTATTCACTCATAATCCAAGGATAATTGGTCATTTATCGGAGTTTATTATTATTTTCTTCACTTTCTAGAGATACAGCTACACTTAAAATACTAGTAGCAATTCGTTTTTGTCTCATATGTATCGGGGCATCTACTTATTTCTTAGATTCTGCCTCATCTCTCCTCAGTTTGATGTTGATCTGATTCTCATGCAGACCTTGCCAGCAGCTCAGGGTCAGCTAACAGATGACCTCATCAGATCTGGCACTCAGGGCCTTCAGATCTTCAAAGTCTAATGCGTATGGGTCAGACCTACTTCCAATCCTTTCACAAAAAAACTCTCCCGCTTGTCAACACATCCGTCACCGTCATTCCCACAGAGCGGATTTGTTGTATTTGGGTTTTACGCTTGTTTTCTTGAGATCCCAACCAACCCGAGCCCCTCTGCCTTTCCTCATAACTGTACCGATGATGCATTAGCCTCAACAGGTGCTCTTTTCTGAAATGATCACTTAGGTATATTTAGATTTTGAAATCTGAGAGCGCCGGCCTGTGATTGGCTGTGTGGACCACATGATAACCTGGGTAGAAATCGCAGCTGTGTGCTTTCTCACAGCTTTTCTCTGGAGGGAAGCTGGGGAGGCTTTGGCGGCTTAGGAGAACATTTAACTTTGATTTAACTGGTAAGCAAAGAAAAATGGATTTTAAAAAAGCACAAATATCTATTTAGTTCTTCCTCACCTTGCATGGCTTTTCCATCGGTTTGGACTTCCATCATTTCCATCCTCTGCTGCCATGGATCCAGGAGGAGAGTTGATAAGGAGCTGCACATTTAAGGAATAACTAAGCAAGATCTGCAAGCAACCTTTCCCCAGGCGTGCCTTTGGATGTATCTTGAAATGTCAGCAACAGCCCGGCCTTTTTCGTCTGGTCTCTTTGAAATCTCAACACCTGTCGGGGCGATTTTGTTCTTTTACCTCAACTTGCATTTATTTGTCTAAGTATTTCACATATATATGTTTTCTTAATTTATTTAAAGAAAGGGCAATCGAGTGCTAAAAAAGGTACTTAGTATGCCATCCTATATTTAACCTGCAGCCCTCAGAAGGCATTGCCATACCGTTTGCTAAACAGAGTCAACCAATCAGGCTGTGGCATTAGCTTACATGTCAAATAGCTGAAGCTCTCTGTTGGGCAGCTGTCTCCAACCTTCAGCCAGTTCCTCCGTGTTGTGGCAAGTGAGGGAGGAGGGGCGTCTTTTTCACACATTTAAAGGGCTATTATAATGCACTAATGTATCACCTTCCTAATCTGCAACGCTCCCTGTGTAATTCACTCTCATTGTCCTACTTCGTGACACATTTCTATTGCTTTGTTTAGGACAAAAAGTTGGACTATCAGTTTGAGACCCTAGTGGATGACAAGGGAAACTTCCTTACTGTCAGGAAATTCAGCGGAAATCTTACCTTGGTATGGCGTCCACATTGGTTTACCATTACTATATATACATGTTGTTATTTCTCAGCGTGTATTTGCTGCTATAAGTCCTATATTTGATCGGGTAATTGGGTTCAGCAGGGGATGACTGGCAGCATCTTAAAATATCCCTGGTGCAGTTGTCCTTTGATCTCTTGTGTCTAAGCCCCAGTAAAAAGCTGTCTGACATTGTGATTGGTTGCTACTGCTGGACACATTTAAGATAACTCTGCTATATACTTTTGATGTTGTATGTATAAAGAGTTTAAATAATGAACATCTTTTCAAATCTCATCTGTGTTTTGTCTAGAGCTTTTAAAACCGTTCCAACATGGCAGAAGAAATTGAGGAATTTGAAGAGAGTTATGAGGAGGAGGAGGAAATTGTCGAAGAGGTAAGTAAAAATTCACGCTCCATTTATCCACCAGTACAGTGGCAGACCCTATGAATAGTTAAGCTAGTGCCCCCCCCCCCCCCCCCTCCAGTCAGCACTTCAGTCGTCAGGATCCTGTTTCAAATGGGTTTTACATCCTGGATCGCCCTTAACGGCTAACTATAAATCAAAATTAACTCAAACTGAAGGTATACACATTTTCCTGGGACATTATCTGTTGTCCTATAAAGATACCTTTCTATGAGGCTTTACCTTATGACAGGTTGGTAGTAACTATGCTATCAAACTGTATAATAAATAGTGTCTTCAGTGGTGGTGAATCGTTGATGATAGCGCCATTTATTCCCACAGATTCTTGCATATAATGAAACTACAGGCCATCTGCTTTTTCCAACATGTCCAACCTATCAATGAACACATGCTGTAATGTTATCTAACTAACACAAGTACCCTTCATGTGTAATCAGAATCTAAATTCCTTTATTTGTCCCACAACGAGGAAATGTACATTATAACAACAATAGTGCAGAAACAGTGAAGAAATTAGATGTCAAGAAAATTAATACGTTACTATAATACAAAGCACAATAGGATTAGATTTCATACAATTTGGGAACATGCCAGTTACCATTCTGTCTTTTTATTATAACTTACCTGTTGAAAACCAATCGTGTAAAGTGGCGTGAACCACCAATCTCCAATTATATCTGCCTATGATCTGATAACCTGATATTTACCAATATTTCCGGATGTTTTAATGCTGTGTAAAAGCACTGTGTGTAAGAGTTACTGTGTTTCTGAATGTCTCACTGTGTCCAATGGAAGAGTGAAGTCAGAAGGCTAACAGCTTAGTCCTATATTTCCTGGTGAAATGGGATTAAAGCCTGCCTTGTATTTGTTAATACCTAATATTGTTGATATCTTATAGGGGAGTCAAATGGTTATTTATCACCTAATCACACCGAGCAATTACTTTCGTGGTCATTTAACTCCCATATAACATATCAAATGGATCTACCATCTTTACTGCAATGATGGTAAATCGACTGGGAGGCGGAAACAAACGGAGACCCACAAAGTCAATACACTCTGATTTCACTGGCACTTTCATCTACACTGGAGAAAAGTTCAAATGCTTTGAATAAATAGTAAGATGGCTTCTTATTTAATCTACAGAATGGGGAGAAACATAGTGATAGTCAGGATATACGTGAGACAAATGCATATAGTTAAAAACACGCAATCCCTTTTAACGATAATTTAGTTTCACTCATTTCATAGTTATTCTGAAATCTGAGTTAAATTAAATGTATTGTGTCAACAGAACTGTATTAGGTTAGTTCAAAGCAATAATATTAAGTAAAACAAATGAGGTTCAACTTAATATTATTGCTTTCTACTAACCTAATACAGCTATGCACTTCATTAAAGTCAATGGTTCAGTTTTTTCAATGTATTTTAATCTGCTGTGAGGATTTTCTATATATTAATTTAAAATGACTCCTCAGGTCATTAAAAGGTGGAGCGTAGAGTGCTCTGTCTGGCATTCAGACACATTTAGAAGTGGACATCTAAGGCACCTTGGCAGAGTGTGAGAGAGCAGTGAGAAGTGAAGGGAGAGAGGGAAAGAGAGAGCCTGTAAATCACACTCTGATCGCCTGGAACGTGTTAACGTCACTGCGAGAAATTTGCTTATGAAAGGTGGAAAACTGCCCGACGGGTGGCCGAGCTATCGTTGTTTCTGCGATGCTTTGTAGGCATGTGATAAAATGGAGGCGTAGTGTTTCATTTACACCTATGGTTCTCTCCTGTCTGATAGATTTGGATATCGAAGCCTCTTACAAATGTTGATTAAAAAAAGGTTTGAGATGTTCTTTCCCGCAGCTCTGGTTATTTCTAGGTGTCTCTGGTAGATTTGAGGACTTATTGGCAGTGGTGAAAGAAGTCATATGTTAGTCTACTTAAGTAAAAGTGGCAATAACACAGTGTGGAAATTCAATTTTACTCAATATGCCACTTTCAGAATATTATATTTCATGTTATTGGATTATAATTGTGTGTGCATTAATATGTACACATCACTAATGCAGCTGGTAAATCTGTGGCTATCTTGTTATACTTTCAGATAGCTCATTTCCAAAAATAATACATCATACTGTAGTTATGGTTATCTTTTATAAATCTGAAATATGTTATTTCATTTACAGCGTTACAGCAAACGTCACATAGCCGATAAAAGGCTAACAATACAAAAAGAGTAAGCTTACATATTAAATATATACACAAATGAGCAAATACAAATAAAAAAGAAGGCAATTATTATTATTTTTGTATTCAATTGTAAAATATAGGCAGTGATGCAAAAAGTACAGTATTGGCTTACAAGTGGAAGTAAAGAGTGGAATAAAAGAGACATTTAATGGATAGGTTTACTTCAGTGCAGTACTCCAGTAAAAGTGAATTTCCAAAAGTACTAATTTAATTGGTTAGCTTCCAAAGACACCAGTCTCAAAATGTTCAACCTGACGTGACTGTAAATGTTTCACTGGGATCGTAGGGAAGTAGGTGTAATTCAGGCTGTAAGTTAGACGGGCTATTCATGGAACAGTATGCTCTGCGTGGGAATGCTGTCCCTCACTGTGGTCTCAGGGTTAGGTTGCTTCAATGGAAAAGCTAGTTATCCCATTAAGTTTGTATACCCAAAATTAAAGAAAAACAAGTCACATCCAGCCATGCAAAACCTTTGAATTAAACCCCAGATTTGAGGATTTCTGACTCCAATGCAATACAATATGGGGAAATGGGTTTCATGTGTGGTGCTAACAGCATTGAAGATGGTCATTTGAAATATCTATCTCTTCATTAGCCTAGTTAATAACTCTGGATAATCCACGGGAACATCAGTTTTGTTAGGGACTACTTTTCTGGAGGACAGTAGTCTCTAAGAAATCTGTGGATGAACACAGGCTTTGTTTCCAGAAATGAAAGTGGTTGTTTTGAAATGCCATTTAGCAATGCTGTTACCAACACAAATGCAAACTTGTTCGCCTTCACTATATTGGAGTAAAGGCAGAAAACTTAAAGACTGCTACCTAAACATGTTAAAAGTATTACTAGGGATGATTAGACAATGATTTTGGGTGAACTAATCCTTTAAACTCAGAGATTAAAACGCTGTCTAAAGACGTTTGTGTGCGTCTGATGAAAGGAACAATGTTCGATGCAATAAATAAAACATAAGAATAGAATGTGAATGCCTTTTATATGCTTATAGCCTCGGTCAGATTTAGAGCAGTCAGTCACACATAACAGAGGATATTAATCTGTCCTTTGTATAAAACAGACTTAATTAGACCAGTCATAATTACAGTACATTACACCTCTGTGGATCATACTTACAGTGACTCTATTTGAGTGGATAATGAATCAGTTCATTACACATCGGGACAAAGATCCCTGACGACAACGCTGTGGCTTTTATGCAAGTTGATGGACTTTTTGAGGGCGGTTTGACAGAATAGCCTCTAATGGGATGCAGTGTAGAGTGATTTCCTGAGACTTGTCTGGCTTGACGTGTTAATGGCAGTAATTGATGAGCACCAGAGCTGTGGAAAAATCACCCTCAATCCAAATAGAGAATGCATTGCTGTTTCTCCCATAACTTGTTCTGTCAGTTTTGAAACCCCAGAGTGTGTCCTATATTTGTAGTATGTTGAGCAGACTACCACAACGACTGTCTCTGAGGATGCTCAGATGTTACAGGTAAAGCACCTCCTCCCAAAAGGACAACAGTTCATAGAGGAAACCCCTCCTTTGTCTTGAAAACGTCAGTTTCCTTGTCTGCATGTCTGTGGATAATCTGTTGTCTGGTTATTTCATTAAAGGCATCCTTTATCAGGGTAGGTTTTAATGTTTAATCTACGTCAATTAAAACCCTGTTGACTACGTTTTCAGTCATTTACAAATCAAGTTTTCTTTGCCAACCTAAAGTGATTTAGTTTCCTGAAGCCTTTGTTCCCTACAGATGAGATACTGTTCCCCTGTATTCATGTTACATGTTGCTGATCCTGGTATCGCATGCAGTGCAAGATGCTTGTTGTTGATGTTTCTGTACACTGTGCGATTTACATGTGTTGGTTTTGTTCGTTGTTTGTTATCTCAGTTCATATTCATGCTATTATCCTCACTACCTAAGTATCATGTACATTTAAACATGTGTAGTGTTACAATTATTAGTTACCTGTACTAAATTGAATCAGTAATCCAATCTGAGTATCAAAATGTAAAAGTAATGTACCCTGATTACTTTCCGTTACTTTGGGATTAGACGGTTGAACAATTTGACCTTTGAGCCAAGATATTTAGGATCAAAAATGATTTTATTTACAGGAAAACGTGCCTTTCATGAAGCACATTCAGGCAGTCCTGATCCTTTTAGAACAAACACTATATGCGCTTTCTTGTTTGTTGTTTAATACCATTGTTATCCTGCTAGTAATCCAGTTTTTAGAAACGTTTCGTAATCAGATTATGTAACTGTAAGGGAATACAGTTGCCTTTTTTTTCTGCTTGTAATCCGTTAGTTCCCAAGCCTGTATGTAGAATATTTCACAGATTCATAAATGAACGTGGGTTCATAGAGTAATAGGTATACTGCAACCAAAGAAATATTACGTTTCCTTTCAATCTTGATAAGATCAGATCATTATTGAATCCACACATTTGGAAAATACCTGATTTGTTTTGTCAAAATGTCCTGTTTCTGTCTGTGATGATCGCTCTGTAGTTTCACTTCCTGTAGTCAGGGAGCCCTTTTGTCAGTCGGGTAGTTAATCATGTTTTCCTCTGTTCTCGTCCAGTCTGGCTTGCAAGTCAGGAAGGTCAGGAAGAAGGTCAAGGTGGACACTTCCAAGTTCATGACTCCATACCTGGCTCACAGCCAGAAGATGCTGGATCAGTACAGTCACGTAAGCAACACATTTGGATCAAAAATAATGACGTACCTCCTTTTTTTTAAGTCCTTTTTTTGTGTCTGCCAGTTAAAGGTCACCTATTGTGCAAAATCCACTTCTTCATCAACATGTGTCCCCTCTGTGTAAAGAGATTCTGAAAGTTTCAGGAACAAAGATTCTCTATTTTTGTCCTGATATAAAAACCTGTCTGAAAATGAGCTGATCAGATTTTGGCCACTTTATGATGTCATAACGATTTTTTGGCTTGTGTAACCATTAGCCAATCAGCAACCAAGGTAACCCCCCCCCACACCTTATCACCTGCATCTCCTCCTAGAGCACCATTGAGTTATTTTTAACCAAATATCTCTCAGAGGGGCGTGGGGAGTGGCAGAGAATCAGCACTTTTGAAATAGGGCTGAAACAGAGGGGATTATGGGATGCTGCAATGATCTGTTTGGTGTTTCAGCCAATCAGAGACATGTTCTGGATATATCTGAGACCTATAATATATTGATGAAGAACAGTATAATAGGGAACCTTTAAGTACTTCAGAATCAGACACACTACATATGTATTGAGGTATGTCTATTGTACTCAATTCAGTGTTTGCTCTTCTTTACAGAACGTGTACAGGAAGGCTTATGAGATGTCCAAAGGCCAGCCGACCGCCTTCATCTCTGATACTCCTGAAATGATTCGCATCAGGAAGGCTCAGGAGCAGCTCAGCGAGGTAAGACCGAGGACTGTGGTGGTATTTTACCCCAAATCATTTAGTTTTAAGTCTAAGGTTGAATTTTGACAAGTTGCGGATGGGAGATTGCTGATTAAATAACTTAAATGAATCCATCATGTGGTGGACATTTGATTTCAGTGTAATTCTATGAGTGTGGAGCAGAGATGCTGACCGAACTTATTGTGATTTGGTCTTTGGCAAGGCTAGGTAATCACATCCTTCAAAAAAGCCTTCAAATCCCACCTTTTATTTAGTTTTTATTCACTTTATTTGCTTGCAAAGTGTCTTTTAACAGTAGGGAAAGCACTATAAAAATACCATGTATTGTTATTATAAAAAATAACATGCAACAGAAACACATTAAAAGTTAGATTTAAATACATTTAAACAGTCATTTAGAGCCAAAAGACTAAAATAAAAATAAAACTGAATAAATGAATAGGTATTTGGATAAATGAATGTGTTTAAAAGATGAAGAACTTACTTAATTGATTCGCTCATGTCATGAATTCTAACAAATTACACTTTTCTCCCTCAGGTTAAATACCGCATGGAGGGCAATAAGACTCGGACAACCAGCATGTACGGTGGCGAGGCCAGAGAGATCGCCCACGTCAAGCACGTGTCTGAGCTGATCAGCAAGGTGAGCTACCTGAACCTATACAACAACAATATATAGGACAATAAACCAGCATTTACAACACGGTTTTACCTATCTTTTGCAGGTTCTGTACAGACAGAAGTGGGATGAGACTAAGGACCGGTACCTGCTGCCGCCTGACGCTCCTGAGCTGGTGCTGGCTGTGAAGAACGCTGCTAACTACAGCAAGGTGAGCACGATGTACTGTCCAAATAATGCTTTAAAGGTCACCTATTATGCAAAATCCACTTCTTCATGTCTCTTCTACATCAACATGTGTCCCCTCTTCTTCATCAGCATGTGTCCCCTCTGTGTAAAGAGACTCTGAAAGTTTCAGGAACAAAGATTCTCTCTTTTTGTCCTGATCCATTTATATAAAAACTAGGGCTGTCAAGTTAACGCGTTAATAACGCGTTAACGCAAAAAAAAATTAACGCCACTAATTATTTTAACGCGATTAACGCATGTGTATTTTTTGTCCTCGGCCGCCGTAGTTTCAGAGCGCATCGAGTGTAAAATACCATCGACAAGCTGATGCTGACAGCCCCGCTCCTGCCGCCCGCTTGTGGCAGACCACATTTCCACGCTCACTGGCAGGCCCGGACTGGCCATCGGGAGGACCGGGAGGGAGTGTGTATGTGTGGCGCGACTCGCGCGAGCGAGGCACACCTTACGTGTTGTTGTTGTTAGCATCTGGTGCTAGCTAGCTGCGCTAACGGATATAAGGAGCTGTTTCAATGACATTTCGCCGACAACTGCGCCGAGCACTTGACTTTATGCAGGTAGCCAGACAGTGGGACATTGTACGAAAAGTCAGCACACTCAGCACGGATAGTACGCGCAACATTATTCAGGGTTCCTGCAGGTTTCACCTACTCAAATTTAAGACTTTTTAAGACCTTTTTAAGACCATTTTGAATAGAATTTAAGACCTATTTCACGGCAAGAAAGTATGAAGGAAAATTGCTATGAAAGAAGAAATACGTCCCATAATTACTTACAAAGTAAATGTAAAGGCATAACAGAACTGTGTTAGCGTGTTAGACAAAAAGTGTATGTGTCTGTGTGTGCTTGTGTGTGTGTGTGTTAGGGGTGTGCAATTAATCGTATTTTAAATCGCAATTACGATTTTGGCCTGCCACAATTACGAAATTATTTAGCTTTGCTCGGTTGTGACAGTGCACTACAACATATTTGATCTAATTAATTTTAGTCTAATTTATTTGTATTTATCATATTTATATATGTTTAGTAGCTTGTGGAAGTGCGCTCCAAAATATTTGTTGATCTTGTTTATTGGTATTTATTATTTTGATATTATTTATTTAAATGTATAATTTATTTAATTTATTTTTGTATTGGTTTTGCAGTTGAATTATACGTTCAGGGTAATCAACAGTTAAAAAGATACTGTTCAAATTATTATTTGTTTTAAAGTTCAATAAATGGATGTTTTCAAAGTCAATGAATAATCGTATTTAATAATCTTGATATCAATTATTGACCAAAATAATCGTGATTATGATTTTTGCCATAATCGAGCAGCCCTAGTGTGTGTGTGTGAGTGAGAGTGAGAGTGAGAGTGAGAGTGAGAGAGAGAGAGAGAGAGAGAGAGAGAGAGAGAGAGAGAGAGAGAGAGAGAGAGAGAGAGAGAGAGAGAGAGAGAGAGAGAGAGAGAGAGAGAGAGAGAGAGAGAGAGAGAGACAGACAGACAAGAGCTATATTCAGAGCTCTGCTGCCTTGGCTACAATCTTTCATCGTTGCTGTTGTATGATTGGTGTTTAGCTACGGTATTTAGCGTCTACGGCACCTCCGCTTTTAGGGTTGACATACACCCAAACGTCGCCCAGAGGTCCGCCGGTGTTGTTGCAGGAGCTGCTGCACTAGCTAACGCTACATTAGCATACGCTACTTTCTTTTGCAAAAGGTGCAGCGGGCTTCAAACACGTTCCCCTCCACTGGTTTCAACCAAGCACTAAATTCGATGTTTTCCAACCAAATACGGTTGAACTTACACTTCCCCATATTTATTTTTAAGTAGATTCTAAGATACATGAGTTTCTGACTGCCGCTAGCTGAAGCTTGCTAGGTTACTAGCTGGGTGTTCTCCAATAAGGGGCCGGGGGAAACAAAGTTAGTGATTACTGGTTCCATGTTGATTTATTTCAATACAAATTGTTGGGGGGAACTGAAAGGCTCTTACCGTACTGGTTACTTTGCAGCCCGGACATTTCCCCCAAAACACATTTAGACGCGATCTCAACACAGAAGTACCTTTCAAATCCGATCATTTTTAAGACCTTCTAAATCATATTTAAGACCTTTCTTATTTTTTTGGTCATATTTAAGACCTTTTTAAGGCCTTAAATTCAGATTATCAAATTTAAGACTTTTTAAGACCCCGCGGGAACCCTGATTATTGCAGCGTCCAGGGAGCTCCCATTCGAGCATATATGCCTTGAGCTGCACATAGCTCAACGATCCATCACAGTGTCTCCACACACACACACACACACACACACACACACACACACACACACACACACACACACACACACACACACACACACACACACACACACACACACACACACACACACACACACACACACACACACACACACACACACAGTATTATTGTATGAGAGAGGTTCCAGGTTGAATTGAGGCGAATATTTGTAATGTTCAGAGGTTGTTTAATATTCATGAGAATATTTGTCATTGTTCAAATGATAATAAACAAACATATAAAGCATATTTGTCCACTCATATGTTGATAAGAGTATTAAAAACTTGAAAGATATCCCTCTAAGGTACATTTAGAACAGATAAAAAATGTGCGATTAATCGCGATTAAATATTTTAATCGACTGACAGCCCTAATAAAAACCTGTCTGAAAATGAGCTGATCAGATTTTAGCCACTTTATGATGTCATAACGATGTTTTGGCTTGTGTAACCATTAGCCAATCACCAACCAAGGTAACCCCCCCCCCCTACTTATCACCTGAATCTCCTCCTAGAGCACCATTGTGTTCTTTGTAAACAAATCTCTCTCAGAGGGGCGTGGGGAGGGGCTCCTTATTTTCATCTAAAGTAACAGACAGAGAATCAGCTCTTTTGAAACAGAGGGGATTATGGGATGCTGCAATGATCTGTTTGGTGTTTCAGCCAATCAGAGACATGTTTTGTATATATCTGAGACCTATAATTTATTGATGACAAACAGTATAATAGGGGACCTTTAAATGTATGATTTATTATAAAGAAAGTTTATTCTTTGTAATTGTTCTGTATGCATGTGGTAATTCTTGCCCTTGCCCCTTGTTCAGAAACGGTACACGGAGGACTGGGATGCGGAGAAGACGATGTGTTACCCGTACAGCGACAGCCCCGAGCTGCGCAGGGTGGCCAAGGCTCAGGAAGTCTTCAGCGACGTGAGTTACATTTACACCAAACTGGAGGAAATGAAAATACAATTTTTTTTTGAAAAACAGAAGTTTTAATACTTCCAGGGGGATTTCTTTTGTATATTACTCCATTATATTATATTTAATTAAATGATATTTCAATAAATTACATTACATTATGAAAATACAGTACACACTGTCCAATATTAAGATCTGTGCAGGGTGAAAAATATTACTTTATTACTCTATTATATTATATTATTATATATTACATAACATTACATGACATTATATCATATTACATTATATTACATTATTTTATATTTTATGACATTTTGTTTATTAATCTATCTTTCTAACTTAAACAAAAAAATCTCAGATAAATATACAAAACACAATATTTATATATTTTTTTATATTAAAAAATGATTGCATATATACTCATATAAGATATTATATATATATCTCCTTTAATAATGTCAAATACTATGTGGAATATCTAATACATGGGTTATTCTGTAAAAATGTGACACAAATTCACCTGAGAAGTTCATTTCTATCTTACTGTGCTGCTAATTCAGCATCAACTACAGAGGCATGCATATTTTCATTACATTACATTTAGCTGAGGCTTTTATCCAAAGCGACTTACAATAAGTGCATTCGACCAAGAAGATACAAACTTGAAGAAAACAGAATCATATAAGTACATCAGGTTTCATAGAACCAAAACATTTCAAGTGCTACTCAACTGGCTTTAGATAAGCCAGTCCTTTATTAGTATATAAGTGCTTTGTTAGTCATTTTATTTCTCGAAGTGGAGTCGAAAGAGATGAGTTTTCAGTCTGCTCTGGAAGATGTGTTTGCTTTCTGCTGTCCTGATGTCAATGGGGAGCTCATTCCACCATTTTGGAGCCAGGATAGCAAACCCACGTGTTTTTGCTGATGGGAACTTGGGTCACCCTCCCAGTGAGGGTGCAGCGAGCCGTTTAGCTGATGCAGAGCGGAGTGCACGTGCTGGGGTGTATGGTTTAACCATGTCCTGGATGTAGGAAGGGCCAGATCCATTCACAGCATGGTACGCAAGTACCAGTGTCTTGAAGTGGATTCTAGCAGTTACTGGAAGCCAGTGAAGGGAGCGGAGGAGCGGTGTGGTGTGGGAACATGTTTCTCTACCATATATTGCTTTCTTCGTTTCAGGTTACATTTATTTGAACTTAGTCAGATGTAGCAGCAATTAACTCCCCCACCTTTTGAACACGTGTAACCCTTTCTGCTGATGTAGGAAAGTCACCAGTCAATGAAGCTCTATGTGTGTGAATCAGACCGTGCTCTCAGGTCAGGTATCGATGTTGTCGAATGAACCCTTTCTGTAAATTTGAACTCCTGCTGTGTTTCCCCCCCCCCACGCAGATCCGCTACAAGAAGGGTCACGATCAGCGCAAGGCCAAGTACACCTCGCTGGCCGACCCTCCTGAGTATGAGCTGGCCAGGAAGGCGGCCAATCAGCGCAGTGATGTAAGCAGAACACATTTTGATCAACTGTATTTTATTAAGTGTAAAATAAACGGGGATGCACAATTACTCAAAGAGATATAGAAATCCCAATGTGGACTAATGCTAATGTTCTAAACACTTCAGAAAAACAACTTTAACGACAGCTGAAAACGTATTCTTTTTTAAACCCACTTTAATTAGTGTTTTAATCTTTATTAATCTTATTATTTTTCCATATTTATTTAGACATCTTTTTATATTTTAGTGTATTTATTTATTTATTTATTTTCTCTTATGTCTTCCTTTGTTTTACTGAGAGGGTTATATGTTGTTTGGATCATTATTTTTAATTTAACTTTTTTTATTATCATACTTTTTGTCCCTCCTTGTGTCCCTTGAATTGTTATATTATGTTTAAATGCTCAATGTCTGCAAACAGGTTTTGATGTGAATTATTATTTTTAAAATATTAATTTCCTCCAATATATTTGATCATATTGTAAATTGTAATTTCAGTCCAAAAAAAATCACAATTTCTTTGTTTCTTTTTCCAAATTGTGCAGCTTTAGAGGTAGAAAAAGTGATAATTAACAATATAAATACCTGCAGATAGCTCTATTACTATTTATAACAGCACATAGGAGAGTGATAAGCCTCATTGCTTCTCAGGAACATTTGATAGGCTCAAACTCAAATGGAAACAGTGCCCTCGGAGACCAACAAACACTGAGTCACTGCTAGGGATAACTGACCACCTGCTCTCTCATATTACCGAACACACTAAGCTTGAAGGGAGAGGCCAACAATAGTTTCAAATTCCTGTCGCTCCCAATCGGTTTTATCACACAGAAAATAGATCTGTCTAATATTTTACTACACAACAAGTGCTCTCCTGTGTAAAATACATCCTCTAATGATGATTATTTGTACTCCACAGCTCAAATACAAGGAGGATTACAATAAAAATGTCAAGGGTCAGTGGTGCGAGACGCCATACTTCGACGTGGCCACTGCCAGGGTGGCGATGGAGAACTTAAGCAGCGTAAGTGCTTATTTCAACCTAATGGGCAGACATTTATCATAATTATATGAGTTTTTCATTTGTCTACATCTCACTGTTGATCTTTTGTCCTTCCAGAAACGATACACGAAAGATTGGGAGGATAAGAAAGACCAAATTTATTTCATGCAAACAGACACGCCTGTTTATGGAACGAACAAGAAGGCTGGTATTGCTTCTAGTGAGGTAAGTCCACACTAAAATACATACACACACACACACACACACACACACACACACACACACACACACACACACACACACACACACACACACACACACACACACACACACACACACACACACACACACACACACACACACACACACACACACACACACACACACACACACACACACACACACACACACACACACACACACACACACACACACTCACTAACAGAGTGTTTTTATAGGACTTATCTCATATTGAATAAACGTCAGGATTAACACAAGAGTCAGAGCAGAGTGAATTGTGCCCACACATGAACCGCATGACTGAGAGATCTACGTTTGAATCAATGTCACTGAATGAATTGAGTGTGTAGTTCAGTACCAGATGTGAAGAGGCTTATTCAGCTCCTGTATCCCACACACTCACACAATGCAAACATGCGTCACTTTAACAGACAATAAAGACACATTTGTTCCCTACCAACGTCATGTTATACAGTATGAGTCAGCGTGAATACACCTCATGGACAACCTTCATTTTCCTCTTACTCACTCTACTCTCCGTTTTTCTGTTTTCAGATCAAGTACAAGAAGGAATACGAGAAGCAGAAAGCTCAGGCGGACTACAACACGCTCCCCGCCACAGAGAACCCGCTCCTAAGACAGCTCAGATATGCCGGCACCATCCTGAGTGATGTAGGTGTCTGGAGAAATGGGTGTTAGATCACAGCTGGTCTTAGGAAAAATGATAAATGATACTTAGGATACATTCAAGATTCAAGGCTTTTATTGTCGTTCGTACATAGCTACAGTGTAGTTATGTCGATGAAAATCTTAGGTCACAGGCTCCTCCAACAGTGCAACACAATAAAACAGATACAATAGTGCAAGTAAATACAATAAAATAGAATAGAAGCAGTGCCATAAGAGTCTACAAGTAATAAGGGGGGGAAAAGGACAGAATCTATAAGGTAGAACAGCAGTATAACAATTTAGTATTAATGGTTTCAATGTATTTGATTCCTTATAAGGATCTCCATTAGCATTAGCTATTCTTCCTGGCGTCCACAAAGGGCGTCCATGTTTTTTCTTCCATATAGGAATCCCATTAGCATTAGCATGAGCTATTCTTCCTAGGGTCCACAAAGGGCGTCCATGTTTTTTCTTCCATATAGGAATCTCCATTAGCATTAGCATGAGCTATTCTTCCTAGGGTCCACAAAGGGCGTCCTTTTTTTTTTTCCCATATAGGAATCCCCATTAGCATTAGCTATTCTTCCTAGGGTCCACAAATGACGTCCATGTTTTGTATTCCATATTAAGATCCCCATTAGCATTAGCTATTCTTCCTGGCGTCCACAAATGGCGTCCATGTTTTTTCTTCCATATAGGAATTCCCATTAGCATTAGCATTAGCTATTCTTCCTCGGGTCCACAAATGGTGTCCATGTTTTTTCTTCCATATAGGAATCCCCATTAGCATTAGCTATTCTTCCTAGGGTCCACAAATGACGTCCATGTATTTTATTCCATATTAAGATCTCCATTAGCATTAGCTATTCTTCCTGGCGTCCACAAATGGCGTCCATGTTTTTTCTTCCATATAGGAATCCCCATTAGCATTAGCATTAGCTATTCTTCCTAGGGTGCACAAATGACGTCCATGTTTTTTATTCCTTATTAAGATCCCCATTAGCATTAGCATTAGCTATTTTTCCTAGGGTCCACAAATGACGTCCATGTTTTTTATTCCTTATTAAGATCCCCATTAGCATTAGCATTAGCTATTCTTCCTAGGGTCCACAAATGACGTCCATGTTTTTTATTCCTTATAGGAATCTCCATTAGCATTAGCATTAGCTATTCTTCCTAGAGTCCACAAATGGGGTCAATGCATTTTATTCCTTATTAAAATCACCATTAGCATTAGCAGAAGTGTTAGCAAATGTTACCTGGAGTCCACAAATGTACAGTCAAACGCACCTTTACTAATTGTAGCCACTCAAAGAAAAAAAACAGACTAATTGAATTACAATGAAGTACCAACTAGATCAGAAATTGACATACTCAAATTAAAACCAAAATATTAATGGTTAACAACATCTCAAGAATTCATAGCAAACTTCATGTTTTGCTTTTTCGTACACATGAATAGTTTAAAATACATATTCATTCTCTCCCAAGGATAATTTCGACTTTACATATAATTACACATTTCAATTGTTGTTCCTGAACTATTTTGAGGTACTGTTTCAACAAAATCTCTGTTTAGACAAAGATGTAGCTTGCATGAATTTGGCAATAACTCTTGTTAACTCTGAAAGGTGCTGAAACGATTGAGAAGGTTGTGTGGGTGGTAAAAAGAGTGTCTGACATGAAGCTCCTCTAAGTTAATTGTCATATTAGAAGTGCTAATTAAACCATCTGGAAGTCACTTGCAATACTTTTTCGCCTTCAGGGAGTTAATTGATCTAATTGAATAACGTTACCAGCCTTACTGACGTGTTATTTGCAGTTAGTTAGTGAGTCATACGGACAGATGATATGTTAAGTTGTTATGCCATTTCTGTTGTTCATGATCTGTTTCATATCTTCCTTGCAGAAAGTATATAAGTCCAGCTATGAAAAGGCCAGGGGTTCAAGTATCAACTACTGCGACACGCCCAAGTTTCAGATGGACTCCGTACTCAAACAGTTCACTCATGTAAGAATAAAATACTTTCATAAACCAAGGATATTATCACTTGTCTTTGCTTTGAATCATATACATTGTTCATGTTGTTCTGTAGGCACGTTACACAGAGAAGTATGACAACGTGGTGAAGGGTCACTACGTCGGCAGCTATGAGGATGTTTACATGCTTCACTGCCAGAAAATGGAGGCAATGAAGAGCGAGGTAAGTCATTGTGCATTTTTCTAAAATCGAATCAGTGATGCAAGATTTTATTATATGCTTGATATACTTTTCAGTGCAATTTACCCACTTTTTCTTATCTTGCAGCAACAATATAAATCTGATTATGAAGACATTAAGACAAGATGCTTCTACCCTCAAACAATGACGCCTGAATATGAAGTTAATAAGAAGCTTCAGAAGTGTAATGATGTGAGTAGTAAGCTCCACTAAAATGCAGTAAAACCGCTCTCTTATTTTGGTAAATGTATGTAACTTACACCATTTTTCTTCCTTGTGGTTTGCAGAAAGTTTACCGGCAACATCCGGGCACCATGAAATTTACACAAGTGTCGGATTCACCAGTTCAGCTTCAAGCCGCCCTCAACGCCAAAAATCTAAGTGACGTACGTATGAATGCACACAAAGCCGATTAAAAAATATATACAGATTTAAATTAGCACAAAAAAGAGGCACTGGTTGCCCAACAAATATAGTTTTCTTTAAATAAAACATTGAAATTGTGTCTGTTCAGCCCATAAAGTGATTGATGTTAAGTCACTTATCAATATTGCTCACTGTTTCTACATAAACGATATATATATAAATCTATATATTGACTCAATTGCTAGCTAATTGGCTAGATCAAATTCTCCTTCACATGCAGATCAGCCTTAAATGTGCCCGATCATCCACGTAGTCTTTCTGTGGGCACCATGGTAACTGGAGAGCCATTTCTCTGAAGTAAAAATAGCAACAAGCATTCAGTTAGCCCAGAATAAACCCTGTGATCACAGAGGGAGGCAGGGGAGCAGAGAAAGGGACAGTCAATATGTCTCGGATTGTTTCCAGCGAACACTGCTGCCCTCCAGTGACGGAAAACCAAAATTACCTGAACGTGTGTCTTGGAAATTACGGTACAGCTGCACACATATATAAAAATAACTTGACACCTTGTTCTTTTTGCAGATCAACTACAAGGCCAAGTACGAGAAGACTAAGTTCAAAAACACTCTGCCCCCAGACTATCCCTTCTTCATCCAGTCCAGAGTCAACGCCTTCAACCTTAGTGATGTAAGTAACTGCTCTACACTTCATTTCTTAATTTCATTTTGGTATGTGTTTCCATTTCCTTAACGGCATGATTCTCTGTTTGCAGAACTGTTACAAGTACGATTGGGAGAAATCTAAAGCAAAGAAGTTTGAGGTCAGGGGCGATGCCATTTCGATCCTTGCTGCCCGCGCTCACACCAACATCGCCAGTGATGTAAGTATTTCACAACATTAGAGGCACTATTTTTTGTTCTTCCTGTAGTGTGGTCTATATATATTTTTTTCATGTAAATGGTCTGCAAAGGCAAATATATCAAAGTATATTGGTATTTGTATTGGAGTTTCTCTCCCACACACTCACCCCCTGCTTAAAACGCCTCCATTGGACTCCTTTGTTTACTTCCGTAACATTATGACATTACGATGTTACTTCTATTGGCTAGCGCTCCGACACATTGTACGTGATAGGCTAAGGGGCGGGACATCTCTAAGCGGTTGACCAATCACAACAGAGCCGGCCAGCTAACCAATCAGAGCAGACTGGGCTCTGGTTTCAGACAGAGGGTGAAAAGAGGTGCTGCAGCACAGGCAGTATGATAAAGATTAAGAGCTTTTTGAACATTAAATCATGGAGACACGTCACAGGAGAGACACTACATATATCCTCTTTGACATTCATGATATTAGTATTTCTTGCTTGCTTTGTAAATTTGATTGCTTTTACTGCCCAGTTTCTTTAATCACGTAATAATTAACTTTTGTTCTTCTCCCCAGGTCAAGTATAAGAAGGCTTATGAGAAGAACAAGGGGCAGATGGTGGGAGCCCTCAGCATTCATGATGATCCCAAAATCCTGCACTCTGTTCGCGTGGCTAAAATCCAGAGTGAAGTAAGTCATTATCTTTCTAAGTTACTTACATTTCCCTTCACATTCATTTATTAGATCTGAGTAACAAGCGCAATGTTTCACTGATATCTCCACAGCGTGAATATAAGAAGGACTATGAAAAGATCAAGACCAAGTACCACTCACCACTCGACATGATGTCAGTCACCTTGGCCAAGAAATCCCAGGGCATTGCCAGCATGAAGGGGTATAGGAGCATCAACCCGCACTACTTCATGCCCCCCGACAGCATACTTATGAACCTGGCCAAGAAATCCAACATCATCCAGAGCGATGTAAGTACAGACTTTACAGCGTCCTATTAATGACGCTTAGTTTAAAGGTCACCTATTATGCAAAATCCTCTTCTTCATGTCTCTTCTACATCAACATGTGTCCCCTCTGTGTAAAGAGATTCTGAAAGTTTCAGGAACAAAGATTCTCTCTCTTTTTGTCCTGATCCATTTCTATAAAAACCTGTCTGGAAATGAGCTGATCAGATTTTGGCCACTTTATGATGTCATAACGATGTTTTGGCTTGTGTAACCATTAGCCAATCAGCAACCAAGGTAACCCCCCCCCCCACCTTATCACCTGGATCTCTCTGGAGGGGCGTGGGGAGGGGCTCCTTATTTTCATCTAAAGTAACAGACAGAGAATCAGCTCTTTTGAAACAGGGCTGAAACAGAGGGGATTATGGGATGCTGCAATGATCTGTTTGGTATTTCAGCCAATCAGAGACAGGCTCTGTATATATCTGAGACCTATAATATATTTATGAAAGACATATAGTATAATAGGGGACCTTTAATGGTTATATCCAAATATAAAACGTCCTCTTGCATTGTTATTATGAGATCACTTGTGTATTCATTGACGCCATTTTTTTTCCTGCATCACAGAATGATTACAAGTCGGACTACAACAACTACACCAAGGGTTCTCCATGGATCCCCTGGGGCTCTGTGGAAGTGGAGAAAAATAAGAAAGCTGGTGATATCCTTAGTGAGGTACGAGCCCAACAGTACCGCTTCTTTCCCCATCTTCACAAATGCATTCTTGTAAAAGGAAATATTTGTCCGTAGGTGGGATATGTCTCATATGTTTTGTAATGACTTCTTACGAGTGTAATTGACTTTTTTCCTACAGAGAAAGTACAGACAGCAGCCGGACAGCATCCCCTTCACCTCTATTCACGACCACCCCGTCATGATGCAGGCCAAAGCGAACCAGCTTATGAGGAGTGATGTGAGTCTACTGCCTTTCTCTTAGTTAACCACAAATCTTAACCTTAAGACTCTGTCGTTGCATTTACAGTAAGTACAGCACATGTAATGCCTGCCCTTTTTTGCTTTCTTGCCTTACAGCAGTTCTACAAGAGAGGTCTGGAGAAGATCCATCAGAAGTACTCTCTGCCTCATGATGTCCCTGAGTTCGTGCAGGCCAAGTGCAATGCTTACAACATCAGCAAGGTAACACATTGAAATACAGAGGGATTACTTGTTTTATTTATATACTAAGATGTTCTAATAGTGCACTTTTTTCGCTGTCATTTTGGATATCTTGCTCCTAAATGTGATGTTAAATACAGCTTTGGAAGCACTGACACATACGTTAAGTGTGCTAACTGTATTACTTAGGGATGTCCCGATCACCTTTTTTTGCTCCCGATCCGATTCCGATCATTTGATTTTGACAATCTGCCGATACCGATTTTTCGCGATCTGATCTTTATGCAATGCATTAAGAGAAAAAAAAGGAGAAAAGCATTCAAGTTGTCCCTTAAACCTCACGTTCTCCACCACAGATAACGGCTGGTCATCCAACGCGATGAATTCAGCTATCTTGGCTGTTATTTTTTTGGCCTTTTCACTGTTCTGGGGCAGTTTCTCTTTCCTTTTAAAAGTCTCTGAAAGTGTCGGTTGTTTCAGTGCCGTTACCTGAGTGGCCGCTGTGTACTCGTTGTGTTGTTGTTGGTGTTTGTTTCTCAGGTGGCGTATTAGATTGGTCGTGTTGAACGTAGCTCTGTTCTTTCCACCACGCGGAACCTCCGCCTTGCAAACATTGCATCTGGCTGTTACACTGCCTTTGCTTTCAATTTTATAATACTTCCAAACTCCTGACATTTTCTCTGTCCCGACTCCCGAGTCACCAGCTGAACGTAGCCTCTTGTTAGCTTACTGCTACTATTAGACACTGCGCCCTGCCCACTCTGTTGCCAGATTTGAGAGAAATAAGCAACCAGGTCTATGAAAACAAGCCCAAAAGACACACATACATGATGTTGTGTAATTTTAAACCAAAACTAAGGCCTCAGGATGACTTTAAGACGTGAACATGGTCATTTTTGTTTTGTAACATTAAATAAAATAATAAAAATATTTTATAAAAAAAAAAAAAAAAAAAAAAAAAAATTCCCGATCCCCGATTTTTTTCTCCCGATTCCGATCTTTTGAAAATCACGTGATCGGCTCCGATCCCCGATCACGTGATCGGATCGGGACATCTCTACTCTTTATTGTTGTTGTTTATATCTGTTATCTCTCATTTCAGAACACCTACAAGTATGCCTGGGAGGATCTGATTGCTAAAGGTTATGACCTGAAGTCCGATGCGATCTCTATTATCGCCGCCAAAAAAGCCAGACATGCTGTCAGTGATGTAAGTTTCTTGAACTGTGCTTTATTTCCTCCATGTTTGCTCTGTACCAGGTGAATTGTACATCTTATTGCTACATACAACTGTAAAAAATCTGAATAATTAAGATCCTATATGCCTGTTTTTACATCTAGGTCCAGTATAAGAAGGCTTATGAGAAGGCCAGAGGACACCATATTGGTTTCCGCAGCATCAAGGACGATCCTCTGATGGTCCACTACATGCAGTTGGCCAAATTGCAGAGTGACAAGAACTACAAGAAGGACTACAACAAGGCCAAGCTGAAGTATCACTCCCCAGTGGACATGATGAGTTTGGTGCAAGCCAAACATGCTTCAAAGGTTCAGACCTTCGCCGGCTACAGGAAGATCCCTAACGGCTACATGATCCTGCCTGACAACTTGAACGTGCAGCGGTGTCGCAACATGATGGAGATTCAGAGTGATGTATGTTCTCACTTTTTACCCAAACAATAGCCTAGTAGCTTCAGTGTAGTTATGGCCTCAGATAATTTGAGGCCAAATATCATTTTTTTTTTTTTTTTTTTACATATAATTATAACGCAATACATGATTGTCACTAAAAGCCTTGTCTCTACATTACAATAAAATATAAAAAATAATTGATTAATTAATTTGAATAAAAATTCAAGTTAGTAGCTAATATAGGCATAACAAGACAGAAATGTATAATTCTTTCTTTAATAGAGATGTTTCTTCTGCCCGTAAAGCGCATTTTTAAAACATAGTCATTGTCCATGCCGATTTCAGATTATTTGTCACAGTTGCTCCGATCAGATCGGTCTCCTCCATTTTGTAGTTTATTTACGACTTTTGAATCCACATAAACACATCGGCAAAATCCGGCTTACTTTGAGCATGTGTTTTAAACAGTTGAATCCCTTTGTGAATTGTTTCCACTTGCGCCGTCCTTTAATTTCTTCATACAGCGGGAATCCAAATTAATTAATCCTGAGTCCAATAACCATCAAAGTCACTCCAATAGTGCTCCTTGATTACGCTTTCATCCTCCTTTAACAACATACTTCACATTCATCCAGTTTGTGACAGTAGTTGTAGCATTTTTTAGACTTTTAAACTTTAATTACTGCTGCTGCGCGGTATTGAGTATGTAAATCGCTTTGGATAAAAGCGTCTAACAAGTAACATGTAATCTAACAAGTAACATGTAATAAATAGTTAGTATCCTGGCTAAAAGTTGGTATTTCTCAGGTCTGATATTTTGCATTATTCCAAAAATGTCTTATTACTTTCCAGATTAACTATAAAATGGACTATGAGACTTCAGTGAAGGGAAGCGGCTGGATTCCCATTGGTTCTGTGGACGTGGAAAGAGCTAAGGTGGCAGGAGCAGCGATTAATGAGTCAAAGTACCGCCAGAACCCGGACACCTTCAAGTTCTCCAGTCACAGCGACTCCATGAACATGATGCTGGCCAAGTCCAACTCCAAGATCATGAACATGGTGAGAAGGAGCAAAAACAATAACTTCTTGTCTTGCTATAAAGTAAATCACATGGTTTTAGTCTTTTGATTCCCTATATTAACAGACAAACCGATCTCTTTGTTGTCTTTTTGCAGAAAGAGTATAAGGCCAGTGGAGAGAAGTTTATGCACACTTACCATCTCCCTGCTGACGTCCCTGAACTGATGCAAGCCAGATACAACGCTGTCAACATCAGCAAGGTGAGTCGCACATTCTTATTTAGTATTTTCCAGCATTTGTGCATTTGTAAAATATATCTAGAAATGACTTTTGTATCCTGTGATATAACACTTCATTCATTCATTTTATTTAGAATTACTACACCTATGCTCATCGCCAAGATCTGCTCAAAGGACATCACGTGAAGCAAGATGCCATTTCCGTTATTGCAGCAAAACAGTCCACTAAAATCGCCAGTGATGTAAGTAGTATGCCGATAATAAAACTTTTGAATCGTTACCGAATCCGATAATGCTTTTCATACCTAACGTTCGTCTTTTTTTTTTACAGTACAAGTACAAGCTGGCTTATGAGAAGGCAAAGGGCCACCATGTTGGTTTCCGTAGCATCGAGGACGATCCCCTGCTGGTCCACTACATGAAGGTGGCTAAGATGCAGAGTGAGAAGAACTACAAGAAGGACTACAACAAGGCCAAGCTGAAGTATCACTCCCCAGTGGACATGATGAGTTTGGTGCAAGCCAAACATGCTTCAAAGGTTCAGACCTTCGCCGGATACAGGAAGATCCCTAACGGCTACTTGATGCTGCCTGACAACTTGAACGTGCAGCGCTGCCGCAACATGATGGAGATTCAGAGTGATGTATGTTCTCACTTTTTACGCATACTGTATGTAGATGTGCAAGTCTTTGAAAAACACTTAAACGCAGCATGCATCTGTGTGACGCTGGAAACAGAAAAGCAAAAAGCACATTCAAGTCAAAGTCAACTTTATTGTCGATCTTTCAGTTTGTGTGTACAGACAGAGAGATCGAAATACCGTTTCCCATAATCCCGAATACAAAAACAAATATATTTAAAAATATGTATGCAAATATGTATATACCTATATATACACAACCAAAAGACACATTTATACATATGCACACATTAAGACCTAAATAAAAGCACAACAATCATTGATGACTAGGGATGCTCCGATCGCCAATTTTGGGGCCGATCGCCGGAATCAGTATCGGCCGATACCGATCGCCGATCCGATCGAGTGGGCGGGGCCTAAATGGAAGATTTAAACATCACTTTAAATCTTCCATTTAAAGTGATGTTTAAAACTCAGTTAATGGGGCTCATTCACTGGAGCTTCCACAAACAACAATCAACTTAATTATTACATTCAAATTATGTATATTATTCAAGTTTACATTCACTTTGGATAATACCACGGGAGAAATTAGCGGAAGCGCTCTCTTTTCCTCTCTCCCCCTCTCTCTCTCCCCCTCTCTCCCCCCCTCTCTCCTCCTCTCTCCCCCCTCCTCTCTCCCCCCCTCTCTCCTCCTCTCTCCCCCCCTCCCTCTCTCTCCTGACAGCCCGTCAGTATCGTCTCATGCAGCTCGCTGATCCAGTAATGTGTGAGGCCGACAGTGAAGAATAAACATATTTATAACTAGTTTAGCTTGTTCCAGAGGTAGATAAAATAGCTAAGTGTGTTAGGTCTAACTCTTGTGTGTTCTGCTCCGCTCACCGGTCCGTCACAGCGGGTGGAGCTGCAGGATTTCTGCTTCACACACACGTTGCATACCGCTATTTTACTGTCTTTTTCGGACACCTTAAAATAATGCCAGACCGGTGAAGCCATTTTGGCGAGCTTGTTTTGCCGCGTACAGAGAAAAGTGTCATGTATTTTACGTCATGCGATCGGCCCTCGCGATCGGCATGTTTAGAGAGCACCGATCGATCGGTAGAGAGTGAGTATCGGCAGATCTCGATCGGTGACCGATCGATCGGAGCATCCCTATTGATGACAAACACTCAAATTCTCAATCTTCTTCTCTTTAAACCCACAGAATCTCTACAAATCAGAATACAGCAACTTCACTAAAGGCACAGGATGGATCCCTATTGGTTCTATTGATGTGGAGAAGGCCAAAGTTGCTACAGCCGCCCTGGATGAGCACCACTACCGCCAGCCCCCAAGTTCTTTCAAATTCACCAGCAAGACTGATGCCATGAACATGACTCTGGCTATGGCCAACACCAAGATCATGGATCACGTAAGAATGTCTTCTAATAATAAAGAAACCAATGCCTTCACAACTCCAAAATGTGTTGATTATTCATGTACCAGGTTTGACTTTTGTTCTTCCTCTCTAGTCTTCATACAAAGCTTCTGGAGAGAAGTTCATGCACACCTATAATCTGCCGGGTGACAGCCCTCAGTTCCTTCAGGCTAAATTCAACGCCCAGACCCTGAGCGAGGTAAGAGGACATCATATTCATTAAGTTAGAAAATGTTTTATATGCCAAAGAAATAATTGTCGTAACACTTTTTTGCTTTGTTTATCCACAGAGTCACTACAAGCACAAGTGGCTGGCCGATATTGCCAAGGGATACAACATGAAGCCGGATGCCATTTCTGTCATTCACGCCAAGCATGGCAGACATATTGCCAGCAATGTATGTATATCATAAATCTACCCAACGCACTTTTTTCCATTTAACTGAAAAAGTCACTAACGTCCACAAACTCCTTTTTTTCCAGATCCAATATAAGAAAGAATTTGAGAAGGCAAAGGGCCACCATATTGGTTTCCGCAGCATCAAGGACGATCCTCTGATGGTCCACTACATGCAGTTGGCCAAATTGCAGAGTGACAAGAACTACAAGAAGGACTACAACAAGGCCAAGCTGAAGTATCACTCCCCAGTGGACATGATGAGTTTGGTGCAAGCCAAACATGCTTCAAAGGTTCAGACCTTCGCCGGATACAGGAAGATCCCTAACGGCTACATGATCCTGCCCGACAACTTGAACGTGCAGCGGTGTCGCAAAATGAACGCCCAGTCAAGTGATGTAAGTTTGAAAGGGGCCTTCAAATGCCTTTTGGGGTTTTCCCTTTCCTGTAGTGCGTTATATAGGTTTTTGTGCATGTAAATGGTCTGCTAAGGCTAAAATCCCAAAGTTTCCCTCCAGATTAAATAATAATAATACACTTTATTTATATAGAACCTTTCAAACAGAGTTAAAACGGGCTCTAACATAATACAAAATAAATGCATTATTAAATAAACACAGAGAATAAAATTAACTTAATTTCAAAGAAATTAACTAAATGTTTAAATTTAAATGGAAATTCTTTCAATCACTACTAATTGTCATTTTTAATTATAGTGTAGTAGAAGTATTTACATTTCCTGCTATTTTATACTTCTACCCATCCGCAGTTTATAGGCTAATGTTTTACTTTTTGCCAGTTGCAACACATAAATGCATCTATTGATTTTCACAATTGTGCAAAAACGTTGACACGAGTCATACTCTAACAACTTATCTATGTTTTTTTTCAGTGTGACTACAAGTCTGAATATAATAACTATATCAGAGGCACTGGATGGGTCCCTATCGGCTCAATTGGAGTTGAGACGGCTAAAATTGGCGGTCTGATTCAGAGCGACAACAGGTACCGCACCGACCCATCCACCCACAAGTTCAGCAAGCTGATGGACTCCATGGACATTGCTCTGGCTACTGCCAACAACAAGATCATGAACAAGGTGCAGCATGGTTAACTGTTCTGTAGAGTGCAGGGCCACTAAGTATGAATTATTATCATCATTCATTTGTTTTTCTGGTCTTACAGCAAGCATACACTGCAGCTTGGGATAAGGCTAAACTGAGCATCCACGTCATGCCTGATTCTCCTGAAATCATCCTGGCCAAGGCTAATGCCCTCAACATGAGCAACGTAAGAGGAATACTTAAAACTGTTTAACCTACCTCTAATTGTATATAAATAATGGTGATCGGTTTGTGTATTTTAACACTCTTACTTTTATCCAAACAGAAACTTTACAAAGCCGGTGTTGTGGCGATGGCCAATAAGGGCTACCATCTCAAAGGAGACGCCATCGCAATCTTGGCCGCCAAAGCTGGAACTAGAATTGCCAGTGACGTAAGTTGAACAAACATTCCTGTGCCAAATTAAGAAGGGAATGTACTGAAACCCACCATGAATGTTAAACAAGTATTCTTTCACTGTTTACAGTACAAGTACAAGCTGGCTTACGAGAAGGCCAGAGGACACCATGTTGGTTTCCGCAGCATCAAGGACGATCCTCTGATGGTCCACTACATGCAGTTGGCCAAATTGCAGAGTGACAAGAACTACAAGAAGGACTACAACAAGGCCAAGCTGAAGTATCACTCCCCAGTGGACATGATGAGTTTGGTGCAGGCCAAACATGCTTCAAAGGTTCAGACCTTCGCCGGATACAGAACGATCCAGCACAGTTACTCTCTCCTCCCTGATGCAATTAGCCTGAAGCACGCTCGCACCATGAGCACCCAGGCTAGCGATGTAAGTTTGAAACATTAAAGGGGCCCTAAAATGCTTCTTGGGGTCTCCCCTTTCCTGTAGTATGTTATATAGGTTTGTGTGCATGTACATGGTCTGCAAAGGCTAGAATCCCTGTGTTCCCTCCAGAGGGAGTTTCTCTACCACAAAGGCAGAAAACAACTAATAATTGATTTTTATCAAACTCTAATCATCTGAATTATGTTTTTTTTCAGTGCGACTACAAGTCTGAATATAATAACTATATCAGAGGCACTGGATGGGTCCCTATCGGCTCAATTGGAGTTGAGACGGCTAAAATTGGCGGTCTGATTCAGAGCGACAACAAGTACCGCACCGACCCAACCACCCACAAGTTCAGCAAGCTGATGGACTCCATGGACATTGCTCTGGCTACTGCCAACAACAAGATCATGAACAAGGTGCAGCATGGTTAACTGTTCTGTAGAGTGCAGGGCCACTAAGTATGAATTATTATCATCATTCATTTGTTTTTCTGGTCTTACAGCAAGCATACACTGCAGCTTGGGATAAGGCCAAACTGAGCATCCACGTCATGCCTGATTCTCCTGAAATCATCCTGGCCAAGGCTAATGCCCTCAACATGAGCAACGTAAGAGGAATACTTAAAACTGTTTAACCTACCTCTAATTGTATATAAATAATGGTGATCGGTTTGTGTATTTTAACACTCTTACTTTTATCCAAACAGAAACTTTACAAAGCCGGTGTTGTGGCGATGGCCAATAAGGGCTACCATCTCAAAGGAGACGCCATCGCAATCTTGGCCGCCAAAGCTGGAACTAGAATTGCCAGTGACGTAAGTTGAACAAACATTCCTGTGCCAAATTAAGAAGGGAATGTACTGAAACCCACCATGAATGTTAAACAAGTATTCTTTCACTGTTTACAGTACAAGTACAAGCTGGCTTACGAGAAGGCCAGAGGACACCATATTGGTTTCCGCAGCGTCAAGGACGATCCTCTGATGGTCCACTACATGCAGTTGGCCAAATTGCAGAGTGACAAGAACTACAAGAAGGACTACCACAAGGCCAAGCTGAAGTATCACTCCCCAGTGGACATGATGAGTTTGACCCAGGCCAAACATGCTTCAAAGGTTCAGACCTTCGCCGGCTACAGGAAGATCCCTAACGGCTACTTGATGCTGCCTGACAACTTGAACGTGCAGCGGTGTCGCAGCATGATGGAGATTCAGAGTGATGTATGTTCTCCCTTTTTACCCAAACAATAGCCTAGTAGCTTCAGTGTAGTTATGGCAGTGAAGATCTGAAGTCCCAGGCTCCTTCAACAATGCAACATAGATATATACAAGACATAAAACAATAAAACTAATCTATAAAATAGTGCAAGAAGAAACAGAGTACAATCAATAGTGCAAGATTATCTATACTATATACATGTCAAAAAACTATTAAGTGAAATTGGACAATGGCATATGTTTTGTTTCTCTATTCTAGTCTTAATTCAAGTGAAAAGTAAGCAATGGACTAATTATAAAGGTTTGGTTAAAGTTAACTGGTGCAGGCCAAACATGCCTCACGTGTTCAGACTAATGCTGGATACAAGCAGTCCAACCCACACTACACTGTGATGCCTGACGCCATGAACCTGCGACTTGCTCGTAACATGCAGTTCATCGCCAGTGATGTACATAGAGAGTCTGACTTAAATAATATCTATTTACACAAGACTTTCACTCCAAATTGGGACATTGACTTTGCATGTAGCTGTTTTGCATCTAAAATAAACTGTTTTTCTTGACTTTCCCCCTTCAGAACCAGTACAAGAGTGAGTATGAAAGCTACGTTAAGGGAGTAGGATGGATTCCCATTGGATCGGTGGATGTTGAGAAAGCAAAATTAGCCGGACGTATCTTCAGCGAATCCAAATACCGTCAGTCTCCCAGCAAATTCAATTTCACTAAAGACATGCACTCCATGGATCTCTTACTGGCCACCGCCAACAACAAGATCATGAATAAGGTACTGGATAGGATTTGTGGTTTTTTTAAAATCACAAATTGGTCTACTCTAGCATTTATGTGACGTAAATGTTGTTTTTTAGCAATCCTACACCACTGCCTGGGAAAAAGCCAAGACTTCAATCCACATGATGCCTGATGCGATGGACATTGTTCTAGCCAGAGGAAACAAGAAGAACGTCAGTGAGGTAAAGGGTTATACTTAATGTTTCCACACATGATTTTCTAGATCTTTTCTGGGGTCTGTTATGGAAATAAACAAAACTAGCCGTATGGATCTTGCCAAAAGGAATTGGTTGGGACCAGTAAACAGAACGGTATCTCCATTTCGAAAGTAATCATATATTTTAAATACTATTTGCTTTGTGTCTGAGCTAGATTACCAGGTTGCTGGATTTCAATCATCATTATAATTGTATTTTGAACTGTTGGTTAATAAACTGATTTGATTACATTACTTCATGTTGGTGCATTAGTTGATTCAGTATGAAGAAGACATGCTCTCCTTAATACAAATGTATATCCTTTCTCTCTTCAGAAACTGTACAAGTTGGACAATGAGCTGTCCAAGAAGAAGGGCCACCATCTTCATGGTGATGCCATTTCAGTCTTGGCTGCCAAAGCTTCCACTGCTATTGCTAGTGATGTAAGTGTCTGTGTGGATATTCCTATACTGTTCCAACAACTGTATACATCAATTGTGATATTCCCACCCTCAAGAGTTTTTTTATTTGGTGATAAAACTCTCACACTTTCTTTTTTTAGTACAAGTACCATGCAGGATACCGTAAGCAGGTGGGCCACCACATCGGTGCTCGCTGCGTCCAGGACGACCCTCTGCTGGTTCTGGCTCTGAACTCAGCCAGGATTGCCAGTGACGCTCTGTACAAGAAGGACTTCAACAAGTCCAAGACCAAGTTCAACCTGCCCGTGGACATGATTGCCTTTGCGCTGGCCAAGAAGAACCAGATCCAGGTCAACCACGCCAACTACATCACCCGTCTGCACAACTGGACTTGTCTTCCAGACTCCACTGATGTGCGCCAGGCCAGGCACGCATATGACATACAGAGTGATGTGAGTATGAATCCTGAAATGTTTACTTTGTGCAGTATTCGTTTTGCAGATATTTCAAGTTTTAGAATCATCGTTCACAATATTAAACCTTTTTTTGCATCCAGAATTTGTACAAGGAGGACTTCAAGATGATGCAGGGTATCGGATGGGTGCCGATAGGTTCACTGGATGTTGAGAAGGCAAAGAAAGCCGGTGAGGCTCTGAATGAGAGGAAGTATCGTCAACACCCAAGCAACTTCAAATTCAAAATCACCACTGAGGACATGTCCCTGGTGTTGGCTAAGGCCAATAACAAGGTTATGAACAAGGTATTTTCTATGCAATTTTGTTAATGTTGTGTTTTATACAGTATTGATGAATGTTTTTCTGCAAGTTCACTTCACAGGTTGTCTTTAACTGTAAAGACAGTACTTTGTATTATGTTTTTTATTCAGTGTTTCAAAACATAAGGCAGGACGATAGCATGGCAACACCTGAAATAGAAAAAATAGAAAAGGAATTTTAGCTTTCATAACATAGGTTTTTCCTAATGTCGATAACAGCAAAGTCAATTTAATCATACTCTATATAAGAATAGACATTGTTTGGTAAATAAGAGTAATTTACTCGAAACAAGCTGTTCATTGGTAGTGATATTCATTTCTAAATATCCAATGGGCTTATTTAGGGTACATTTAAAATAATGTAATGATTAACAGACTTGCATTACATTATTTAAAATCTAATTTATACCCTGAATGTCTCTAAAATTGTTATTTTATGTTAAAAGATAGTGCTGAAATGTCTGTCGCTCTGTGAGGAATATCATCACATCATCTGCATAGAGCAATATCAGTGATGATTCAGCCTTGAATATATGTTTCTCTTTTAGCACATCATTTGAAAGGTTTAGAGATCAATGCAAACAACAACCCTGATTAAGTACAACCTCTGATGTGCCTCTGCTTGTAGAAAATAAATCTGAGGAGGTTATTAAGTGTAGTTTTAATCTATTCAATATAATCTTAAGCGAAATTGAATGTGAACAAAACTGAGAAAAAGTTCCTGACGACTTGAAAACATTCTCCACTTTACTAGATTTAAGAAGTCCTACAAGTTAGGAGTTTTCTAATTTCATCAGCTGTATATATCATTTTTCAAAATGTTTTTAATTTTGTATTATTGAAACTAAACTTTTTTTGTTTTAATTTGATCTACAGCAAGCTTACAATCAAGCCTGGGAGAAAGACAAGACATCAATCCACATCATGCCTGACTCTATGGAGGTTCTTCTAGCCAAAGCAAACAAAACCAACTACAGTTTGGTGAGTCACTTTTTCTGAGTAATTGATCGCTTTAAAGCAACATTATTATTGGTACACAACCATTTTTCAGAAGATGTTAATTTATTTCTTTATTTTCCTTTATACAGAACCAGTACAGGCAGGCAAATGAGGACGCTAAGAAGAAGGGCTACGACCTGCGCAATGATGCCATTTCTATCATCGCAGCCAAGAAGACCAGGGATATTGCCAGTGATGTAAGCTGTGGGATTTCTTTTTAACAAAGATAAACTGTTTCCATATGTTTATCACTGCACATGTGACCATGGAACTTTGTTATTCAATTTTCTTCCAGCACAAGTACCATGAAGGATACCGTAAGCAGGTGGGCCACCACATCGGTGCTCGCTGCGTCCAGGACGATCCTCTGCTGGTTCTGGCTCTGAACTCAGCCAGGATTGCCAGTGACGCTTTGTACAAGAAGGACTTCAACAAGTCCAAGACCAAGTTCAACCTGCCTGTGGACATGATAGCCTTTGCGCTGGCCAAGAAGAACCAGATCCAGGTCAACCACGCCAACTACATCACCCGCCTCCACAACTGGACTTGTCTTCCAGACTCCACCGATGTGCGCCAGGCCAGGCGCGCATATGACATACAGAGTGATGTGAGTATGAATCCTGAAATGTATCTTATAGAAAGTTTATTTTTTGAACATCTTGGACCATATAACACAATGTTTCTGTTGCATCCAGAATGTGTACAAGGAGGACTTAAGGATGATGCAGGGTATCGGATGGGTGCCGATAGGTTCACTGGATGTTGAGAAGGCAAAGAAAGCCGGTGAGGCTCTGAATGAGAGGAAGTATCGTCAACACCCAAGCAACTTCAAATTCAAAATCACCACTGAGGACATGTCCCTGGTGTTGGCTAAGGCCAATAACAAGGTTATGAACAAGGTATGAAATCATCAATCCTGTAATCGAGAAGGTCAAAATGGCACAGTTGAACTACTTATACTGATATGATGAAAGCTTTTCCGTGAATTAAAATGCATTCTTGCAGAGTATATTGTAATAATAATATATATTTTTGTATCTTTAAAGAAAGCATACTCTGATGCCTGGAACCACGACAAGACAACAATCCACATCATGCCTGACTCTATGGATGTTCTTCTAGCCAAAGCAAACAATGTCAACTACAGTTTGGTAAGTGAAAAATTAAACATATTATGGTAAAGCAATTAAATACAGTATAAGGATAATATAATGATAATAGTAATACATTTTATTGATGTAAGATATTTCTAAACAAGGTTACAATATGCTATATTCATTAGGATATTGTTTGTTTTCGATACATCTGTGTCTTATTATAACTCAGACCTACTTTTAAATCAGAAATGAATGTACATTTAATGTGGGATGTTTGTGTTTGCTTACAGAAAAAGTACAAGCAGGCAAATGAAGACTCCAAGAAGAAGGGCTACGACCTGCGCGGCGATGCCATTTCCATCCTCGCTGCCAAGAAGACCACGGCTATTGCCAGTGATGTAAGCTGTGGGATTTCTTTTTAAAACTGTTTCCATATATTTATCACTGCACATGTAACCATAAAACTTTGTTGTTCAATTCTCTTCCAGCACAAGTACCATGAAGGATACCGTAAGCAGCTCGGCCACCACATCGGTGCTCGCTGCGTCCAGGACGATCCTCTGCTGGTTCTGGCTCTGAACTCAGCCAGGATTGCCAGTGACCATCTGTACAAGAAGGACTTCAACAAGTCCAAGACCAAGTTCAACCTGCCTGTGGACATGATCGCCTTTGCGCTGGCCAAGAAGAACCAGATCCAGGTCAACCACGCCAACTACATCACCCGCCTCCACAACTGGACTTGTCTTCCAGACTCCACTGATGTGCGCCAGGCCAGGCGCGCATATGACATACAGAGTGATGTGAGTATGAATCCTGAAATGTATCTTATAGAAAGTTTATTTTTTGAACATCTTGGACCATATAACACAATGTTTCTGTTGCATCCAGAATGTGTACAAGGAGGACTTAAGGATGATGCAGGGTATCGGATGGGTGCCGATAGGTTCACTGGATGTTGAGAAGGCAAAGAAAGCCGGTGAGGCTCTGAATGAGAGGAAGTATCGTCAACACCCAAGCAACTTCAAATTCAAACTCACCACTGAGGACATGTCCCTGGTGTTGGCTAAGGCCAATAACAAGGTTATGAACAAGGTATGAAATAACATTACAATTATGTAATCATAAAAATGCATATTTGCAGTGTTCATCATGTTAGTAATTTCTCTCTTTTTCTTTTGTTTATGACCACAGAAAGCATATTCTGATGTCTGGAACAAGGAGAAGACGAAGATCCACATCATGCCTGATTCTATGGATGTTCTTCTAGCCAAAGCAAACAATGTCAACTACAGTTTGGTACGTGAACAATTCAGTATTTATGGTGATACAGCAACCCGCCGTATTCCAGTTTACTTTCAAGGGTAAATGTATATACTTAATTTCTGGTATGTTTGTGTTTGTTTACAGAAAAAGTACAAGCAGGCAAATGAAGACTCCAAGAAGAAGGGCTACGACCTGCGCGGCGATGCCATTTCCATCCTCGCTGCCAAGAAGACCACGGCTATTGCCAGTGATGTAAGCTTTTTAACAAATACAAACCGTTTCCATATGTTTATCACTGCACATGTAACCATGGAACTTTGTTATTACATTTTCTTCCAGCACAAGTACCATGAAGGATACCGTAAGCAGCTCGGCCACCACATCGGTGCTCGCTGCGTCCAGGACGATCCTCTGCTGGTTCTGGCTCTGAACTCAGCCAGGATTGCCAGTGACGCTTTGTACAAGAAGGACTTCAACAAGTCCAAGACCAAGTTCAACCTGCCTGTGGACATGATCGCCTTTGCGCTGGCCAAGAAGAACCAGATCCAGGTCAACCACGCCAACTACATCACCCGCCTGCACAACTGGACTTGTCTTCCAGACTCCACTGATGTGCGCCAGGCCAGGCGCGCATATGACATACAGAGCGACGTGAGTGTAGCTCCCTTGCTTTATTGTTTTTATTTCAGTTTCATGCTACCAAGTATGTGAGGAATTTAATTGTTTTCTTTACTCACTTCAAAGGCTGTCTACAAAGCTGACTTGAAGTGGCTCCAGGGTTTGGGCTGGGTTCCCATTGGCTCACTGGATGTGGAGAAAGCCAAGAAAGCTGGAGATGCTTTGAATGAAAGGAAGTACCGCCAACCCCCAAGCAATTTCCCCTTCAAGAGCACCACAGAGGCTATGAACCTCGTACTTGCGAAGAATAACGCTTTGGTCATGAACAAGGTTCGAATTTAAATATTTTGGGTTGAATTCAAATATATTTTTGTGAAAAAAGGTCTATTACTAATGCAATGGAGACCTCTCTCTTGAGATATCTTCAGTTAATCAAGTAACACTTATTTGTGGTTTGTTCCAGCAACTCTACACCGCCGCATGGGAGAAGGACAAGACCAAGCTGCACATCAACCCTGACACTCCTGAGATCGTCCTCGGTCAGCAGAATGCTATCACCATGAGCAAGGTTAGCTTAGTGAAGAAGCTGAATTATTGGACCTCCATTTGTTGAAGAGCTGTTAACAAAAGTATTCATATTGTGTCTTTCTTTGTAGAAACTCTACAGACAAGGTTATGAGGCCACCATCAGCAAAGGTTATGTCCTTCCCGGGGATGCTATCTCTGTAAAGGCTGCTAAGTCCTCCAGGGACATCATCAGTGATGTAAGTGACCACAACTCACAACAACACTATAACACGGTCATGCAATATATTTTTTTTTGGGGCAAATTATTATTGTTATTAATGGCTGCTACTGTTGATATCATCAGTACAAGTACAAGACAGGATACCGTAAGCAGGTGGGCCACCACATCGGAGCCCTCAGTGTCAAAGACGATCCTCTGATCGTTCTGGCTATGAACTCGGCAAAGATTGCTAGTGACGCTCTGTACAAGAAGGACTTCAACAAGTCCAAGACCAAGTTCAACCTGCCAGTGGACATGCTGAGTATCGAGCTGGCCAAGAAATGCCAGATCCAGGTCAACCACGCCAACTACATCACCCGCCTGCACAACTGGACCTGCCTGCCCGACTCCAGTGATGTGCGCCAGGCCAGGAAAGCGTACGATCTGCAGAGCAATGTGAGCCTCTCTTTGACATGTTCAACATCTTTCAACAAACAATGTGCTGAGGTTTTTTAATGTTACATGTAAACTATTTTCCCAACAGGCTGTATACAAGGCTGACAGGGATGAGGTGATAGGCGTCGGATGGATCCCCATAGGTTCAGTTGATGTGTTGAAGGCAAAGCACGCTGGAAAGATTCTCAGCGAACATCTGTACAGGTTGAAACCAGACAAACAGAAATTCACCACGGACATGTCTTCCATGTCCATGGTCTTGGCCAAAGCAAATGCTGGCATCATCAACAAGGTGAAGAATATCACATCCCTCTTTTACAATTCCTTCAATCATCTCCTGGTGTGTTAATGTGTTTTCAATCCCTTTTTTATGTTCCTCACAACAGAAAAACTATACGGCAGCTTGGGAGGTTGACAAAGTCAAGAACCATATAAACGCAGACTTACCTGAGATTCTGCTCTCTAAAGCTAATGCTTACAACATGAGCAAGGTACGTTCGGTCTGTTTTGACCTCAACTTGTATTATACAGCCATGTAAGAAAATATGATGCTGATAATGTTCATTTTATAATCAACTATTTTAATTTTTCTTTCAGAAAAATTACAGGGAAGCTGTTGACGCGATGTTCAGAAAGGGCTACGACATCAAGTCCGATGCTGTCTCTATTGTTGCTGCCAAAAAAGGAAGAGAAATCATCAGTGATGTACGTAACATACGAAAGGACACTTTTCTCTCAGACATATATCAATAGCAATACGAAATAACCTGTCTTAAGCAATGTGGCTCAAAAACGGGGGCCCAAGGCTATAAAAATGTGTGCTTACTTGTATTGTACTTTCACTTCAGATTAGATATACTTTATTGATCCCAATTTGGCAAAATATACCCATATTGACAGTGAACGATATACTGTATATCTATTATATAAAATATAATTATACAAGATTGACATCAGTGTCACAATGATATGCCAACCTATAACTAACAAAATGTATGCATAAGATAATTTTTGTATTAAAGACCTTCACCTTTACCTTCTCTTTCTACACAGTATAAATATAAGGCAGGATACCGTAAGCAGGTGGGCCACCACATCGGTGCTCGCTGCGTCCAGGACGACCCTCTGATCATGCTGGCTCTGAACTCAGCCAGGATTGCCAGTGACGCTCTGTACAAGAAGGACTTCAACCAGTCCAAGACCAAGTTCAACCTGCCCGTGGACATGCTGAATATTGAACTGGCCAAGAAATGCCAGATCCAGGTCAACGACTTCAACTACAGGACTCACCTGCACAACTGGACCTGCCTGCCAGACTCCACTGATGTGCGCCAGGCCAGAAAGGCTTACGACCTGCAGAGTGATGTAAGTAACGAGAGTTTATCAGAATGTGTTTGCTCAACTTTATCTTGCTTATTTATTTTATTCAATGTGTCTCCACTTTTTATCCTCCCGATATGACTTGTAGGCTATTTATAAGGCCGACATGGAATGGATGAGGGGAACCGGTTGGGTGCCAATAGGTTCAGTTGATGTGGAGAAGGCCAAGAAAGCAGGAGCGATCCTGAATGAAAGGAAGTACCGTGAGCATCCCAGCAAATTCAAGTTCACAGCCAAGACAAGTGACATCCCATATGCCCTTGCTACGGCAAATGCCCATATCATGAACAAGGTAGAGATCCTATAACATTGTACTTTATTGTTATTTTGCATTTTTATCTTAGTTTCTTTTGATTTTAAGTATTATACAGAATATGTGGAAAAGTGTTGACTTACTTCCCTTTGTTCGACTCGATGAATCGCATAAAACTGTGTCAATCTGCTGTTTACAGCAAGCGTACACTTCCGCCTGGGATACGGATAAGGTCAAACTTCACATGGGTACTGACATCCCAGAGATCATCCTGGCCAAGCAGAATAATATCAACACCAGTCTGGTAATGTAGTGCCTCTCAATGTAGTTCTTAAACCAATAAGTGCATCACATATGATCATATCAATAATTGTTAACTTGCTTAAAGAATAATTATCAGATATTGTCCTAATGTTTGAAGAATGAAGGACATTTTAGTGTTGATGTTTTAATCACTAGTACAAGGAAATAGTCTCCATTGGTACTGATATTGGAATTTAAACTAAATGTATATCAGACATACTAACTGCCTATTCCTTCTTTTGGTTCCCAGAAACAATACCGTGAAGGCTATATGGAAACCATCAACAAAGGCTACTACCTTCCCAAAGATGCCATTTCTATTTTGGCAGCTAAGGCCTCCCGAAATATCATCAGTGATGTAAGTCTGTCTTTATTTGTGAAGTATTATGCTTCACAATCTAAATTCTTCAGCAGCATTATCCTTTATTTTATTCACTGCAATGATTCCTTTTATGAGAATAATCTAAATATTTCCATCCCATGTTTTTAGTACAAATACAAGGCCGGTTTCCGCAAGCAGTGTGGCAATCAAATCGGTGCACTCAGCGTCAAAGACGACCAGCTGATCATGCTGGCCGCTAATGCAGCCAAGATCTTCAGTGACGCTCTGTACAAGAAGGACTTCAACAAGTCCAAGACAAAGTACAACCTGCCAGTGGACATGCTGAGTATCGCGCTGGCCAAGAAATGCCAGAACCAGGTCAACCAAACCAACTACGCCACCCGCCTGCACAACTGGACCTGCATGCCCGACTCCACGGATGTGGTCCGTGCTAGGAAGGCCTACGACTTAAACAGCGATGTAAGTATATGTAATGTGTTAGAGAAATATCACTCGTCACTGGCTTGAGGTTCAATATCAGGATACATGTATTTATTATCCTTGCAAGAATGTAAGTAGACATCACATACAGAGCAGTTGGTACAACTAGTTCCTGAACAGTGTCCTTCACATGCTTATATACAAGAGAAGGAGTTTCACAATCACAAGATGGAGGAATACCGGTTCAAAGCAGTATTCAATGTTTACTTCAGATTAGCTCCACGTCAGAAATGATCATGCTTGTCATATGTCTATCTCCATAGAGGCTGAATCCTCATGTTAATCCCATAGCTATCATATGCCTAAAACAGTCCTGATGCTCTTCTAGGTAATCAGACATCCTGTCATGTACACAGCTACAGTTGGGATACCTTTGTTATCATGTGCTACTCTGATATTGGAAGAGTACATTGAGTATTTTCCCAACATAATGTTATTCGGTTTGTGGAGAGGGAAATCACTTCGTCCATTTGTTGGAGCATCCAAGTTGAAAAACCTACAAGAACAAAAACACATCTGTATTTTTTGTCTTTCTTTTTTCAGGCCTTGTACAAATCTGATATGGAGTGGCTGAGAGGATGCGGCTGGTCCCCACAGGACTCAGTGGACGTCGTCAAAGCTAAGCACGCCATGAAGATCTTCAATGAGAGGCTCTACCGCCAGCCCCCAAGCAGCGTGAAGTTCACCAGCGTGGTCGATCTGCCAGCTATGGTCCTGTCCAAGCAAAACGCTATCAACATCAGTGATGTGAGTTATTACATATTCAGTAATGCAAAATGCCTTTCCTAGTAAATGTTAAACTCAATATGTTTTTAATCCTTTTTATTTATTTCTGACAGAGGAAATATAGGGAAGTCTGGGATAATGACAAGCTCAAATTCCACATGCCGCCCGACGCCCCCGGCTTTATTCTGTCCAAGGCCAATGCTGTCAGCATCAGCAATGTAAGTTTGCTTTAAAACAAGCCAAGTTCTACCCATGTTAGAAGTATTGAAACTTTACATAAATGCACAGGTTGAAATGTAGTTTTATAAAGTACTTACTTTTTGGTTTGCTTCAACTGTTTTGCAGTTTTTTTGATCATATGTTCTTGTTCTGTGCAGAAACTGTACACGAAGAGTTGGGATGAGCAGAAGGCCAAAGGCTACCACATCAAGGAGGATACTATCTCTGTGCTGAAGGCCAGAGCTTCCAGGGATATCGTCAGTGATGTAAGTAAAGCTTAAATACAGTAACAATCATACATGAAATACATTTCTTGCTTCATCTTCTATCTCTTCTCTTTTAGTACAAGTACCATACAGGATACCGTAAGCAGGTGGGCCACCACATCGGTGCTCGCTGCGTCCAGGACGACCCTCTGATCATGCTGGCTCTGAACTCAGCCAGGATTGCCAGTGACGCTCTGTACAAGAAGGACTTCAACCAGTCCAAGACCAAGTTCAACCTGCCCGTGGACATGCTGAATATTGAACTGGCCAAGAAATGCCAGATCCAGGTCAACGACTTCAACTACAGGACTCACCTGCACAACTGGACCTGCCTGCCAGACTCCACTGATGTGCGCCAGGCCAGAAAGGCTTACGACCTGCAGAGTGATGTAGGTTTATAGAAATGCTTGTGGATAATATTCACTCTATTGAAGCAATGATCACATATGTATTGTATTATATGTAATCTGTATCCTATTGTAGCCCGAGCAACTCTCACTTTGTAAATACTGTACATTTATATCTCATAAACACATTAACATGAACCTGTTTTTGTTTCCTCAGGCTGTGTACAAAGCTGATATGGAATGGATCCGTGGATGTGGATGGAATCCACATGAGTCTGTGGATGTAGTGAGGGTGAAGCACGCACAGAAGGTCCTGGCTGATGTAAGTGTGACTTCTTAAATACACACATTTATATACATTTGTTAAACATTTTGCATATGCATTTGTTCCCTCAGTGTATTTGCTAAATTATTCTTCTTACACACCTTTCCTGCTATTTTACAGAGAGGCTACCGTGTGAAGCAGGATACGCAGAAATACATTGTTCCAACTGACAGGCTGGATATGATCTGTGCCAAGAATGCTGCTAAAGTCCTCAACGAGGTGAGGAAGACTCTCTGCAATTTGGATATGTTTGAGGCCTATCTTCAATTAAACCACTTAAACGTGACGATGACAGATTCCAGTTTTTGTTTGGTAACTAACTTCTGGTTTATCCTTCTGTTCAGCCCAAATATCGTGAGGCCTGGCACAAGGACAAGACCAAGTACTCCGTTCCAGACACTCCAATTCTCGCCACAGCCAGAGAGGTGGCTAAGATTCTTCACCCGGTAAGATGACTAAAGATTTGCTCCATATTACATTTTAACAATGCCTAATCTTTTGCCTATTTCATCCTCTGTTATCATCAGCTTGACAAATCATCATACAACTTATAATAACCATTTCCATCTCTTGCAGAAACTGTACACCAAAGCCTGGGATAAGGTCAAAGCCACAGGCTACTTCATTTCTGGAGACGCTGTACCAATCAAGCAGTGCATCTCCACGAGTAAAGTGCAGAGTAAAGTGAGTAGACTGACACACTTACCCCTCCTTTCATAATCAGAATATCAATGAAAGTTGTTCCTAATTTAACTGTGGGTTTGGGCATATAGAGATAATGTTTTTCTTTTTCTGCAGCATAAGTACCTTGAATCGTACCGTAAGCAGGTGGGCCACCACATCGGTGCTCGCTGCGTCCAGGACGACCCTCTGATCATGCTGGCTCTGAACTCAGCCAGGATTGCCAGTGACGCTCTGTACAAGAAGGACTTCAACCAGTCCAAGACCAAGTTCAACCTGCCCGTGGACATGCTGAATATTGAACTGGCCAAGAAATGCCAGATCCAGGTCAACGACTTCAACTACAGGACTCACCTGCACAACTGGACCTGCCTGCCAGACTCCACTGATGTGCGCCAGGCCAGGAAAGCGTACGATCTGCAGAGCGATGTGAGTGCTAATCACACTTTCCCCGGACTTTATATCATATTAATATTAGGTGTTCTGCCCTCACTGTTGTTATGAGTACAGTTATGCAGATAGATAACTCCTCGACAAGTGGTAAGCGTTTATCTCCTTAAATAAGATATTTACATCCACAAGTCAACAGAGTAAAACTGAAAGAAACACAATATACATAGAAATTAGGCACTTAGCTGTGATGCAAAAATATATATACAACATTTCAATACACCACAAACATAACAAAATGGCAATGTATTTAAACATTGAAATAATATCAAAAATACTCGTTGATATCCACTTGTGAATATGTAAAGAACCAAAAATACTTACAGGCTATGCTTTCCACAACATAGCAAAGAAGGATGGATTCAGATTCAAACTCTAGTCTCATTACTCACATGTGGGTATCACTTCCTATGTTTTCAATGTAAGTCATTCCCATTGGCTGCTACTAACAAAAGAAGAAGTAACACAAAACAACAGCACCACCTGCTGGCTGGGGTAAGACAGCGTCTTAGACGGCACATTAGGGCTGTGATACGATACATATCCTGATAAGGGGGTGTTAGAAAAATATCACTCGTCACCGGCTTGAGCTTCAATCTCAGGATCCATGTGTTTATTATCCTCTCCAGAATGGAAGTAGTCATCACATACAGAGCATCAACTAGTTCCTGAACAGTGTCCTTCACATGCTGATATACAAGAGAGGGAGTTACACAGTCACAAGATGGAGGAATATAAAGCAGTATTCAATGTTTAGTTCAGATTAGCTCCACGTCAGAAATGATCATGCTTGTCATATGTCTATCTCCATAGCAGCTCAATTATCATGTTAATCACATAGCTATCATATGCCTAAAACAGTCCTGATGCTCTTCTAGGTAATCATATATTCTGTCATGTCCACAGCTACAGTTGGGATACCTTTGTTATCATGTTACTCTCATATTGGAAGAGTACATTCACTATTTCCCCACCAGGTGGTATGATTAATGTATAACATTTGTCCTGCTTTCTGTCTTCAGTGTGTGTATAAGGCTGACATGGAATGGCTCCGAGGCTGCGGCTGGATGCCGGCTGAGTCCGTCCACCACGTCAAAGCCAGGAATGCTCAGGCGATTCTCAACGAGGTACGTAATCACACCGCTGTTTTCTTTCAGCACTTTTTGCCCATTTTTTTGTTTTCAGTTCATTTTGACTCACCTCAATGTTGTTTTTTTACCTTGCAGAGACACTACAAGCAGGGCGCAAAGGATGGCTTCGCAAAATTCACCCACATCGTGGACCGTCCTGAGCTCATCTTGGCGAGAGTTAACGCCGCTAACCTCAGTGATGTATGTAAAAAAAAAAGAAGTTTAACTTCTTAATTTCAAGAAGCAAAGTAAAAACGATGAATAACGTTGTTTGCTTCCCACTATAGCTGAAGTACAAAGAGACCTTCAACGCAGAAAAGGGTCACTATATTGGTTCGGAAGACACTCCGCAACTGGCACACAGCAGGGAAGTGGGCAAGAACGTCAGCGAGGTAATGCAATATCCTAAGATTATTTCATAAATGTATGATATTTGTTGGTAACATCAGACTTGCCTTTAACTCTGTGTCTACTTTGGGTCACTTCAGAAAACATACAAACATCAATGGGACGAGGCTAAGGCTACTGGCTACAAGCTGGACCAACAATACATCCCACTTCTCAGCGGAAAGAAGGGCAGGGAGATCATCAGTGACGTAAGTGACTCCTTTAGGGTGTTCATTGCTAAATGTAAAAGCACAAGGGCATCATGTTTTCTTCTTATAGTAGGTGAACTGAAAACTGACTTTCATTATTCTGGACTTTTTTCTAGGCCAAGTACCATGAGCTCCATGAGAAGGCAAAGGGTCACTACATGGCCGGGACCCTGGTGGACTTCCCTGAGGTGGTGCGCTGTGTAGGACAGGAGAAGAACAAGGGACTGGTAAGATATCCTCTATGTATTCCATACATGACAAGACATTTCTGATACTTTTGCAAGGTACTATACAAGACATCCTTCAATTGATAAGAAAGTTAAACAAGATATGAATGATATTGCAAAATGAAAGCCAAAGAAAGTTTAAAAAAGTTATTCAAATACTACAAAAAACTCCCTTATTATCATAATCAGGTGTGTTGCCGCGTAGGTTAACACACATAAGGAATTTGCTTTAGTCTATTGTGGTGCATGCATAGGAGAGGAATAAGGTTGCAAGGAGCAAATAGAAGAAGAAATAGTCCTTGAAGTGTGATGTTATTGTTGGATATTGTCAGAGGTGGGAAGTTATGGAATACAAATACTTTGTTACTGTACTTAAGTACATTTCTCTTGTATCAGTACTTTACTCCACTACTCTTTTTTTCTGACGACTTTCTACTTTGACTTTTTACATTTTGAACACAAATACCTATTGATTTGAACACGATCCGTGTATCCATAATTTCCTGGTCTTCTCTAAAGAAGAGGGACCAATGAAAACGTTGTCATGTTGCCGTTGTGAAGAAGTTTAGTCAGTACTTCTACTTTTACCAGATATTTTTAAACACGAGTATCTGTACTTCTACTTGAGTAAAGGATGTGTGTACTTTTGCCATCTCTGGATATTGTTCATATTGGTAATGACAATGTCAATAACTTTCCATGTTTCCTCTCTTCACAGAGGCTCTACAATAAGGACTACCACATCACCAAGACCAAGAACCACATCCCCCCGGACATCATCGCTAACAAGGTGGCTAAGCGCAGCCAGGACATGCTGAGCGAGGTGCTCTACCGGACCCACCTGCACCAGTGGACCTGCCACCCCGAGCAGGAGGACATCATCCGCGCCCGCAAGACCAACGAGATCCTCAGCGATGTAGGTTTATTATTTAGGAAACTGTTGCGTTTTTTATAATTTGAGATATGGAGTAGCTGAAAATAATCCAGGAAGCTTCTCGTCAAGTTCACAGCCAGACAAATTACCCAATAAAACACATTGATATATTCATTATTCTCACAAAACACAACGGGGTGCTTGTACCTGTCTTTTGCGCAGTGTCCTGTGGTAGATGTTTGGACAAATTCAACAACTGTTTAGATTTTTGTTTGTTAGATATAAAAGCATTTGATTACATATAACTAATTGTATATGTATTTATTAGAATATATACAACAAATAGAGAGAGATAGAAGAAGAAAAACACTATTATTCTACCAGGGGAAATTCCGACTTTAGTCTTATACAGTTATAGAAAACTAAAATGAATTCACAAATACAATCTAATGTTATTAATATAACCCAATGTCACAAAACACCATTGTCTTAGTGGGCTTCACAGATCATCAAACATGAATGAGAGTATACAAATATATAATAAAACTACAAGAATATAATAAAATTACAAGATAAAATGCAAAATACAAATAAAATGGAGTAAAATAAGGCCCTCGAAATACATACATGCACAAAACCATGCATTAAATGACCTCTCAGCACATGAGATAGTCTCTACAAGATGGACATCCTATTTTCAAACCACAATAAGATATCAGTGGGATCTTCATTTAACCATTTCTGCAGTAGCCCAAAGGTTTATTAAGATGTTCAATGCTAGCGTTCAACTTGATATGGAGTATAAACTATGATGTTTGCAAGCAACGGATTGTATCAGATTTTTTTCTCCGTTATTAAATATGTAATTTGTACTTTTTGCTCTTGCCGTTCAATAGGTGTTCTACAAGGAGGACCTGAACTGGATGAAGGGAATGGGTTGCTTCGTCTGGGACACCCCGGAGATCCTTCGTGCCAAGAAGTCCTACGAGCAGCAGAGCGAGGTGAGTGACATCCTGTAAAAATCACAGGAAACTTCAAACTAATTATTATTAGTATTAATAATGTATGGTTTATATGTTAATACAGTGATTATTCAACCATGTGATATCTTCTCTTCCAGCTTAAATACAGAGCGGAGGCCAAGAAGGAGTTCAACAATTACTCCATTGTGACTGACACCCCAGCCTATGTGACTGCCATCCTGGGTAACACCTGGGCTAGTGATGTGAGTGAGCTTGACTTTTTCAAACATATATATGAAGTTTAAAGGTCACCTATTGTGCAAAATCCACTTCTTCATGTCTCTTCTACATCAACATGTGTCCCCTCTGTGGAAAGAGACTCTGAAAGTTTCAGGAACAAAGATTCTCTTTCTTTTTGTCCTGATCCATTTCTATAAAAACCTGTCTGAAAATGAGCTGATCAGATTTTGGCCACTTTGTGATGTCATAACGATATTTTGGCTTGAGTAACCATTAGCCAATCAGCAACCAAGGTAACCCCCCCCCACCTTATCACCTGAATCTCCTCCTAGAGCACCATTGTGTTCTTTGTAACCAAATATCTCTCAGAGGGGCGTGGGGAGGGGCTCCTTATTTTCATCTAAAGTAACAGACAGAGAATCAGCACTTTTGAAACAGGGCTGAAACAGAGGGGATTATGGGATGCTACAATGATCTGTTTGGTGTTTCAGCCAATCAGAGACATGTTCTGTATATATCTGAGACCTATAATATATTGATGAAAAACAGTATAATAGGGGACCTTTAAGATAAAATGCCTAAATGAGTGTGTTAATTAAACTATTATCTTTAACAGCTCAACTACAGGGAGGCCTATCATAAGGAGAAGCACCTGTACACCACCGTTCTGGATACCTACGACTACGCCAAGTGCCGCAACTTCAAGCACTACTTCAGCAGCGTAAGTGACGACTCTTTAATCCAGTGACATGATTGAAGATCTGCTTTAAATAGCATGTTGATAACGTGTTTTTGTTTTACTTTCCACAGAAAAACTACACTGCCGCCTGGGACAAAATCAAAGACAAGAGCTACCAGATTCCTCACGATTCTCACGCCCTGCAACACGCCAAAGTGCAGAAAGTTATCCTCAGCGGCGTGAGTTTAACTTCTGGTTATTATTATTATTCACAAAGCATACATAACTAAATAAACACATGTAGGTACATAACTTAACTACATAACAGTTGACAAATCCGAAATGAAATAATAATAATAATAATGGTAATAATAATAATACAAATAAAAGGATGCAATATTAATACTCAGGTATACATGAATTGTCAATTCTTACCTCATGTTCCTTATAAATCTTCATTATACTTTACCCATTTTTCCCACCTTTCCTCAAAGATATGCATTTCATTTCTATAATTCTCATAGTTGTTTTCTCCATTACATATATTTCATTTACTAGGTTCTTCCATTGAGAGTTTATTAAGTTATTATCTTTTAGCCGATTCCTTGTCATTTGTTTAATGATCGCTCTTCTTATCACAAGAAATAGATAATTCATTTATTTCATTTGACGTTATAACTTTGCAGGTTTTTTCTTCACATATAAGTGGACTGTTTTAAGAGACAATGTGATTTTGTCCCTTTAGGTGAAGTACAAGGAGGACTACGAGAAGTTCAAGTCCCTCTACAGTCTGCCCAAGTGTCTGGAGGACGATCCCTCCACCGCTCGCTGCGTCAAAGCCGGAAAGCTGGTGCTTGATGTAAGTGATATTTATTAGGCTTTTTTATCACGCTGTGTGTCTGAATTATTGTTAGTCAGAGAATACTGAAAGATGAACTCTACTTGAAAAACCAAGCTGCTAAAATGAGTCAAACTGGGTTGTTTTGTGCATTAAAATATCACTGAAAGAAAATAAATTTAATCATGAAATTGGTGTTTTTGGTACACATTAGAAGCATGAAATTCAAGATAATGTAAATATTTGGTATATCAGGAGAGGTCAAAAAGCTACAAGCTGATATAACCAACCTCCTCTCAACTTAAGAAAAAATTAAGTTTGAACTATTCCAAAAAATAGTTGTAAAAAAAAAAAAAACAGACGTCCAGAAAATGCATGACGAAAAATGTGAATTAAATGGAAATATAATTGCAGTTCATTAAAGAAATGTAATAAGAAAATAAGCTAACTTTGTTAAGTTCCATTAAATGTGATCCCTAATAATATCTAACACTCCCAAGCTCTTGATAACATACCCAACCATCTGTTGTCTGTCTTTATAGCGTCTGTACAAGGAGGACTATGAGAAGACCAAGGCTAAGAACCACATCCCTCCAGACATGCTGGAGATCCTGTCCGCCCGCAAAACCCAGTCCTCCGTCAGCGAGATCAACTACCGCAAGAAACTGCACCAATGGATCTGCCTGCCCGACATGCAGGTGTACACGCAGGCACGCAAAGTCAACGAGCAGCTCAGCGACGTAAGTAAAACTCAGAGGGATTTCATGAGCTTGTTATAGAATAGAATAGAATAGAATAGAATCCTTTATTGTCACTATACCTTCCTATTTAACTTGCACAAACAGTGTAATATGATGCCATTTTCTAACATCATATCTTCTTTATTTATAAATACTTTGACAATTCAAGGAAACCACATTTAGAGGCGAAAAAATAACTGCTTTACCAATCAGTGCTCCAGTACTATTTGCAGTGCACATATTTAAATTAGGTAAAGTGCAGACACTCAGAGCACGATTGGCCACACACTTTAGCCAAGCAAAGGCATCATTATGCTCCGCTCACACGCGCACACACACACACACACACACACACACACACACACACACACACACACACACACACACACACACACACACACACACACACACACACACACACACACACACACACACACACACACACACACACACACACACACACACACACACACACACACACACACACACACACACACACACACATTTATTTTGAGATTCAGATCAGGATGTAATGACAGCTCTGTCATTCACTTAAGTGTTACTTTTTGGGGAAATAAATGTATGTATGGAAAACAAGGTTATTATATAATCACAGAATGACATTTGACTTTGTCTCTGTTATAGAAAAAGGCAAATTGCACCTAGTTGCAAAACTCAATAGGCTTTCGAAATCATCCATGAATGTTGTGTAAGCAGAGAAGAAATTAGGACATGTATTTCAAAATAGTAGGACGCACTAATGGTTATTATTCAGTTTCTTGAATTGGTATACTGTATGAAAAAGGATGATGTTTTAACCAATTGCAATCCAAATGCATTATTTAACTTGTGTTATATTTGGTACTCTCCATAGATCTTCTACAAGGATGATTTGAACTGGCTGAGAGGAATCGGTTGTTACGCCTGGGATACTCCCGAGATCCTCCGCGTCAAGAATGCTGACAATCTTCAGAGCGCGGTAAGTCCTATCACTTTATTCATTCTTATGCTACCCTCTATTTCACATCCTCTTAAGATATATATACACATATTATTCTTTTCAACAATGTCCATTAGCTTCCCTTACCTTCCAGTGGATCCTCGGTAGACTCAGACTACATCGTGTTTTCAAAAGTGAAGCTGATCGTCCTGTCTTTGTGTTTTATTTCAGAACAAATACAAAGCCAAGGCTATCGAGTCTTTCAAGGAGTTTTCGGTGGTGATGGACACTCCAGTGTACGAGACATCCAAGCAGAACTCCCAGAACCTGAGCGATGTAAGTGAATCTCAAAATGTTCTGAACAATTTAGACGTATTGCTTTCTATACATTGTATACATACTATATTTACGATATATCTGAACTGGCTTTCTTCTCTTTTTCCAGCTGCACTACCGCTACGATTACCACGCCAACGTCAAGGGAACGAACACCGCTCCGGCTGTTACCATCGACACTCAGAGGGCCGCCATGGCTAACTACATCCAGAGCGATGTGAGATAATATTCCTTAAGGTTCAGCACCCATGTGTAGAAATTACCATCACATATTAGATTAGATTGGAACAATAATTTGCAGCAGCATGTTGAGAAAGTATTGCACAGAAAATAGAAATATGGACTATATACTGCAAGAATGTTTGTTGACATAATATTAAGTTAATAACATTATTTGACGTGCCATTTTTGTAGTTTTCTTTACACTTTATTCTTTATTTTATTGTGGGAATTTGTTCAGACCTACAGTATGGTATATACAGTATACACTGCACACGCTATACTAGTGACAAGGAACCCAATGCTATAGTAAATAGGTGTAATTCAGGGTGAAAAGCAGACAAATCTCTGCTAAAACAGATACAAAAACAACATGTTTTCCAATTTAAACATTATTCAGTTTACTTTTAAGATCGTAGGTTCAGGAATTCTACCTAATGTTGTCCAGTCAGTATCTGTGTTTTAAATTATTTACTTATAAGCTGTATATTTTCTGAGTTGAAATGCCTCCCGTCTCACCTCGTTGTCTTTCCCTCTCTCAGAACGTGTACAAGGAGGAAAACAAGAATTCAATGCCCACCGGATACACCCTGACCAAAGACACACCGCTCATCAAACAGGCTAAAATGAACAGCGTTGTCACCAGCTATGTGAGTACAATTTCTGCCTTAAAGGTCACCTACAGTATTATGCAAAATCCACTTCTTAATGTCTCTTCTACATCAACATGTGTCCCCTCTTCTTCATGTCTCTTCTTCATCAACATGTGTCCCCTCTTCTTCATGTCTCTTCTACATCAACATGTGTCCCCTCTTCTTCATGTCTCTTCTACATCAACATGTGTCCCCTCTTCTTCATGTCTCTTCTACATCAACATGTGTCCCCTCTTCTTCATGTCTCTTCTACATCAACATGTGTCCCCTCTTCTTCATGTCTCTTCTACATCAACATGTGTCCCCTCTTCTTCATGTCTCTTCTACATCAACATGTGTCCCCTCTTCTTCATGTCTCTTCTACATCAACATGTGTCCCTCTTCTTCATGTCTCTTCTTCATCAACATGTGTCCCCTCTCCTTCATGTCTCTTCTACATCAACATGTGTCCCCTCTTCTTCATGTCTCTTCTTCATCAACATGTGTCCCCTCTTCTTCATGTCTCTTCTACATCAACATGTGTCCCCTCTTCTTCATGTCTCTTCTACATCAACATGTGTCCCCTCTTCTTCATGTCTCTTCTACATCAACATGTGTCCCCTCTTCTTCATGTCTCTTCTACATCAACATGTGTCCCCTCTCCTTCATGTCTCTTCTACATCAACATGTGTCCCCTCTTCTTCATGTCTCTTCTACATCAACATGTGTCCCCTCTTCTTCATGTCTCTTCTACATCAGCATGTGTCCCCTCTTCTTCATGTCTCTTCTACATCAACATGTGTCCCCTCTTCTTCATGTCTCTTCTACATCAACATGTGTCCCCTCTTCTTCATGTCTCTTCTTCATCAACATGTGTCCCCTCTTCTTCATGTCTCTTCTTCATCAACACGTGTCCCCTCTTCTTCATGTCTCTTCTTCATCAACATGTGTCCCCTCTTCTTCATGTCTCTTCTACATCAACATGTGTCCCCTCTTCTTCATGTCTCTTCTTCATCAACATGTGTCCGCTCTGTGTAAAGAGATTCTGAAAGTTTCAGGAACAAAGATTCTCTCTCTTTTTGTCCTGATCCATTTCTATAAAAACCTGTCTGAAAATGAGCTGATCAGATTTTGGCCACTTCATGATGTCATAACGATGTTTTGTCTTGTGTAACCATTAGCCAATCAGCAACCAAGGTAACCCCCCCCCACCTTATCACCTGAATCTCCTCCTAGAGCACCATTGAGTTCTTTGTAACCAAATATCTCTCAGAGGGGCGTGGGGAGGGGCTCCTTATTTTCATCTAAAGTAACAGACAGAGAATCAGCACTTTTGAAACAGGGCTGAAACAGAGGGGATTATGGGACGCTGCAATGATCTGTTTGGTGTTTCAGCCAATCAGAGACAGGTTCTGGATATATCTGAGACCTGTAATATATTGATGAAAAACAGTAAAATAGGGGACCTTTAAATCATCCAATTGTAGAGTTTTTTTGATAGCAATTAAACCTTTTTTTGCCAAAGGAGTTTCGATGTTACTGAATCATATCCCCTTGCTTTTTTTGTTGGGTAGGTGAAGTACAAGGAAGCCTATGAGATGACGAAAGCAAAGGCCTACACTCTTCATCCCGAGGGAGTCAACTTCGTCCTCTCAAGGAAGGCTAACAAGATCACCAACGATGTAAGATGATCAATTAATAGAAATGTACATATTACTGACACTTTTACTGGATCAAACATTCTCTTATGTCGTCTTTCTCCTTCCCCAGCGCCTGTATCGTGAGCTGTACCACAAGCAAAAGGACAAGATCCACACAACCTACGACACCCCCGACATCAAACAAGTCAAGATGAACCAGAAGCACCTCAGCGACGTATGAAACCATTTTAACCCCACTTATATCATCCAGGTTTGTTTCATTATTCATGATGGAGTCATATGTTGTACTCACGCCACCGTTTTGTTTCCCTCTCCAGTTGTGCTACAGAGAGAAATACTACAACACCAGAGGTCAGCTGATCAATCTGCCCATCACACCCCAGCTGATGCACTGTTACCACGTCAACCAGATCACCAGCGAGGTATAGGAAGAGAAAAACAGAGAACATGTGCTTTAAATTGATTTACATACATTTCTTAAATACTCATTAAAACCATTTTGTGTCTTTAGCTGAAATACAAAGAGGATCTGCAATGGCTGAGAGGCGTTGGCTGCTTCCTGTACGACACCCCGGAGATGGTGCACGTCCGCAACATCACCAAACAGAGGGTACGTGTTTCCATTTGGATATAACATCCCTTAATATCATGATTATTAGAAACCTCAGTGCAGTAACTGTAATGTGCAATAAACACCTTTTCAATATATTAGTGTTATTACTGCTACTTTTATGCTTTAACATGTCCACTTACTTTTTTTATAAGGCTGCACCTAATTGTTCACCATAAATGTGGATGTCAATAAAGTATCCATCATTCAGTGTTCTTCCTTCAGTGGCTTCACAATCTTTTCTATGTTAACATGTTTCTTTTCCAGGTGACCTACCCAGTGGAGGCTAAGAAGAACCTGGCCAACTTCTCCGTGGTCCTGGACACACCGGAGTATAACCGCGTGACGGAGCTGAAGACCCACATGAGCGGCGTGAGTCAAGTTCCCACACATCACATTTAGGGACTCATTTAAGCGATGTCTATATGGACTTATGACTTTTTTTACCCCCACTTAATTGCAAAAAACATCCAGATGAAGTCTGTCCTGTAGTGGAATTAAATATACCCTATTGTGGCTTTTCCCCTTAGTGTGTAATATAGGTTTTTGTGCATGTCAATGGTCTGTAAAGGCTAAAATCCCAACGTTTCTCTCCCACACACTCCCCCCTCCTTCCTGAGAACCTTGATTTGATGTAAACATATCACAGTAGAGGCTCAACATACACATTTGTACCTGGAAATGAACATAGTATGTCCTTTTTAACAAATTCTTAGTCCTTCTTCAAATGAATACGAATGCTTTAGATTCTAATTTGACCCGATGTGTCATTTAAAAAACTTGGCCTCCAATGATTCAACATTCAAGATGCAAGGCTTTATTGTCATTTGCACATTACAGTAGCTACAGTGTAGATATGTCAATGAACAACTTAAAGGGGACCTATCATGCAAAATGCACTTTTGTACGTCTTTTCTACATGAATATGTGTCCCCGGTGTTCCAGGGAAGTCACCAAGTGTCAGAAAACACAACCCTCTCTATTTTCCTCCATACCCAAATCTCTAAAAAAGGGGCTGCAACGGATCTGATAAAAACTGATCCAGATTTGAACACGCGCTACGGCTATTGGGCCAACTCCACCAATCAGGAGGAGACAGCCACGGACATTGCCGTTCGAAAGCGCTGGAGACGCTGTAGTACATATGCCAGGCCTGTAGATGGTGCTGTTCTCACTGAATCTGCCCAGAGCTAGAAATGGTCAAATTGAGCAAAATGAGGCATGGCTAAAATGCATGATCTGTTTGGTATTTTGAAAAAAAAAAAGTATAAATATGCCTTATATAGGTATGGTCCTACACTATATTATTCAAATATAGCATGATAGGTCCACTTTAAGTAACAGGCTCCTGCAACAGAGCAACATGAATAGGACATAGAACAAATAAAACAGATATTGGCACAATGTATATCAACTTCATCACATTATTATCTCGAGGTTTACATTCAGAAAAGAGTGTCAGAAAGCAAACATCGCAACATCTCTGATTGAGCTTTTGTCTTGACGTGTTTGTGCTTCTCTATTCTCAGATGATCTACAAAGCCCAGGCTAAGGAGGAAATGTCGAAGGTCAGGACCACCGGGGACTCTGTGGACATCAAGAGAGCCAAATGGGCCCAGCTGCTGACCAACAACGCAAGTTCAGACACAACCACCACTCGTTGCATTAACCATTTCCTTCTACTGATAATCTAATCCAGTGTTGTATCTGTTTCTCTACAGTACCAGTACACCAGCTTGGCTTCCAAGGAGAGAACTCACTTCACTTCAGAATATGAAACACCAAGCATGGATCATTCTAGGAAAATGAAGGTGGTCTACAGTGACGTAAGTATTCCCCTTCCTCTTGTATTCTTACGTGTTATCATTGTTTACTTACTTGGTGTTTGTAACCACTCACATCTGAAGAACTTAAATTAATATCTTTGTATATTTCCAGTGATATCGTGTAGCTAATTTACTACAAATGGATAGAAATGACTGTACATTCTGTCAGTGCGCTCATGTGTTGCATACATGATGTCTTCCCTCAGAACAAATACAAAGACCAGTATGAGAAGATGAAGCACAGATACACCGCCATCGCTGACACGCCTCTCCTGATCCGCGCCAAGAAAGCATACCTGCAGTCCAGCGATGTGAGTATACCTCTGAATCAAATGATTTCCAATGTACTTAATGCTCCTTTGTTTGTTTTGTGAAGGGAAAATAAATTGTAAAGCGACTTTGAGTACCTAGAAAAGCACTTTATAAATTAAATGTCTTATTTTTATTATTATTATGAGCCAACCTTTATAAATATAACATTCATATGAGTGCAATCATTTTACGTTTTTTGTAGTTTTCTCAGCTTATCGTTCCCTTTAGCAGTAATTTGAATTTGAAGATGTTCTGCCATTATAGAACCGGTCCTTTCAGAGCTGTCGTGTAAAAAAAACGTGTTATTAAACCGGTGTTACTTCACTTGAATAAACTACTAATTAAAGGTGGGGTAGGTAAGTTTGAGAAACCGGCTCGAGATACACTTTTTGTTATATTCCATGGAATGCTCTTAACATCCCGATAGCAATGAATATCTGAAGTGCTTTGACAAAAAATCCATAAAAAAATGTCATCTGTGGAAGCTGTAATACTGTAAAAAGCACGACCAATCATTTTAGCCGGCCCGGCTAAAATAACTGGATGGCCGACCTGCCTGTCAGCCTTCCATCTGTGCACAAACTTATCTCGTGCCCTCATTGGTCATGTGCGCGTTCGTGTGTGTTGGAGGCGGGGCTCTATAAGGAAGTGGCAGATTTTCTCCGGTCGTGTATTTTCAAATTCTAGCGATCTCGAGCCGGTTTCTCCAAAATTACCTACCCCACCTTTAAGCTACGAAATGTATTAGTTAATGGTATATATTTTAAGTCAATGATAGTCTTAATATGTTTCCTTTTTCTATCATTTTCCACCGTTTTTCAAAGTACTACCACGAAAAATCAGTGCCAAACTGTGTTTGTCCACGGATGATAATGATGTCTTTGTGTTTGATGAAAATCTGACCCCATATGTTCTTTATGTCTTCAGCTGCGTTACAAAGAGACCTTCGAGCTCGCCAAGGGCCACTACCAAACCGTGAAGGACGCTCTGGACATCACCTACCATCGCAGAGTCACTGACGACATCAGCGAGGTCAGGAATACAAATTATTATGATTATGAGTAACGTTCGATAAATAACGTGCAATTACGTAACTACCACTACGGTTTTTGCACTACTAAATACTGGTAATATGTACATTAATTATGTGACCGTCTATGTTTCCTGTAGTTATTGAATTGCTATTTTTACCGCACTGTTAGTGTACAGTTTTATTATGTTTGTGCTGCTGTGGTTATGTTATTGTGTAACTCTGGCAGAACGATTTCCTTCGGGATGAATAAAGTCCTATCTTATCTTATCTTATCCACTTGATGTGAAAATCTTTGCGTGCTAAGATCATTTTGATTTAACTCTCTTATATTTGTTTCTCCATCCTTCAGGTTAAATACAGGCAGAAGTACATCAACTCTCTGGGAACCTGGAAGTCTATCCCCGACCGCCCTGAGTTCTTCTACAGCAAGATGGCCAACGATAACATCAGCAGCGTGAGTGATCGTGACTTTATTTCCAAATAATTTACTCACAGCATCAAGATTCAGAATTAGAAACAGGTTTATCACCAGGTAGGTTGACACGTACGAGGAATTTGACTTGATGTCGTGGTGCATACATACAAGTAAAAAAAACAGATCGAGAACTATTACAAGAAAACTATAATAACATTAAAACATATTACAAATAATAACAAATATAGTGAAATATAGCAGTATTTACATAATAAAACAAATAAATAAACAAATAAATAAATACATAAATAATTAATTCAATATATAAATAAATAAATAAATAAATAAATAAATAAATTAATTAATTAATTAATTAATTAATAAATAATAAATAAATACATAAACAAATTGAATAAAATATGGATTACAATTTGGCAGTAATAATAAAAAGAAAACAGACATTGTGTACATTGTGAGTGTCATACTTTTTTTTTAAATGTGTTTATTTTTAAACAATATCTTTATTGAGTTTTTCATTGTTTACAAACACAAACAATGACATCCACAAATACAGATATTAACAATGAGTGAATAAGACATGTACAAATGAGTTTGCAATCCATGTATAATATACAACATTTTACTTACTAATACGTAACCAGCAAAAAACAAAGACTCACCAGCTCACCAGCCCGACGTGACGCGGAGGGATCTTGATCTGCATGAAGGGTGTTCTCCATAATGACCAAGTCGCTGCACATTGTCCCGCTTATTACACGGCCACATTCTCAACAAAGTAACGATATGACTCCCAATATTAATCGAAATACTTTTATAGATTTAGAACATGTTTTTATTGATTTAAAAAAGAAGTAGACTATTATATATTTAAAATGACATGCATCCGCTAAGAAAAATAGTCCGTTGTTACCGTTTGAACTGCGTTTGAACTGCTTCGATAGCGTTTTTGAGGAGCTTTTTGATTACAGATTTGAAAACATCGTTGCTTGCTTTAAAAGTAGCACAATTCATTATGTTAAACCTTGGAAAGTATCTCGTATCTTAATCTGTTTTTTCATATCGTCCTCTTCAGGTGAAGTACAAGGAGGACCTGGAGTGGCTGAGGGGCGTCGGCTGCTACGTTTGGGACACACCTGAGCTGGTGACCGCCGAGAAGAACAAGACGCTGTACAGTGGGGTAAAGAATCTGACTATTTAATTATTGATATAATGTTTTTACAATCAAAATCAGAAGGTCTTTATTGTCATTATACTTGTGTACAATGACATACCACAGGCATCTCTCCAGGCAGTTTACACTAGAAAGAAATGGGAATAAAAATGTGGAAATTGGGAATTTACGAGATTTGCAAAAAAACAATTATATTATATGTTATTGTTTTATATTAGATTAAAGTATATCATATTATATTAAATCATATTATATAATATTATTATTATTATTATTTTATTTTAATTAATTGTATCTTGTATATAAGCCTGTCTCCCTTGTGTTTTATTTATTTTTTATTTTGTGATATAGGAGTTACAAGACAAGTGCAAGTATATCATATTATTTTAAATTACAATATATATTATATGATTGTTATTACATTATATTATTTAATTATATATACTATTATATTAATTTAGCAGTCTTTTAGGGGTTGGGATGTGTGTGTTTGTGTGTGTTACAGTATGTTTTGTCTGTGTGTGTGGATGTGTGTGATGAGTTCGGGAGCTCCTAATAATCTTAAACAATAATATGTGTTTATGCCATACTTAATAAAATGTCATATACTCGATAGCACTTAATGTAAAGGGATCTGTAATGCAGCCGTTTATTTTCCTGCATGTTTCTAATCGTAATGTTTCATATCTTGTTCACAGAAACTGTACAGAGCGTCCTTTGAGAAGAACAGAGGAAACTTTAAGTACACCTGCGACACGCCGTTCTTCCAGGCCGCCAAGTATGCTTCCACCCTCATCGACGACGTGAGTTTCTTCATTCTTTTACCCAATGCAGTCATTTATTGTCATCGCAAAAGCAGTATTATTTTTACTTTGATGATGTCCATTTGTAATATAGACATCTCTCTGTCTTTGTGCATCTCTATTGGACTCTCAGCTTGGAGGTAAAAGTGTCAGAATTCATAGTTTAGTATTTAATTATCTGATTCAAATGTTTATGAACTGCATTATTTTTGAGAAACCAATATCTCAATCTCAATCTCAATCTTTATTTATTTATATAGCACATTTAAAACAACCTTCAGTTGACCAAAGTGCTGTACAGGCAATAAATATTAAATAACACAATGGGAGTACAATAATAAAACAATAATTAAAAACATAAAAAGCACAATAACTAGAAAAATATATTTTTTAAAAACTATATTATTATTATATTATTATAAATATATTATGTTTCCTTTGTTCTTCATATCAACTTCTTGTAACCAGTGGTGGAATGTAATATATAATGTTGTGTACATTTGAAGTACTTGAGTAGAGAATAGAGTATTTACTTCTTCTCCATTGCATCTAGAGGTCATTTTTATAGTTTTGTCTCTAGTATTTAAGCCTATAGACAGCGTTAGTTACTTTTCAGAGTACAGTTTTTAACCCCCCTCTGATTTTGATTGACTTGAACTTTCTTACGAAGCCAAATAAACTAGAAAATGATCTGGAAAATCCGTCACAAAGCAGAAAACAGGGCTATTTTTCTGATAAACAATAATACAAATGTGACTTTTAGAGATACGTTGTTCTCACAGTACAGTGGCAAAGCTTCAAATATATGAGGACTTTATAAAATGTGATGTATTGCTGCAGGTTAGACTACCTAAATGTTCAAATAAGCACATCTAAAGCAGTAAAACACAACATACACACTAATTCAGCAGTAAAATGAATCAGGTTTAATAGAAAAACATAGACAGGGAACATATAACTGCACAATAAATATTTTAACTTTCCATACTTCAGGTACATTTAGCTGATTATACCACTACTAGTGTTTCTTCCACCACTGGTGTTAACCTTCCTTTCTCCCCCTGAAAAAGTCTCATCACATGACAGCGCACTCTGTTTTTCTGGACGTTTGTCGTTAACCACCTTCTGACATTTTTGAGCAGAGGTCCTACAGAGCTTCTTATGAGAAAACCAAGGATAAGTTCACCATTACTACAGAGGATCCTAGATACAAGCTGGCCAGAGCAAACAACGAGATGAGCCAGGTAACGTCCTGCTGGAGCTGAAACCACTGGCCTGCATCTTCCTCTTCCTCCTCGTCCTCCTCCAGACCTCTGCTCTGATGCATGAGGTCGTCCACAGACCTGCCGGGGCTCTGCGGCGCATGATGGCGCTCTGTCTGTGTTTATCAGTCCCACACAGGTCGATGCAGGCACTCAAATAGCAGCTGGACGGCTGTGTTGAGTGAGCAGGACTCTCCTCTATCTGTGCCATCAGACAGACAGTTGAATCTACCCATGATTACATATTTAATATCTTCACTAGATGTCCAAGCAAGTTTGTGGTCGCAATTGAAAGATTTTGAACAGACAGACAGTTTAATCACTCATATTCCCATGATTACATGTGACATATTTATTTATTTTTACATATTTTTGGTGGCAATTGGAAGATTTTTTAACATATTCCTGGATCCATCTTTTCTTATATACGTTTACATTATCATTATTGTCATTTGGATAGTCTATGTTGTAATTTTATCAACTTTTTTTTAAACCAAACACACATCATCTATTACAAGTCTGTGATAAAAGGGAGAGTACATTTTTACCCATTAATTGTGGGAGTTTTCCTTGTTTCTGCGAGGGTCTTAGGACAGAAAGTGTCATATTCTGTACACACTGTAAATCCCCCTTAGACAAATGTGTAATTTGCGACATTGGGCTTATAAATACATTTTCTTTTTTACAATATCTGTCACTCTGAAGGCACAGATGAGGATAAACAGCTCCACTCGGATCTCCGGAGTTCTTCTCCAGTCTTCTCAGTGTTACTGCTGTTTTACATGTGTCCTCAACTATGGTGTGTGTGTATGTGTGTGTGTGTGTGTGTGTGTGTACAGGCAAAGTATAAATCCAAAGCAAAGAGTCTTCTTAAGAGCGGTTGCAATGAGCTCCGCCGCCCTGACATCCTCTCGGCTCTTTACCAGTCCACTTTGAGCAGTAAGGTAAACAGCCTTAGAGTGATGAACCACCTCTGTTTACATTAAATAATACCTGTGTAGTCACCAGGTTACAATGTTTTTATTTACTGCCATCTCTCAACAAGGTCTTATAACATCAAAAAGTCATCCTGTAAAAACCCCTTTCCTCCATTCAACTCCTGAAGGGGTTTTAACTTCCACACATCGCACCATTCTCCTTCACGCTCAAAAAATCCATCCATCACCAATTCATTTTTGCTTCATGTCTCATTGATGCATTGCAGTAGTTGCACACCAGCAGAGTGACGTATCTAGAGTCAGAAATGAATCGAGTTGATGCATTACAGTCAGAATTTGAGGCAGAGACAAAAGATATGATTTCTAATTTACTATAACGCCAAAGATACTTGACTGTCACTGTCTTCTCTTGAGTAAACCTCATGTTTCTGAAGCCACTCTACAGTATATATCAGCCTCAGATTGACAGTGATCCATAGATTGAGATGGACTGCTGGTCAGCGTGGGCACTGCAGACTTTCATGACTGAGTCGTGGTAACACATGTCCTCGTCTTCATTTGCACCTGGAAAATAACTCTGTTCTGCACGTTTCATAAAGCATCTTATACTAACATATGCATGGCACCATTTCACTCATTACACATTTGAGCTGTTTCTGAATTAGTTCATATACTGTTAGAGAACTATCCAAGAAGAAAGAAGAGAATGAAAAATGAGAGAAAGATTTTTCTTTCAACTTAACTTTATTTTATTATAACAACTCATTTAAAGCCATATAAAATACTTATTTTACTTTGTCTTTTCTCGTCTCTTCATCAAATCATTCATCCCTTTTCACCTTCATTTACTAAAATTGTTAAATTCCACAAACCATTCACCTGTTTTCACTAAAACTGTAACATTTCACAGATACATTTCCCCCTTTTCTTGGATAGTTTTTACTGTTACCTTGACGAGAATGTGAAAAAAAGACAGAAATACACATGAATAAAAGCAAGTTATTACATCGACACATTTTCTACGAGTGGTACTAACTTTGTTGTGTTCAAACCCTTCATCAGTGGAAGTACAGGGAGCAGTATGAGCGTGCAAAGGACAAGTTCACCTCAGTCCTGGAGACTCCAGAGTACGAGGCGCACAAACGCAGCAAGAAGATCCATGACGTGAGTTTCTGGATTCTTCTCCATTCTTTTTTTATTTCTAAACTTTAATTTTGGTGTATTCTGAGTTGCTCCTGACTATGTGATGCTGTTAATCCCTTAGATCATCTACAAAATGGAGTACAACAAGACCAAGGCTAAGGGATACACCTTGCCTTACGACACCCCTCACGGGCAGCACATGAAGAGAGTGAAGGACATCACCAGCAACGTGAGTCCCACTCAGACTCCCTGCACTTTTATCTTCTACAGAGACATCGGAAGCCAAAATATACGATACGATAATACGATAATACTTGAATGGTCAGATCAAGTCTGAAATGTGACTTGCATCTGTCCGGCAGTGGCTCAGTCAGTAGGGGCTTGCACTGGGAGCTGTAGGGTCGCCGGTTCAAGTCCCCGAACAGACCTAAAATATGGAGTGTGGACTGCTACTTGGAGAGGTCCCAGTTCACCTCCTGCCCTGCCGTGGTGCCCTTGAGAGAGGCACTGGACACCCCCCTTCCCCCCCCACTCCCATTGCTCCCCGGGCGCTGTACAATAGCTGCCCACTGCTCCTAGTACTAGACTCCTGGTACTAGGATGGGTTAAAAGCAGAGAACAAATGTCACTGTGTGTGCTGTGTGCTCTGCATGTGAGACCATTAAAGAGGGGTTCATCCCTCCCAATTCTATCACAGCAGCTCCATGTGTAACATCAACAGACACATATCAAGACACAATACGTGACTAACAAACAACAAACATTTTAACATAACAGCACGATCACTGAGAGAAAAGCTGCTCAAAGAGCCTTCAGCGTGCATTTGATCTGGATTCAGCTCTGTGTCTACTGAGAGGACAGACTGGAGCACAGAGGATGCTTCAGTCTGACTTTATTGAATCTCCCATTAGATGGTAGCAGTTCATATTCTCTGTTCAGAACATGCTTTGGGTCAGAGATGATGTTGTTGGACAGCCATTTAGGTTGTTATTAAGTCTCTGACAGGGTTGGCCAACAATCTTTGAGCAGATTTTCAACAGGTGGAGCAGTTTTGATTTTTTAAAGCTGTTGACAAACACTTGTACCAGGTAGTATTGCAGTACTGTAGAATAGACCAACTCACAGATGTAAAGAACAACAGAAGAATTTCTCTGCTCGCCCCAGAAGACCTAAGACTGCGGAGAAAATACATTTGAATTTAGGGTGTGTGGCGCAGTGGGTTGTGCGTTGGTGTCCCTGGGCAAGACACTTCACCCCAAATTGCTCCTGTGGGGATTGCCCACAGTATTGAGTATGTAAGTCGCTTTGGATAAAAGCGTCTAACAAGTAACATGTAATGTAATTTGAAATAATTTGGTGTTTTTTTTCTATGCATCTTGCAGCTGAAGTACAGAGAAGTGTATGAGAAGAGCAAGGCCCAGATCAACATGGCACCGGACGCTCATTCGATCCGTGCTGCCAAGGAGGCCTACAAGAACACCAGCAATGTAAGTGTCTTCAGTGCAGGAATTAAGGATGGATTGAAATTGAAAATGTGAAAATATTGAATAAATATTGGGGTTTTTTTCCTCTGTTTTTAGCTTGACTACAAGAAGAAGTATGAAGCCACCAAGAACAAGTGGATCTGGACGACAGACAGACCCGACTTCCTCAATAATGCCAAGAACACCCTGCAACAGAGTGATGTAAGTAAATGCGTTTTATTCAATTAAATGCTGCCACACAGCAAAAACAACAAATTAAATTAACTGTCAACATATTTCAGAATCTCAATATACATCTTTTACAATAATAAAAAACATATTGCTTTTCCAAAAAGGAGTAGGGTGATGTGTACACTTATGTGGTCGTACCCCTTCTCCTTAACTTAAAAACAACTGCCTCTTCTTTAGATGTTACATTCTTTATTTTTAACAACATTCAACAGCATTTTTTGTTATCCATTGTTTCACCCACAGGTTGAGTACAAGTATGACAAAGAGTCGATGAAGGGCTGTGTGATCCCCGTGGTGGATGATAAGTTGACCCTCCTGGCGATGAAAAACAACGAAATGTACAGTGAAGTAAGTATTTCCACATCGTTACATCTCTATGATTCGATGGAATTACTCCAGATCGCAAATGACAATTCATCTTCAGACTTAAATGTTGAACAGGTTGTAATCTGTGTTTGTTGCTGCTCTCCAGTTGAAGTACAGAGAGAAGTATGAGAAGTCAAAGGGCCACTACCAGCCCGTCAGCGACACTCCTCAAATCCTCCATGCCAAGGCTGTGCGCAGTTTGGCATCAGAGGTAAGTTTTATTCTGAAAAACAACGTATTTTGAACAAAGTAGGAATCAGAGACAGATATATTACACCTAATAGCTGTTTTTATCACTTTGAAGAAGCCCTATAACACTTTATCTGGTTTTCTCTTTACTGTAGTGTGTAGGATTTTGTGTATGGTTTGCAAAGGCTAAAATCCCAAAGTTGAGAAACTATTAGAAAAAGAAAGACCCTTTTGAACATTAAAGCATGGAAACATGTCACAGTAGAGACACAAAATACAAATATGAACCTGAAAATGAGCCTCATATGTCCTCCTTATTTATACATGTGTTATAAGTTCTTCATTTTCATCCTCAGAGCAAATACAAGGAGGCCAGTAGGAAGGAGATGCAGTCCGGCTCGTTCACCACGCTGTCTGAGACCCGTGACACCGTCCACAGCAAGGAGATCAACAAGCTTATCAGCGGGGTACAACTTCCTCACATTCATTTATTATTTATATTTTCCACATGGATATTTTTTTTTTTAATGCTAATCTACCGACCTACCTACCTACCTATCTACCTACCTACCTACCTACCTACCTACCTACCTACCTACCTACCTACCTACCTACCTACCTACCTACCTACCTACACACCTACCTACCTATACCTACCTACCTACCTATCTACCTACCTACCTCCTACCTACCTACCTACCTACCTACCTACCTACCTACCTACCTACCTACCTACCTACCTATACCTACCTACCTACCTATCTACCTACCTACCTCCTACCTACCTACCTACCTACCTACACACCAACCTACCTACCTATCTACCTACCTACCTACCTACCTACCTACCTATCTACCTCCTACCTACCTACCTACCTACCTACCTACCTACCTACCTACCTACCTACACACCTACCTACCTACCTACCTACCTACCTACCTACCTACCTACCTACCTACCTACCTACCTACCTACCTACCTACCTACCTACCTACCTACACACCTACCTACCTACCTACCTACCTACCTACCTACCTACCTACCTACCTACCTACCTACCTGGAGTATTTTGACATTGACATTCCTTTCCTTCCTTGCAGAAACTGTACAAAGCAAAGTTTGAGAAGGATAAGGGCAAGTCTGTTTACAACAACATGGTCGTTCCACCTGAAGTTCAGCACGCCATGGGAGTCGCCAAGAGCCAGAGCAACGTGAGTAATCCAATCCAAAAAACTGATAGGACAAAAAAATGTAAAAGCACGAGACAATAAAACTGATAAAATAGTGCAAGTAAATACAAATAAAATAGAATAGAAATAGTGCAGAATAGTGTATATACAAGTAATTGGAATATTGATATATATATAAGTTGCAAACAGATTAATGTTATGGATGTTCTTTCAAAAGTTCGGGTGTTTAACAGTCTTATGGGGGATGAATCTTCATGTTTCAAATCCTTTCACATTTGATGGTGCATAATTGTATTGTGTCTGATTTTCTGCCTTTCCCAACCCTACAGATTCAATACAAGAAGGAGGCCAAAGCCAACCTGCACTACACGAGTGTGGCCGACCGTCCCGACATCAGGAAGGCGACCCAGGCTGCCAAGCTGATCAGTGAAGTAAGCAGCAATTTAATGAACATGTACTGTAGGTTAAATACTTAAAGGTCACCTATTATGCAAAGTCCACTTGTTCATGTCTCTTCTACATCAACATGTGTCCCCTCTTCTTCATGTCTCTTCTACATCAACATGTGTCCCCTCTTCTTCATGTCTCTTCTACATCAACATGTGTCCCCTCTGTGTAAAGAGACTCTGAAAGTTTCAGGAACAAAGATTCTCTCTCTTTTTGTCCTGATCCATTTCTATAAAAACCTGTCTGAAAATGAGCTGATCAGATTTTGGCCACTTTATGATGTCATAACGATGTTTTGTCTTGTGTAACCATTAGCCAATCACCAACCAAGGTAACCCCCCCCCCCCCTGTTTGGTGTTTCAGCCAATCAGAGACAGGCTCTGGATATATCTGAGACCTATAATATATTGATGAAAAACAGTATAATAGGGGACCTTTAAAGCTGCACATAGAAAGGCAGAAATAAGCTAAATCTCATTGTGCACAAGGTGGATATTCACTTCCACGGTTAACCATGAAGAATTAAATCCTAATATATTCCCTAAACTTTAATATTTACAAACTCAGATTTTCACTTCACGATTATTATGACAAAAATATTTTAAGAAAGATATATTGTTGGTTTTAACGTGTGTTTTATCTCTTGACAAATGAATTACTCTCATTTGTGTGTGGAAGGAGACAAAGGGAGAACAGTAAAGGAAGAACATTTTCACAATATTATTATATATGTATTCCTATTGTGATATTTCTTCACATTAATCGTCTATATCTGTATATCAACATCACAATACCTAAGTATAAGCCCACCATCTACTGTATGAAGCCAGATTTATGTTGAAGCCCCAACAACTCAAATCCCCATTAGAGCAAATACAACAGGTCTTTTTCATAAGTGAAAAATAAGGTGTTCCTTGGCTCATGCTACACCCTTTCACCAAGTTTTATGGACGTTGTATGAGTCGTTTTTCTGTAATTCTGCTGAATAACTCTAAAAAAACAACAGTGACTGAATGAATGATCGCTCAGAGCCAAAGATGCATCAACCAGAAACAGTAAAGACCCCGACTGTAGCTCCTCTACTTGTCCACTGATTCTTGTTTTTTGTTTTCACTAGGTTGGTTACCGTGATAAGGCCCGTGAGGCGGCCAGCCGTGGAGGATCTCTGGCGCACCGCCCAGACATCGCTCTGGCCACTGAGGTGTCCAAGCTGACCAGCCAGGTACAACCATCTGTCCAATGAAACCCTGGGACGCTGCATTCCCACTATTTCCCTTCATATATCTTGGTTATTTAATTATAAAAAATATTCGCGTCTTTGCAGCTTAGAGAGTTGTTAGAGCTGCTGTTTTAATACTTGCAAGTAGGACGTTCTCCTCCTGAGAGACTCTTATAGGGATACATCAAAGCATCAATAAAACAGGTCACACAAAAACACAATCTGGGCACATTTTACACTCATTATATGACCCTCTCCACAGGAAGCCATAAAAGCCTCCAGGCAACTTGTTTATCTTCCTCCATCTCTTCCTGTAGTCATAAAACACTTGAACACACACCACCTGTTCTTCTCAAACATAGCATCATTACAGTATAACATCAGAACATCTGTCATCTTTCAAGATACCACTTTGTTGAAAGTTACATTTCATTAGGATTAAACTCAGACATTAGGATTTATTAAAGCTTTAATACCATCATTTGCATCACAGAAGGAAGCCCTTTAACCCGAGCAGAGATCTTCCGTCTGGGTGTTGTTAGCCTCCATATGCTAATATTTGCACTCTAGTAATGCCGAGGTAATGCTTTGCAAACTTAACGGTGAAACTATCAGCTCATCCAGCGCTTTCTCTGCCACCTTGCAGTATTTATATATGTGTTAATGTGTCGTTGTGACTCCATGAAAGTACATGTGTAACTGCTCATCTCATTGTACATGTCCTCCATTTAAACCTGTCCTCTCCCTCCATCCTTCTTCACTTCTACACTGTTCCTCATCCTCATCTCTTTCCTCTTCCATACCGCCCTGGTCTGTGTGTTTCTCATCCCTCCATCTCACTGCGCTTTGTAGGTGGAGGCCAAGCTCTCCTCCCATGGAGCAGCTTCCTATGATACCCCCCAGATGCGCCACATTAAGAAAATGAGTGCCGTGACTAGTGATGTAAGGAGGTTCATGCCCAGAACCTGACGGGCTGCTACTCTCTGTCTGTCCCCTCTTGTCTTTCTGTTCACTTCATATCCACCTCGTTGTTTTTTGGCTTTCTCTGCACCCTCTGCACTTTTGTTTTCCCCATAAGCTGTGAAGTGTGTCATCACTGCATTTGTTGCACTAGTAGCAATACTGTACACCTACTGTATCTTTGTTCCACATTTTAAGATCATTTGCATCGAAATTATTCCACGAAATATGTGTTAATCCAGTAGTCACCATGCACAATATCCTACGTTTTGATCTGGAACCAAGAGGGCGGTTTGAAATGTATTAAACGTGGGTTCAAGTTTACAAAAGTGTTAATTTAAAGGGGACCTATCATGCAAAATGCACTTTATTTATTTTTGCATTTAAATATAGCATGATAGGTCCCCTTTAATTATGTTTGTCTGCTGGATTTACACATGTTTTATCTAAGACATTGTTTTAAGGATACTGATTTGTGTCACCGTCTATCCGGAGAACAATTCAGGCGTCCTCTGAAACACATTTTATTTATGTTTCTCACAAGCTGAATTAGGCTCTGTTCACACTGAAATGCATCTTAGGTGGTCCGATTAGAAGCTAGAAGTTTACAAATTGTCCTTTGAGACTCATTTGAGATGCTTTCCAGTGTGAACTGTAGCCAACGTCAGCTCAGACGCTAGGAACAAAGTCTCTGGATGTCTCCACAGACGACCTGTTTGGTTTTATTCAGAAGAACCCCTCATGTGATCGCTTTCTGTTGTATGCTTAACAAGAGGATCTCTTCTCTCTGAAACCAAACTGCGGATGTGAACACACTCATAGAGACTTCTGAATACAAAAGGGGAAATGTCTTCATGCATGAGAAACACATGTTTATAGGAAACACTGTGTCGTTTTTTCCGTGTATAACAAGGGATACAATTCGAGTGTTAATATTGAAAAGCAAACCCTTTAAAAAGAAAGGAAGCTGAGTCCCTTTTTATACACTTTTTGTTGTCTTTTGAAATGTTTTCAGTGGGATGGAGTCTGTCAATCTTCCGCTGGTTTTGTGTTTTGAAATCTGTCACCTCCTACGCTGACTTTGAACATATATCCGCCTCTAATAGGTGAAATACAAGGAGAAGTTTGACAAGGAGATGAAGGGAAGGAAACCGCAGTATGACCTGCAGAACAGTAAGATTTACCAGACGCTGAAGGATGCCACCGTGCTGGCTAGTGAGGTGAGTGCATCAATCTATGGATTCATTTGTTTACAAGACACACGGCCCTTATTGTGTCAATCACACCAAGACACAGCATTGAATAGTAGAAAAAAGTTGACTTGAATTTGAAATCGAAGAGAATATTCAAGTGTATTTCTCCTAAATGTATGAGATTTATTTTGTAAATGTATAACCTTAATATAGTAGACAATATCAACGTTTTTTTCCAGTAAAGTATTACAAAATAATTAATTCAGAATTGTTCAGATTTAGGGCATTTTTGTAAATTAACAGGAAAAAAAACTCAGATAATCTCTGACATTTAAATTTACCTAAAAAAATGCAAAAATGTAAGACAGAAAAATTAAATGAATTTTTTCTCAGAGAATACCATAGTTTATTTCTCCGTAATTCTTTAGATCTTTCATTAACTTTTACTACCACTAGTAGAAAACTGGAAACTCGTAATTTATTTATTTGATTCCTACATTTTATAAAACAAAAGCCTTTATCACGTAGCAAGTATTCACTCACTTTCTTCCATAATCTGAAGACATTACCCTACATATCAAATACAAAGAAACCCCATATTGAGTTATTGTTATTATAATGTCTGTCTGCAGGTGAAGTACAAGACAGACTTGAAGAAGCTCCACAAGCCTGTGACCGACATGGCGGAGTCTCTGTCGATGCAGCACAACCTGAGCACCAGCAAACTGTCCAGCACCGTAAGACCCACCCTCCTCTAACCCTCTCACGCCCCCCCCCCCCCCCCCCCCCCCCCATAAAAAACAAAACCCAGGAAGCATCTGTAGTTCAGTTCAGTGTGTCCTCCAGAGGTGGAAGTAGTGGAGTACAAATACTTCGTTACTGTACTTAAGTATATTTTTCTGGTATCAGTACTTTACTCCACTACTTATTTTTCTGATGACTTTTTACTTTGACTTCTTACATTTTGAACACAAATACCTGTACTTTCTACTTCTTACATGTTGAACACAAATACCTGTACTTTCTACTTCTTACATGTTGAACACAAATACCTGTACTTTCTACTTCTTACATTTTGAACACAAATACCTGTACTTTCTACTTCTTACATGTTGAACACAAATACCTGTACTTTCTACTTCTTACATTTTGAACACAAATACCTGTACTTTCTACTTCTTACATGTTGAACACAAATACCTGTACTTTCTACTTCTTACATGTTGAACCCAAATACCTGTACTTTCTACTTCTTACATGTTGAACCCAAATACCTGAACTTTCTACTTCTCACATTTCCCAAACAGGCTGGTTCCTTTAGTTTGAATGTGTGTTTGGTGGCGTGATCATTATTATTTAGAGTCATTGCGTGCCTATTGATTTGAACACGATCCGTGTATCCATCATTTCCTGGTCTTCTCTAAAGAAGAGGGACCAATGAAAACGTTGTCATGTTGCCGTTGTTCAGCATGGAAACATTCATTAGCTAACAATGACATTATTGTTCTATTAATATAAAGGGAGGTCAGGTACTCTTTAAAACAGCTGCTAGTTATGGGTACTTTTTACTTAAAAGTGGGGTAGGTAATTTTGGAGAAACCGGCTCGAGATCGCTAGAATTTGAAAATACACAACCGGAAAAAATCTGCCACTTCCTTATAGAGCCCCTCCTCCAACGAACGTGCACATGACCAATGAGGGCACGAGATAAGTTTGTGCACAGATGGAAGGCTGACAGGCAGCTAAAATGATTGGTCGTGCTTTTTACAGTATTACGGCTTCCACAGATGACATTTTTTTATGGATTTTTTGTCAAAACACTTAAGATATTCATTGCTATCGGGATGTTAAAAAGTGTATCTCGAGCCGGTTTCTCAAACTTACCTACCCCACCTTTAAGTACATTTCAATGCCTCTTTACTTTTACTTGAGTAAAGAAATTTAGTCAGTACTTCTACTTTTACCAGAGTATTTTTAAACACGAGTATCTGTACTTCTACTTGAGTAAAGGATGTGTGTACTTTTGCCATCTCTGGTTTCCTCTGCACTGAAACGTGTCTGAACTCAGTGTTTCCATCACCTCACACGTAGCACATTAACCGTCTCTCATGAACTTAACTCCATCTCCTAAACATCCTCTGACCTCTGACCTCATCTGGTAGTGACCCTTCTCACCCTTTTTACCTTTTGAACCTCCCATACTATCCCTTTCCTTTTAATCTAAACTCCTTTACTCCTCCCATTTCGTGTTTTTCCTCCTGTAGTTTGTACCAAACTCTCATTAATGATCACTTAACACAATCCCCCCTCTTCCTCCATTGATTATCGACCATTCATAATATTGTTAACTACCTTTTAGGGCTGCACAATTAACAGAAATTCTATATGGCCTAGTGGAAAATCCCAATCGCAGGAGGTAAAGTTATTGTAAAAATATGTAAAAATACAATTTCGGATTAAGTATTGTGATATGTCACAAAGTGTATTCGACAGGCTTTTAAACATTTTTTTGTTTCGTACAGATTATGTTAAAATCACACCATTTATTCGATTTTTTACAGATAATAATGACGCAAAAATGACCAGTCTCTTTGATATTGGGAATTATATTGCAAAAATAATTCAAAGTAGTTTCACATCGTGCAGCCCTAGCTTCCATCCTCAGTCTCCCTCATTGTTTTCTCAGCATGTCATGTATTTTGACATTGCGCTATTTTGAAGTTGTAATGCTACTATTTGTTTCTGTCATTAAATATGATACTTTATTGTAACTATGTAATGGATGGGAGTAAACGGCCGACAAAACGCTCTTTTCCCCACTTCCTGTACTGAGTTGTTTTACTTAATTGGGAATCCCCCCCCCCCCCTCTCAGTACTGCTACAAGAAGAAATTTGAGGAGAGTAAGGGTCACTACCATATGATTGCTGACACACCAGAATCGCTTCATCACAAGGAGGCCACTGAGCTCCAGAGCAACGTAAGTGAAACTGACTTTATGGGGAGCAACAAACACCCCTCCCTCCCAAAATAAAAAACACTGCTGTGGGTTCAAACTGTTTACAATATTCACTGTCAAAGAAATTACGATAACTTCAATTCCTGCACACACAGAAGAGGGTTTTTGCACATAATGTGTTCATTATTGAATGTATACTGATACATTACATGGTAACATTTGAGTGTTACATTGCATATGTTCCCTTATACATACATGGAATAAATAACAAAGGCATTTCAAACGGGTCACAAAAAGATCCAGCAACTCAAACAAGATCTTTTATCATTTAAACGTCTAAAGGTCCTGATTACAGACTGATTTTATCATTTTTTTAAACGTTTTTTCATTCTTTAAAGGACAATACTAGTGGTTTGCATGCTGTATCATTAAGTTAATGTATGTTTACTGTTACTGTTTGCCCATTTTGCATTTCATGGTGTCATGTTTTAGACTTCATAATGTGTTAGTCTTCATTCCTGGTAGCCACAAGTTCCCAAATAATGCCTTTTCAGTATAAGATTCAATTATAAAATCATAGAAAAAATGCCTTATCACGATATTTCTTCACACCATCAAACTCGTATTAATTTTTGATATATTTATCTATTTAAATGTATTTGAAAATCAGGTAAGGCAGTGTTTGTAGCATACGGAAATGAATGCAACCCCTAACTTACACTATGTGTCTCCGTTATATGTGCTGTCCAGGTGAAATACAAGGAGAAGTATGAGAAGGAGAAGGGAAAGGCCATGCTGGACTTTGAGACGCCGACATATGTGACGAATAAGGAAGCTCAGCACATGCAGAGCCAGGTAAACAATCTGTCTCTTCTGTGGTTCAAATGGATATAACACACTTCATTTTACAGGCTTCTCTCTCAGTCTGGAGACTCCTGAATGCCTGCTGCTGTACAGTATATATTAACCTGTATTGTGATGAGTCTTTAAATTATGATACACTACAGCTTGTTGAATGTCCCGCTAATGTTTTAAGTTGGACGAGACGTTTGGAAAAACATTTACAGTGCCTTTGTTGCCCGTTTATTTAATCAAGATGTTGTTTCAGTGGATATTAGGGACAATGTTGATTTTAGACACGATAAATGTGGTCCCTCGCCATTTCTTATACCTTAAATAAACTGGGAGAAGGCAGTGTAAATGTTTTTAAATGTATGCAATGCAGGCTTGTGTATTGTTGTCTTCTAATACTGTGTATATAAGTTGAGAGTGCTTATAGTTACTCCCAGGATGCAGCAGTGGCAAAGGTAAAGTATAGGTTTGTCTGCTTTCCTGACATTAAACGACTCCTACACTCAGACCCGGCGTCACGTGGGGGCCCTGCCAGGATTTTGGCACTCAGAAATAGGCGTTATTATTGTTCATTTGTAGGCCATGGATATATATTAAGAGAACATGTACATTGCGTTTATTGAAAGATAATCTAGGTGTAAAATAAACAGTTGGAGGTGACGTTAAACGTACATTTTTCAATGATTGAGACATGTTCTTTGCTTGTAAATTGGAACAGAACACATTACAAATTATTTAAAAAATCCCCTTCAGGTCCAGGTAGCCCGAATGTTTGTGTTGTTATGACTAAATCACTATTGTGGCTCGAAACTGGGTCAACATATTAGAGAATAGCGGTTGAATTTCTTAGTCTGCAGCCCTGGTGGGATGCTAAATATATGAAATGCAAATATATGTGTGCAACTATGTTCAGATCAATGAATTCCAGACAAACTTAGATACCTATAGATGGGCAGATATGCTTATAATAAATCAGCAAGATCATTAAACCAGGAAGTTAAGCGCCCACCTATGGATTTAGATCTGCTACAAATGCACTCGTACACAAGCACAAGTAGTAAAGACTTCAAATACGGGATTTGGTATCATCATATGGACGGCGTTGCTGACCAGAGAGAGGTAACTTCTGCATTGTGAACCTGCACTGCTGCATGTTGTAAGCTCTGTCTGTCCCTTGTCTTGTCTTTGCTGCCAATAGAAAGACTATAAGAAGGACTATGAGGAGAACATGAGGGGCAGAAACCTCTCATCGCTCGAGGTGACTCCTGCCATGACACATGTCAGGCACGCCACCCAAATAATGAGCGAGGTAACTAAAGGACGACTTGTTCCTGACAAGCTCACCCATTCTTTATAATCATACTAAGACTGTATCACAACCACGGCCCCTCTTCATTTCCAACACTTTTGACTATTTAATCCTACGAGTGATTCCTTTTTTCTTGACTTCTTGTAGGTTCATCCCCGCTGTTAGGTTTTAGTTTGTTTGCATGATTCACTGCACAGCTTTAAAGAGGCCCTATTAGGCTTCTTTTTTTTTTACGATTTTCCCTTTCCTGTAGTGTGTTGTATAGATTTTAGTGCATGTAAATGGTCTTCAAAGGCTAAAATAATTTTAAAATTAAGATCAACTTGTATTCAGGAAAATTCTGTTTTTTAGTTTCGTAAGATAGTGACATTCCACTTGCGCTTCTATTGGCTAGCTCTCCAACACATTGTACGTGATAGGCTAAGGGGCGGGACAAGTAGTTGACCAATCACAACAGAGCCGGCCAGCTAACCAATCAGAGCAGACTGGGCTCTGGTTTCAGACAGAGGGTGAAAAGAGGTGCTGCAGCACAGGCAGTATGAGAAAAATAAAGAGCTTTTTGAACATTAAAGCATGGAGACATGTGCATAATAGGGTCCGTTTAATTAATCAATTTATTTTATCTCTATCCATAGAGTAGTTAAGTATTGTTGGTGTTAAATGTGTGTCCATTTGCATCTTGTTATCCTAATTTCCCAATCAGAAGACGACTAACAGCTTAATGTTATGCATGCAATCACATCATTCAATGAAAGTGAAATGCTGTTGTTGTTTTTGTTTCATCGTCTGTACGACAAAATGTGGTTCACATTTTCTTTTATCAGGTTTCTTGCCAAAGTCACCAATATCTCCACTCTCTCTCTCATTGTGAAAACTCATTTTTACAATATTCAGTGTTTAAGAATGATAAATTAGACCTAATCTCTTGCAGCTTAAAGGTGGGGTAGGTAAGTTTGAGAAACCGGCTCGAGATACACTTTTTGTTATATTCCATGGAATGCTCTTAACATCCCGATAGCAATGAATATCTGAAGTGCTTTGACAAAAAATACATGAAAAAATATCATCTGTGGAAGCTGTAGTACTGTAAAAAGTACGACCAATCATTTTAGCCGGCCCGGCTAAAGTAACTGGATGGCCTACCTGCCTGTCAGCCTTCCATCTGTGCACAAACTTATCTCGTGCCCTCATTGGTCATGTGCGCGTTCGTGTGTGTTGGAGGAGGGGCTCTGTAAGGAAGTGGCAGATTTTCTCCGGTTGTGTATTTTCAAATTCTAGCGATCTCGAGCCGGTTTCTCAAACTTACCTACCCCACCTTTAAGCTTTGTTTTTATCGGGAAGTTTGGTGACTTTGAGCTCTGTTCTGTCTGTCTGTATGCTTCGGCCTGGCCTGCCTGTTTGCCCTTCTCGCATTGTCTCTGTTCTTCTTCCGTCCTGTAGAAAGAGTACAGGAGGGATCTAGAAGAGGGAGTGAAGGGTAAAGGGCTAACTTTACTGGAGGAAACTCCGGAGCTTTTGAGAGCAAGGAATGCCACTCATATCCTAAGTGAGGTACGACCGACTGAGAGGAGATGGAGACAGTCTCTCAACGAGTGCCTTCCCACAATCCATCTGCTGAACCCTTTCCCCTTAACTAAGCTTCACCCTCACACTAAAAAGGGCGACTGCTGGGTTTGACCCCTTCGCTTCATGACTTCACTAACTTTCCCAGCAATCTCCTTTTCTTTTATTTCCGTAAAATGTTCTCTTCTTGACCTTCACCTTCGCCCTGTTTGATGTTCCCACGATGTTCTCTTATACTCATGTGTTTTCTTTTGTGCGTAAATATTTCAAAAGTCAACTTTAAATCGATTCAAAGCATAGTTAGTTTTTTATGAAAGTACTTTTTCTCAATTCACAGCACATGTACGTAGATAGAGAAGCACCTGCAATACAGAGGGAGATAGAAAGATGCTTAATCTATTGTAAAATATAGTAATAAATTATTGATCAAGATTGCATTTTTGTTGAGATATGCTCTCTGTGCTTTTCTGGTTGTTTTTTAGAGTGCACGGTGGATAAACCACAGAACAATGACATTAAATAAAGAGAAAACATGAGTTTATTTAAAATGCCTAATCCTGCTTTAACACACTGTCCTTAACTCCTTTTCTTTCCAGTTTTGAGTGGGACTTGACACCCTGCTGTCCAATTGACCTTTTTAAACATCCTAATTTCCTCTAACTCTTCTTTATTCACCATTCCCCTAGACTTTTGGTTTTGCAGCCCCACTGAGTGTGTATGAGTAACACTTTCATATCTGCTTTTTGCAAACACAGAGCTTTTATGTAACACTTTGTTGCCTGTTATATTTACAGAGAGAGTACAAGAAGTCGCTGGAAACTGATATTAAGGGCAGGGGGATGATGGCTTTGGCGACAGACACTCCTGACTTCATGAGGGCGAGGAACGCTACTGACATCCTCAGTCAGGTGGGAATCAGACTGAGTGTTTGGGAAACGTTTCATCTGGTGTTTGTATGTCTGTGTTGACCAGAGGTGGGAAGTAGTGGAGTACAAATACTTCGTTACTGTACTTAAGTACATGTTTCTGGTATCAGTACTTTACTCCACTACTTATTTTTCTGACCACTTTTTACTTTGACTTCTTACATTTTGAACTCAAATACCTGTACTTTCTACTTCTTACATTTTGAACACAAATACCTGCACTTTCTACTTCTTACATTTTGAACACAAATACCTGTACTTTCTACTTCTTACATGTTGAACACAAATACCTGTACTTTCTACTTCTTACATGTTGAACCCAAATACCTGTACTTTCTACTTCTTACATGTTGAACACAAATACCTGTACTTTCTACTTCTCACATTTTCCAAACAGGCTGGTTCCTTTAGTTTGAATGTGTGTTTGGTGGCGTGATCATTATTATTTAGAGTCATTGCGTGCCTATTGATTTGAACACGATCCGTGTATCCATCATTTCCTGGTCTTCTCTAAAGAAGAGGGACCAATGAAAACGTTGTCATGTTGCCGTTGTTCAGCATGGAAACATTCATTAGCTAACAATGACATTATTGTTCTATTAATATAAAGGGAGGTCAGGTACTCTTTAAAACAGCTGCTAGTTATGGATACTTTTTACTGAAGTACATTTCAAAGCCCAAACTTCTTTACTTTTACATGAGTAAAGAAGTTTAGTCAGTACTTCTACTTTTACCAGAGTATTTTAAAACACGAGTATCTGTACTTCTACTTGAGTAAAGGATGTGTACTTTAACATCTCTGGTGTTGACCGATGTTTTTTTCTGTCCATCAGACTAAGTACAAGCACACCGCTGAGATGGACAGAGCGAGCTTCACGAGTGTCATCGACACCCCGGAGATCATCCATGCTCAGCAGATGAAGAACATCATCAGCCAGGTACATTGAATCCCCAATTTAAAGTGGGCATATCATAAAAAAACTCCCCTTTTCATTGCTTGTGCACAAACATTTTCACATCTGACAACACAAACTGAAATAAGAAGTCAGTTTTAATAGACGGCCAACTAGCTTCCTCTCTGGTGTCACATGCAGGTTAATAATGTATACTGTATATATATTATTCTTTTTGCTAGATATTTAGAAAAGACATGGCATTTTTGGTAGGGGTGCTTATAGAGAATGGCACTAAAAATGCATCGTTTCAGGCAAAAGGTGACAACAGGAATGTGTGTTTTCAAAAGTCAAGACCACTTTTAAGGAAATGGCGTTCCAATGAACCACCTCATGCTCTTCAGTACAGAGTTATCTTCCACCACCAGAATTTAAAATCTGATATAACACCAGATAGTTATTAAGTCTGCTTTTCTCCCATAGACCTTCAACAGCTATCTCCAACCATGTATTCTTCTAAACCATTAATATGTCTCTTAGACCCAATTCTAACTAAGCTATTCAAATAAGTTCTCCCCTTAATTAACACGTTTTTAATAAATATGATTCATCTGTCTTTATTCTCAGGAGATGTACCACTTTCCTTTCAATTAGCTTCTTCTAAACCCCAGCCTTGACCAAGAGGTTTTGAACAATCCTAACCCAATATCTCACCTTCCCTTTCTTTCTAAAAATCCATTTGCTTGATTAAGTAAACAATTCAATTTGGCTTTTTCCCAACAGAAAAAGTACAAAGAGGAGGCTTCGAAGACCATGTCTCAATATGTGCCGGTGTTCGACACTCCAGAGATGCAGAGAGTCCGTGAGAACCAGAAGAACTTCAGCACTGTGAGTAGAAAATATATATAAGTATGAATTAATAAGCCTGTTTCTACTGAGGCAGCAGCGAGTATCTGATGAAGTATGACGAAGTCAGAGGTTCTTCCAGTTGTTAGGGAATTATTTGCTTAGGTATTCAACCTTTGACCCAGTTCATCATTTTCTCTCTTCACTGTCTCCTTCCCCATGGCATAGGTCTACGGCCTTGGGTATTGCTGCTATCTCTCTTAAGGAGTAGCAGCTTGGGAGCATTGTTGTTACCAGTCTATGACCGAGCACAAGCCGCCATGAGGTAGTTTACTGTTCAGGGACGAAGGTTCCCTGGCGCACATCCTTTCCGATGGACGAGAGCTCTAGTTAGATTCAGGGTCCGGGGTCTCGCTGATAAGGAATGTTGATTATTACACTCCGAACTAGTTAAAACCTCGAGCTGCAGAAGAGTTCTTCAGAATTGGTTTGGTAACCGCTGTGTCAACTCGTGACACACCACATGTCTTGTGAATTCTCCGGCCGTAACTCCAAATAAACCGTCAGTGTTTGCCGTCAAAGCTCCAGCTCTCCTCGTGCCTCTCTGAGTCCTGACTCTCCATTGCTACAGAAGTTTCCCCCACACCAGTGTCTTGTGGCTCTGTGTCTACATGTCTGCTTTAAAGTATTATCTTCAATACTTTATACGTTTGTATTGTGTTCTGTAAAGTTGTAAAGTCAGTGTTTGTACTTCAAGCTGTCTAGTACTCAGTGTAGAAACTAAGGTAGATTGTTTCTCTTCTGGTTTTCTGTTTCTTCTTTTTTATTTTGACCGATTGTAAAACATGTTAACTGCACTTTTGTTTTTCTCTCTGTAGCATCAGTACCAGATTGACCATAAAAACATAATGGGCAAAGTGTCTACTATAAAGGACACTCCTGAAATGCTCCGTGCTAAAGAGAATACAAAGAATTACAGCTTGGTATCTACTCCATCATATTTCTCTCTTAACCCTTAGATGCACGAGTGACTACACTCTTCCATAAGTGGGTCAAAAAGGACCCGTATTAGAATAATATGTGTTTTTATGTCATTTTGGTTAAGAAAAATCACTTGTATAATATTTAGTATTATATTTTGGTTCACACTAGAAATATTTTATATTTAATTTTTCACTATTTATAATTTTAGACATTTCTTTTACATTTTGAAAAAAACGTTTTGAACATATTGATGCAAAGATCTCTGCTATTCTGAGACCCTCACAGTATTCCAGTCCCTTTCCAAAACTCATCTCTTCCCCTCTTGCCCACCCCCCATCAATCCATGCCGGTTGATCAAGTTGGATAGTCCTATACCCCCCACCCTAACCTTCCCTTATATTGTAAAGCGATTTTGAGTCCTTGAAAAGCCCTATACAAATATAATGTATTATTATTATTATACTGACAGGTATCAGAGCTTGCTGTGTAAAATAATCTTCCTGAGAGGTGTCACTTGAGATGTAGTCTGTGTGGTCTACAGTGAATGTATTCCTGACAGCAACAGGTGATAAGAATCAAAGGTTCCCATAGGATCCCATAGGAAATGCATGCGGGTCATGTTTGACCCACTTATGGAAGCTTGGGGTAGTAATACAAAAACTACAATTTCTTAAAATATTTAAAATGTAAATGGCATGATATCCAAAACGTGTTTTTTGAGGAATAGCTGGAATACGAAATGATAAAAAAATGTAATTACAAAGATACTTCAAGAGAACCACCTCACCGGGTCCAAAAAGACCCACTTATGCATCTAAGGGTTAATGTTTTCTAATAACACTTTTAAAAAAACATTTTTCTTGATTTTTTCCCTTAATATTTTTTTAACAATATGCAGCCCAAATATCTTTGGACCAAACTGATTTTTTGTAACCTTGTGGAAAACTCTGCATTTTAATTCATGCAACTAACTTATTATAGTGTGACATTTCTTAGAGCAGAGCTTGTGTGTTGTGAAATACCGTGTCCTTTAAATGTTGATGTATATGTTTGTTTTGTTGGTGTGTGTGTGTGTGTGTCGATAAATCAGGTTTAGCTTTGAATTTAAACCCACTTTTCCTCATTAACCAAGAGTTGAAATCAGGCTAACTTCTGGTTGCTACTTTCATTCCTCATCTGTGTAAAGATTCAGTACAAAGAGGATTTGGGAGGAGGAACATCCTTATCCGAGACCCCCGAGATGGAGAGGGTTAAACGCAACCAGCGCAACATTAGCACGGTAGTCCTCAGAGTGACCCTACTTCATCCAGCCTCCCTCCATACTCCCTCCTTAAGGAATAACCAGGAATATAACATATCCCGACATGTAATCTCTTCAATTAGCCAATTACTGTTAATTACATTTTCTTACTAATTACGGGATTTTAACGAGCCCCCAAAGTTCACAAGTATTTCGTTTTGCCTCTGCACTGGTGGCAACTGTAGACGAAGGCACTATAAATATTATATTTGAATTGTATTTTTACGTAAACAAACTTCAAGGATGATCTAGTTAATATCATTACTACGTCACTGTGGACCTCAAGAAACACGTATTTTTGCCATAAAGTGATCATTAATATGCTAAATATGACACATTTCACCCAAAAAGTGATGACGATTTGGGTTGAAATGGATGAAAAACTGCAGGTTTATTGCGAGTTATTCATTTTGTGAAAAATACATTGATGAAGAAACGTATTTCTTTACACACCTGTCCAAGTACAGTACTTTGTGTCCATTGGTTTGCTTTTGGGGTCGTTCATTGTTTGTGCTAGGACCCTATTTCTATAGAACTATATTTATGGTTATTCACATAAACACATTTTATCGGGACTTTGAGGGCTCTGTAGGATTTACTTACTCACAATAATTCATTGCAACTAAATGAAGTACCATCCATTTTGAAATCAGAAGGTATATATATCACAATCCTCCTTATTACCAACCAATCCAACTACCACTAAAACATACTATATTTTCGTCAGAGTGTGTTCTGTCTACCGTACTGTGCTTGTGTTTGTCTCTGTCTTACTCTGTGTCACTTTTGCAATGGGCAGATTCAGTACAAGGACACTTTGGGTCAAGGCACGTCCATTCCTGATCTGCCCGAGGTGAAGAGGGTCCGAGAAACCCAGAAGAATATCAGCTTGGTATATAGGAGAAGGACTTCAACGACCCTTATCTTATCCCCTTAAAATCATTCCCCAAAACCCCCTCTGACCTCTCATAGAACCGGCTAAAGGTCTAGAAAACGTTCCCGTACACGGTTTTTAATCCTAGTCTCCCCTCCTCCATCCTAACTAGATTCCATAAACCCCTCCACTTACTGACTTTATGTATCTTGAATTCATATTTCCACAAAAACACAATGCCCGCTTCCCCTTTTCTTCCTAAACAAATCTTAATTTCCCTGGATTTTTGTATTTTAATTCCTGATTTTGTGGCATTTCCTCCCCCTTAAAGTAAAACCTAACCTCCCTTAGAGTGTGTTACTGTACTTGCCACCATGTGTGACTCTCTCTGTGTCTCATTTTAAAGATTCAATACAAAACAGGAGTGGAACAAGGCACGTCAGTATCAGAGACCCCCGAGATGGAGAGAGTTAAACGCAATCAGCACAACATTAGCACGGTACTCCTCAGAGTGACCCTGCTTCCCCCCTCTTCCTCACCCTCTATCTCCCTCAAACTCTCCCTACGCTCTCTTAAGATGCCAGAAGTGTTGTGTTTGTTCGTCTCTGTCTTACTCTGTGTCTGTGTAACTTCAGTGACCCTTATCTTATCCCCTTAATATCATCTCCTTGTCGTCTAAAAGGCTAGAAAACTGTACCCTCCTCATTATTTTGTCCTGGTTGCCCCTCCTCCATCCTAACTAAGGCCTAGGCTCCACGGGAACGAAAACGGGTTGAATCCGCATATTTCTCATGCGTATAGCCCTCTAAGCTCGACGACGCCGTAACGGAAACGTAGAAACAGACCCCGCAAACGACAACGGGTCCAAAGGTGGATAGATCTGGGAACGGAGCGCTCTGGGGGGTCCAACGGGGCCGTGGAGTCGCCTATACGGTCATCCGTTTCTGATAATGACGACGCAATAGCCCCGCCTCTCCCCACCTCTCCCCGCCTCTCCCCACCTCTGCTGCTCACCCCCGCAAAAGTACACTGCACACTGAATTCAGATTATTTATCTTTATCTCGATATGGACATAAACGCGAGTGAAGTCTAATCTGACAGGACGGAGACACGCAGCTCCTGCCGCTGTGATGCAGCGGGAGCACAACACACACTTCAAGTCAGATCATCACCCTTAGCTATTTTAATTACCTCTCAAACTACCTAAACTAGTTATAAATATGTTTATTTTTACTGTCGGGTCACTCATTACAGGATCAGCTGCTGCATGAGACACACTGACGCTGTCAGAAGAGAGGAAAAAGAGACAGGCTCCGTGTATTTGATGATTATATATCATTATATCGTCGTTATTCATTTGTTTTAAAGCTCAATAAATAACAAAGAAGACCTTTGACCGGCACTTTTATAATTTTGTCCGGAAGATTTAAACTTTAACACACGCTGACCGGCGAAAAACTCTGCCCGGATCCCTCCGCCCCCACCGCGGAGAATAAACAGAAGTGCAGCCATGACAACCATTCTTCTTCGCTGCTTTTGTGGAGGAAGTTGCTGCTTTTGTGGAGGAAGTTACAGCTCCACGTACAGGCTCGGCATATGTACTGCAGCTTTTCCAGCGGTTGGATGTAAACGGAGCCGTCTCGTGGAGCTTGACACAATCCGGTGTATATTGCGTGTGGGCGGAAGCTTTTTTGCGTTTGCGTTTGTGTTACTCCGATGCGTTTTGCCGTATGCGTTCCCGTGGAGCCGGGGCCTAAGTTTCACAAATCCCTCATGTTTACCAACTTTATCTTGAATTCATTTTTCCACAACAAACAAATAAAAGCCCACTTCTTCATATCTTCCTAAATACATCTGCATTTCCCTGGACCTTTTGGATTGTAACTACTTTCTTAAGGCCTTTCTTACCCCCTTAAAGTAAAACCTAATCTCCCTTTGCGTGTGTTGCCACCATGTGTGACTCTCTCTGTGTCTCCTTTCAAAGATTCAGTACAAAACAGGAGTGGAACAAGGCACGTCAGTATCAGAGACCCCCGAGATGGCGAGAGTTAAACGCAATCAGCACAACATTAGCACGGTACTCCTCAGAGTGACCCTGCTCTCCCCCCTCTTCCTCACTCCAACACCATGCCATAACAACTCTCCTCAACTCTTTTAGGTGTCAGACCTGTTGTGTTTGTGTCTGTCTGTAACTTTCGCAATGGGCAGATTCAGTACAAGGACTCTTTGGGTCAAGGCACGTCCATACCTGATCTGCCAGAAGTGAAGAGGGTCCGAGAAACCCAGAAGAATATCAGCTTGGTAGAGGAGAAGAACTTCAACGACCCTTATCTTATCCCCTTACAATCATTTCCCAAAACCCCCTCTGACCTCTTCAGATGTCTAAAAGTCTAGAAAACTCTACCTTCCCCCTTTTCTTAGTCCTAGTTTCCCCTCCTCCATCTTTACTAAGTTTGATAAACACTAATTATTGCCAACTTTGATTGAAGACTTTATCTTGAGTTCATATCTCCATAAAAAACATTATGCCCCCTCTCCCATTTCTTCCTAAATAAATCTCCATTTCTGTGGATTTTTCTATTTTAAATGCTGATTTTGTGGCATTTCCTCCTGAAAGTAAAACCTCACCTTCCTTTGAGCGTGTTGCCACCATTATGTGACTGTCTATGTGTTCTCATGTTTTATGTGATGTCAGAAGTGTTGTGTTTGTTTGTCCCTGTCTTACATTGTGTCTGTGTAACTTTTGCAATGGGCAGATTCAGTACAAGGACACTTTGGGTCAAGGCACGTCCATTCCTGATCTGCCCGAGGTGAAGAGGGTCCGAGAAACCCAGAAGAATATCAGCTTGGTATAGGAGAAGGACTTCAACGACCCTTATCTTATCCCCTTACATTTCCCCTGAAACCCCCTCTTCTCCTAGTCTAAAAGTCTGGTTTCCCCTCCTCCATCCTAACTCAGTCACTCCTTATGTCTGCCAACTTCGGTTGAAGACAAAAACATAATTTCCCACCATTTCTCCCCTAAATGAATCCTTTCCCTGGAGTTTTTTTATGTTAATATCCAGTATTTCCTCCTAAATTGAACACTAACCCTGCCTTTGAGTGTGTTACTTCCTTGCCACCATATGTGACTCTCTCTGTGTGTTGTCTCATTTCAAAGATTCAATACAAAACAGGAGTGGAACAAGGCACGTCAGTATCAGAGACCCCCGAGATGGAGAGGGTTAAACGCAATCAGCACAACATTAGCACGGTACTCCTCAGAGTGACCCGGCTTTCATCCGCCCCTCATACTTCATCTCTTTTAAACACCGTCATAACAAACTCCCCTTAGATCTCAGAAATGTAATGTTCATATTAAACCCATCGCGCAGACATAACACATCGTGGGGTCGGCTGAACTCCACCCTATCATAACCTGCTTCTTCATTTCCAGTGGAGTGAAGTAACTAAGTAGATTTCCTTAAGTACACTTTGAGGCACTTTTCTTGAGTATTTAAATGTTTTGTCACTTCTACTTTGGATTGATGTGAAATATAACCAACACTCAAATAAGACTTAGTAAAATGTACAATATCACATAAATCAAAACATATCATATGTATTATTCTGAAATGGACCAATCTGCAGAATGAGTACTTTTACTTTTGGTACTTTAAGTATATTTTGATGCTAATTTTATGTACTTTTACTTGAGTAACATTTTGAATGCAGGACTTTTACTTGTAACAGAGTATTCCTACACTCTGGTACTTCTACTTTTACTTTTACTCAAGTACAAGATCTGAGTACTTCTACCTTTACTCAAGTACAAGATCTGAGTACTTCTACCTTTACTCAAGTACCAGATCTGAGTACTTCTACTTTTACTCAAGTACCAGATCTGAGTACTTCTACTTTTACTCAAGTACCAGATCTGAGTACTTCTACTTTTACTCAAGTACCAGATCTGAGTACTTCTACTTTTACTCAAGTACCAGATCTGAGTACTTCTACTTTTACTCAAGTACCAGATCTGAGTACTTCTACTTTTACTCAAGTACCAGATCTGAGTACTTCTACTTTTACTCAAGTACCAGATCTGAGTACTTCTACTTTTACTCAAGTACCAGATCTGAGTACTTCTACTTTACTCAAGTACCAGATCTGAGTACTTCTACTTTTACTCAAGTACCAGATCTGAGTACTTCTACTTTTACTCAAGTACCAGATCTGAGTACTTCTACTTTTACTCAAGTACCAGATCTGAGTACTCCCTCCAACCTCTGTTCATTTCTCAGGGTGTTAAAAAAAGTGTGTTTTGATCCGTGTTGCCTGTCTGTGTTTTGTCTCCTGTAATTGTCTCTTTCTGACCTTGTTACTTTCTCCTCCACTCTACCCTCACTGTGTGTTGGGTAGATTAAATACAAGGACTCTCTGGGTCAAGGCACGGCGATATCGGACCTCCCCGAGGTGAAGAGGGTCCGAGAAACCCAGAGGAACATCAGCTCGGTAGCAGAAAACAAAAAACCCCGAACCACGTGTGCTCCTAACGGTTGAGAGTGGATAGTAGTGCTCATTGATAATTCCCATCATCTGCTGCCCCCCCCCCCCCCCCCCCCCCCCCCCCCCCCTCCCTCCTCACTCCCATCATCCCCCATCTTCATCCTAGTCATAGTTTCCCAGTGGTTTAAAGTACATTTACTCAAGTACTGTACTGAGGTACTTGCACTTTACTTGAGTATTTCTATTTTATGCTACTGTGTACTTTTACTCCACTACATGTATTTAGTACCTTTAGTTACTTCACAGATGTGGATGAATGATGTGAAATATAATCAAGTGTTAAATCAGACTTTAGTTACACCTGGAGTAAATCCACAAGCTACCCTGCAGTATACAAAGTCATTCAAACTAGCTGCACCTTTACCAGCTTTGAGAACACTTTCATGATCAATCATTAAAAACATATCATATATATTATTCTGAAATGGACCAATCTGCACAATTACTACTTTTACTGTCGCTACTTTAACTATATTTTAATAATACTTTTCTACTTTTACTTGAGTAACATTTTGAATGCAGGACTTTTACTGAAACAGAGTATTCCTACACTCTGGTACTTCTACTTTTACTCAAATACAAGCTCTGAGTACTTCTACTTTTACTCAAATACAAGCTCTGAGTACTTCTACTTTTACTCAAATACAAGCTCTGAGTACTTCTACTTTTAATCAAGTACAAGATCTGAGTACTTCTACTTTTAATCAAGTACAAGCTCTGAGTACTTCTACTTTTAATCAAGTACAAGCTCTGAGTACTTCTACTTTTAATCAAGTACAAGCTCTGAGTACTTCTACTTTTAATCAAGTACAAGCTCTGAGTACTTCTCCCACCTCTACATTTTCCTGAGCTGCCATCATCTTCCTCATCACCACCCTCTTCATCATCATCATCATCATCATCATCACTTTTACCCCAATGCATCCTTTCACTTTCCTCCATCTATTCTTTTTTCCTCCATCTTGTAATCTTCTTCCATCGACCCCTCTTGTGTTTATGATGCCCCCTCCCCCAATTGACCATATCTTCTAACACACAGCCTAGCTTTCCTTTCTGCTGAGTGTATTTCTACTTCACGGCTAACGACAAACTAAATCTCCTGCTGAACTGTAAGGAGTGTGTTTGTTTTCCTCTGCAGAGACCCTGGCTCAAGATGAGTCACTCTATAGGACCGACTTCTGAGACGCTGCTTAGATATAATCATAAAGCAATAAACGTCAAATAAAAAGCAGTTTTCATCTCTCAGATGTTTTAAAGGTCACCTGTTATGCAAAATCCACTTCTTCATGTCTCTTCTACATCAACATGTGTCCCCTCTTCTTCATGTCTCTTCTACATCAACATGTGTCCCCTCTTCTTCATGTCTCTTCTACATCAACATGTGTCCCCTCTTCTTCATGTCTCTTCTACATCAACATGTGTCCCCTCTTCTTCAGTCTCTCTACATCAACATGTGTCCCCTCTTCTTCATGTCTCTTCTACATAAACACAGGTGTCCCCTCTTCTTCATGTCTCTTCTACATCAAACATGTGTCCCTCTTCTTCATGTCTCTTCTACATCAACATGTGTCCCCTCTTCTTCATGTCTCTTCTACATCAACATGTGTCCCTCTTCTCATGTCTCTTCTACATCACATGTGTCCCCTCTTCTTCATGTCTCTTAACATCAACATGTGTCCCCTCTGTCTTCATGTCTCTTCTACATCAACATGTGTCCCCTCTTCTTCATGTCTCTTCTACATCAACATGTGTCCCCTCTTCTCCATGTCTCTTCTACATCAACATGTGTCCCCTCTTCTTCATGTCTCTTCTACATCAACATGTGTCCCCTCTTCTCCATGTCTTTTCTACATCAACATGTGTCCCCTCTTCTTCATGTCTCTTCTACATCAACATGTGTCCCCTCTTCTTCATGTCTCTTCTTCATCAACATGTGTCCCCTCTGTGTAAAGAGACTCTGAAAGTTTCAGGAACAAAGATTCTCTCTCTTTTGTCCTGATCCATTTCTATAAAAACCTGTCTGAAAATGAGCTGATCAGATTTTGGCCACTTTATGATGTCATAACGATGTTTTGGCTTGTGTAACCATTAGCCAATCAGCAACCAATGTAACCCCCCCCCCCCCCCACCTTATCACCTGAATCTCCTCCTAGAGCACCATTGTGTTCTTTGTAACCAAATCTCTCTCTGAGGGGTGTGGGGAGGGGCTCCTTATTTTCATCTAAAGTAACAGACAGAGAATCAGCACTTTGGAAACAGGGCTGAAACAGAGGGGATTATGGGATGCTGCAATGATCTGTTTGGTGTTTCAGCCAATCAGAGACAGGCTCTGTATATATCTGAGACCTGTAATATATTGATGAAAAACAGTATAATAGGGGACCTTTAAGATTTGGAGAAACCCTGAAAACTGCTTTGTCCGTGTTTTCTGTTTTTTGTAAATCCAAGTCTATGAAAGCAGTCCTATAGGTGTGTGTACTGTGTGTGTTTCAGTGTGTTTGATTTGCCTCTTGGGGCGCTGTGCTTCTGTCCTGTAGGTGTTGTATAAAGACAGTTCAGCCAAGGGAACCCCTGTGGTGTGTACCCCAGAGATGGAGCGAGTCAAAAGGAACCAAGAGAACATTAGCTCGGTACCTCCAGAACCACCCAAGAACATATTCTACTTTCAATATGTTCTCCCCACGTTAACCCTTTTCTAACTGACTTGTCTCCCGGCTCTAGTTAATTGTATTAATTCTCTCCACTTTTTAAATGTCTTCAAATAGTGTGCACATCATCGCTGCTGTGCTAACCTTTCCTGTTGTTAAAACTACTCCACTTCATCTTGTCCTGTACTGAAGATTGGGATGTCATCCTGTTTTCTGTTAATACTTCATCCTCCCTGCTAATTCATCTGTCTGATTTCCCAGTGTGTTTGTCTCTCTTACCACACCCTTTGTGCTGTGGATGCTAACGGCTAACGTGTGATGGTGTCAGGTTTCAGCCGCTCACTGTGTGTCCTCTGCTCCTCCAGGTTCTGTACTCTGACAGTTTCCGTAAGCAGGTCCAGGGCAAGGCCGCCTTCGTTCTGGACACACCTGAGATGAGGCGTGCCAAGGAGAGCCAGCGCATGATTTCAGGAGTAAGATTTTCTCTCTTTCCTGTTGTGTGTTACATAGGTTTTTGTCAGAGGTTGTCAGTTCAAATACTTCGTTACTGTACTTAAGTACATTTTTCTGGTATCAGTACTTTACTCCACTACTTATTTTTCTGACCACTTTTCGCTTTTACTTCTTACATTTTGAACACAAATACCTGAACTTTCTACTTCTTACATTTTCCAAACAGGCTGGTTAATTTATTCAAGCACTTTTCCGAATGCTCAAAGCGCTTTACATTTCATATTACACATATCAGACATGTGTCTTGCCCAAGGACACAAAGTTATGGGTACTTTTTACTTAAGTACATTTCGAAGGCCATACTTCTTTACTTTTACTTGAGTAAAGGAGTTTAGTCAGTACTTCTGATACTCATTTTTAAACATGAGTATCTGTACTTCTACTACTAGTAAAGGATGTGTGTACTTTTGCCATCTTTTTGTGCATGTAAATGGTCTGCAAAGGCTAAAATCCCACAGTCCCCTCCAGAGGGAGTTTCATGTTGACACCACTATGTAACACTCAAGCTTTTATTGGCTAGTGCTCCAACATATTGTACGTGATAGGCTAAGGGGCGGGACATCTCTAAGCTGGTTGACCAATCACAACAGAGCCGGACCAGCTAACCAATCAGAGCAGACTGGGCTCTGGTTTCAGACAGAGGGTGAAAAGAGTTGCTGCAGCACAGGCAGTATGAGAAATATAAAGAGCTTTTTGAACATTAAAGCATGGAGACAGGAGAGACACTAAATACTATTATTAATCTGAAATTAGCATGATATGACATCCTCTTTCATTTCTATTATTTATGTGTTCTCATACAGGATAAAGCTGGTGTTCTTTAGTATGTTCCTTGTCAACAAATATTAATGAAAGACCACAACTAACAATGTTTATAGTCCGTCTCTCAGCTGTGTATGATAATCCCTACCAGTCAGTAAATCCCTGACACCGGGGCGTACTCTCATTTCACAGATGTATATGGCTCAGAAATGTCAGGAACCTAACCCTAACTTTTGGTCGTCAACATCTTGATTGTTTAACTTTTTTTTTAAACGTAACCAAGTACTTTTGTTGCCTTAACTCAACCGTAGTTTCACAACGATCACCACGTAGCATTGTGCGTTTCTGCAAGCGTGATATGAAACGTTTTTTGAACAATTTTGAAAACTGTGGAGAAAAATCCCTCAAACAGTAGTAAATATTGAATCTGTTGAGGGCTATTTTCAGCAGCGAATTAAAACACAGTTCCTGCTCCAACAAATATTTCCTGTCTGTTACTCTTACCTGTGTTTTCCTCTTCCAGGTGAGATACCACGAGGACTTTGAGAAGAGTAAGGGCAGCTTCACTCCCACCAGCACCGACCTAACGACTGAGCGTGTGAAGAAGAACACGCAGGAGTTCAGCGACATCAACTACCGCGGCATCACCCGGAAAGTGGTGGAGATGGAGAGGAGGAGGGCCATCGAGCACGACCAGGAGACCACCACCGGTACACAAACACACACACTGTCAAGAAAGATACAACCATACTATAAACTACAACTATAAGATATTTGAACTATGTACGAATAGTGAAAGAAAGGTCAATGGCATGCTTTGTAGAATACATTCTTTAAAACATCTTTACATTTGTGGAGAAACTGGCTCATATAGACCGTTTAGCTTAAAGAGCATTTCATCAAATCATTTCAAAGAGCTTTACATACATGTTTTGCAAAGATCGTTAATAATGAGAAACCGGCGCACATTTTATACAAAGACTGAGAAATATCCAACGCCACAGATTGAAATGTGTGATTTTAAGTCTTTAAATGTGACTGTCTGCTCTCAGATCTGCGTGTCTGGCGCACAAACCCCGGCTCTGTGTTCGACTACGACCCGGCCGAGGACAACATCCAGTCCAGGAGTCTGCACATGATGTCAGGTGAGAGGAAAACACTTTTAAAAACAATGTTAAAAGAGATGAAACAGATTCCAGCCGTGGCTAGTAAGATGTAAATGTTTCACCTGATCTTATTGAATTAATTACTTTACAAAATCTTATGAACTGTATCCATCTTACCTCTGATGTTGTTCAGTGCAAGCTCAGCGCCGCAGTAAGGAGCACTCCCGCTCCACCAGCGCTCTGAGCGGCCAAGCTGACGAGAAGTCTGAAGTTTCCCAGGACCCTGAACACCACTTGTCCCTCTACAGCAACGGCTTCATGGCCTCCTCCACGGGTAAATACTCCAGATTAAAACCCCAACAATACTGAAGACAGATTATTTTTACCAAACACTCCAGATCCACACACTGCAGTGGGAAGTAGTGGAGTACAAATACTTCGTTACTGTACTTAAGTACATTTTTCTGGTATCAGTACTTTACTCCACTACTTATTTTTCTGACCACTTTTCGCTTTGACTTCTTACATGTTGAACACAAATACCTGTACTTTCTACTTCTTACATTTTGAACACAAATACCTGTACTTTCTACTTCTTACATTTTGAACCCGAAATACCTGTACTTTCTACTTCTTACATTTTGAACTCAAATACCTGTACTTTCTACTTCTTACATGTTGAACACAAATACCTGTACTTTCTACTTCTTACATGTTGAACACAAATACCTGTACTTTCTACTTCTTACATTTTGAACCCAAATACCTGTACTTTCTACTTCTTACATGTTGAACACAAATACCTGTACTTTCTACTTCTTACATTTTGAACCCAAATACCTGTACTTTCTACTTCTTACATGTTGAACACAAATACCTGTACTTTCTACTTCTTACATTTTTAACACAAATACCTGTACTTTCTACTTCTTACATTCATTAGCTAACAATGACATTATTGTTCTATTAATATAAAGGGAGGTCAGGTACTCTTTAAAACAGCTGCTAGTTATGGGTACTTTTTACTGAAGTACATTTCAAAGCCCTCTTTACTTTTACTTGAGTAAAGAAGTTTAGTCAGTACTTCTACTTTTACCAGAGTATTTTTGAACACGAGTATCTGTACTTCTACTTGAGTAAAGGATGTGTGTACTTGTGCCATCTCTGGTGATTGTGTTAACGCTGTGTGTTCCTGTGTTCCTGTGTTCATGTGCTTCCTTCAGGTTACCAGCATGCTAAGACAGTGGAGCTCCAGCAGAGGTCTTCCTCAGTCGCCACCCAGCAGACCACCGTCTCCTCCGTCCCCTCTCACCCCTCCACCACCGGGGTCAGTAACACACTCACTACTTAATGGATCAATAAGTTGCTTGTATCATGGATCCGAAACCTTAGACACTCAAGACATAACCAAAGATATAACAAAATAGAAACACAGACACACTGCTGATTGAAGGAAGTATTATATTGTTGTCCAACAGTATGAGAGCCAGAGTACTTGCTTCAAATCCATCAAGAGTATGTGTGTCTGTCTAAAGAATAACAGAATCTCTCAGGTTTTATACACTTCTTTTGAGTTTACACAGCACTAAACCTTTGGACCTTTTACAATCACATGACCCTATGCTCAATAACACGCTGCAGACAGACATGTGCAAGGTCTCTACAAAGGTCTCTTTAGATAAACTAAATTATGAATCTCACTAGCATATAATATAGATTATTTCAACACTTGTTTTAGTCTTTTTGTGGGATTTTGTTGACAATAGAAAAATAGAGAATATCCCCCTCCTCATGCTTTAAACTCTTGGAGCTCTCACAGCCTCCTCGCACTCTTTACACATGACTCTTTAGCGAGTCATTTGTAATTAACATAAGAATGTGAATAATTTTGTTTATAGGGGTTTAACTACGTAACACTCAAAATGTCAACATGACACCAAAGATTCCCTTGCTCTATAAAATAAATAAATGAAATAATACCAAAAATGTACATAAATACAAAATGCAGAAAGATACATTAATTGAAAGATCTGCTATCATGCTACTTGTAGGCATATATTATGGGTCCCTGACACACTGGGGACACATATTTATGTATAAAAGATATCAAAAAGTGCATTTTGCATGATAGGAGACCTTTAACCTGTTAAGCCCCAAAGACCCCGTCGGCGGGTCTTTTTTTTTTTCACAAATAAAAAATATATATATATATATTATTTTTTTAATTTAAATTTTTTTTGTTTGGATGGAATGAATACCTATGGTGATAATTCAATGTAATACATCATTTTTATAGTCTGGTACCTGAAAAAGGTCAAATGGCACTGATGGAACCAGATGTACCCAAATGTGCTGAAAGCTTATTCCGCCTGGAACCTTTTTTTGCTAAACCTCTCTAAAAAGGTCAAATTTAACTTGTTTTGCCTCAATCTTGATACAGGGTACTTATTATATGTTATAGTTTGGATTCCTAAAGCTTTTAGCCTACCATCCCATCATTCAAGGGTGGTTTTCACTATAAGTAATGTTTTTTCTTTAGGCGGAGGTAAGAATTTACCTTTTTTTGCTATGTTCCATCTGAATTTACTCTGACTGAGAAAAATCTATATTGATTCTGACACTTCTACATCCAGCTCACAGATGTAACCTTGCTTTGATAAAAGAAATTATTCATATAACCCTTTTAGAAGTGAAGTTGTAGTCATTTGTTTTGGGCATGTCATTTTCGAGCCTGAAACCTGAAAAACAGGCTTAACAGGTTAAGAAGTTGATGAGAATTGGTTGTCATTAAATAATATTGCATCCTTGCAAAACAGCTCAATAACATAGATCAACGTATAGCTCCAACACTCTGATGATCCTCCTTCCTTTATCCTCTGCAGAAAACCGTGCGTGCCATTTACGACTACGCGGCGGCCGACAACGACGAGGTTTCCTTCAAGGACAGCGACGTGATCGTGAACGTGCAGGCCATCGACGAGGGCTGGATGTACGGCACCGTGCAGCGCACCGGCAAGACCGGCATGCTGCCCGCCAACTACGTGGAAGCTATCTAAAGACAGAGCCCGCCCATCGACCCTCCAGAGAAACACATCCACAGGGCGACTTCCTGTCAACACACCTGTGGCTTTAGTGCAATGTGTAGCCTGTAGTTAGTTTAGATCTGTGTAATTTAACTGTCTGTTATCTTTCAAATGCTGCTGCCCCCCCTCGTTACCTGTGGATGTGACACAAGACACATTTAAACATGTCTGATTATGCATACCTATACTATTTTAGATTGTTACAATTGAGACGCCTCGGGAAAATCACTCACTTTGTATATTTCAATAATATTTAATATATATAAACCTCTCTTTGTTCAGGATGTATTACCCAAGCAACGGGTTCAAATTATGCCTGTAACAGAAATTAAATGGAGATAAACAGAAATGACGAAACTCATAAGGAGTCAGTCACTCCTCCATGATGAAACCGCTCCTGAAGAGTGTGTACGAGAGCCTCAGTCTTCCCTCCTTTACACTGAAGGCTGGCCACTAGTGTGTGTGTGTGTGTTTTGTGTCTTCAGATTATACAGGTCATACATACAGTAACCCTTTAATCAGTAGCTAATAAAGCACACCAAGCTCCTGCAGCACTCTGACTCCTTTCTTTGATTCTGAACTTTGACCCCTGGTATCTTCTTCTAATCGTTGTATTCACACTTCATTGGGATGAATGGGTGTAGCATTTAAAGACGTCATTATATATGTAAGGGATAATGTGCAGCGAGGTTTTCTGTAACTTTCTCTTGAGCCCTTTCTCTTTTCGGTTAAGCCATCATGAATCCAAAGTCTTGTGCTCTCGACAAATATATAAAAAATAATATTTAAAAAGTGCTCCAAGGTGTTTTCCTACCAAAAAAACGAATGTGTGTTGACGTTAAATTCTTTCTGCGGATTGATATGACTGCACATAGTCCCTTGATCCTCCTTAACAACGGTCTGTTCTCCTTAACAACAAAAATTAACAACCTCTAAAATGTCCACATTGACCAACCAGAATCGAGTATTCAGCGAAGCCGTGTAATACTTCAAAAATATTGTATAAAACTTGTTTCTCCAATCAAATGCAAACACGTTTATATTAATCAGAATCAATGAATTTATTAACAACATATTCATTTAGAATTAAGGACTTATAATTAATGTATTAACTTACGTGCATTTACATTACAGATGACTTACTATCTTTGTCTGTATGTGTGACACTTATTAAAGACTTACTGACGTTTATAACTATAATGGTTCATTAGAAAGTGAGACCCTTTATTCATTACATTGTTATTTAACTTGACATTGAATGAATCACTAAATCTGTTTCACAGCCTGGCATTGAAGTCATTAGTCATAAAACATTTTATAAAAGCTTCTTTATTAGAAAGTGGTGACAGTATGAGCCCACATCACAGTTTAACTGCAGGCATCTTTATGGTGACGGTGAAAAGGCAAACGTGTGAATTTAACTAGGCACAGAAAACACAAAATGATCAGCACCGTAGACTGTTCATGTAACACAACACTTTATAGAGGCTGCATCATCAGTGAGGTCAAAAGGCAATAACGAGAATTCATCCAGGCACAAAAGGATCTTTTTACTCATGTTGCTGCAGCGAGTCGACCATCTTGTGGCCTGCTGCGTAATAAATTGTCTTTTTTGGCTCGAAGTACTTTGGGAAAACTGGTAAAAAACCTCCTTTCTGTTGTCAGTTACAGTTCAGTCATACTATAAATTGTAATATCACAGGTATCTCTAGCGCTCTGCATCTTCCTGGCTTTTTCCTGTCCAGTGATACTGATATTATTCGGCTCACATTGGGTCACTTCCCCTGCTGCAGAGTGAGTAATCCGGCCCGCTGCTCGTACTGCTTCTGATTGGCCACTGAGATTTTTGCACACAGATCCACGGGCTTCTCGAAGAAGTTCACCAGCGCCTGTTCGGTGAGCAGCGACGCCAGAATCTGAGCGTAGCTGACCGTCCAATCGCTGTCCGACGAAGAACTCCCAACATCCTCGGGGGTTTGTTCTGCGCCGACCTCCGACCCCGCTGAGCTGTGTCTCCGATGTTCCACCTCTCCGATCTGCAGCACCAGGCTGGTAACCGTGGCGATGGCCTGGAAGAGGTCGTTCTCCACCAGGTCGCCGTGAAACATGCTGTAGAGCGTCTTACAAAACTGGATGAACTCACGCTGTGGAGGAGAAAGAAGAAGACTTTTTACTTTCTTTTCTTTTAAAGGGGACCTATCATGCAAAATGCACTTTTGTACGTCTTTTATACATGAATATGTGTCCCCGGTGTTCCAGGGAACTCACCAAGTGTCAGAAAACACAACCCTCTCTATTTTCCTCCATACCCAAATCTCTAAAAAAAGGGGCTGCAACGGATCTGATAAAAACTGATCCAGATTTGAACACTGTCCTGACGTCAGGACATTGCCGTTCGAAAGCGCTGGAGACGCTGTAGTACATATGCCAGGCCTGTAGGTGGTGCTGTTCTCACAGAAGCGTTAAAACCTTAACCTACTGGTTAGGGGTCTTGTCAAATATCTGGAACAAACTCCCAGAAACCTGCAGGTCCGCTGCGACTGACTACTTTTAAATCCAGGCTGAAGACTTTTCTTTTTGCCGCTGCTTTTAATTTAACTATTCACATCTCACGCTGCACTGTAACTTTTATTCATGTACCTGTTATTCATGTTTTATGATCTTTGATTGTTAGATTGTTTTTAAATGCCATTTTATAATAGGTTTCATTTTTGTAAAGCACTTTGAATTGCCTTGCGTTGAGAAGTGCTATATAAATAAACCTGCGTTGCCTTAAAAGTGTCTATTATTAATATTAATAATGATAATAATGAGGAGAAGAAGAACAATACAATATTTCTATTATACTATTTTTATTATTTTATACTGTATGTTGCATTTTTGGAGGAGCCTGGGATTACAGATTAAACCACCAATGGTATTAAGCCTTTCCCAGCATGCATTGGGTGAGAGACAGGTCATCAGGACTAACACACAGCGCCTAATTAGTCGTATTTGCTGCTGATTTCAGTTGATGTCAAGGTATTTTAAGGTATATTCTCTCCATTATTTGTTAAAAATCAGGATATGAAGTAAACGAAATACATACAGACTTATAAGGGGAGGCACCACTTGTATTGTGCATTAAAACTCTAGTACGGTGTGTTCCCAGTACCTGGTTCATGAGCGGCAGAGGCTTCTCCACATCTTTCTCTCTCTGTTTGACCAGATCCTTCAGCATCTGCTTCAGCTGCTCCTGGTAGTCCTTCACTTCTCCTTCAACATCTGGAACAGCAGTTTCAATGACGGCTACAGTCAGTAAAGAGAGCTACTGTTATGCTAACTGGATGCTGGCTAAATGTTGGCTTATAGTGTATATATCATGTTCCCTGTCTAGTGGCTTGTGTTACTATAGTTTAGTGAACAGACAGGAGATGGCTGACATCCAACACAATTTAGCATCTATCGCTGATGGTTGCTACGTCTCCCTCGTTTCCCTGTGAGTTTCAAAGAATACAATCCCAGGATGCTTTGTTTGTTTCAGTCATTGCTCATAGGAGTGACGTAGAGACATAACAGTGCATCCCGACCAGGTTTAAAAAGTGAAAAGTGAAAAAGTTAGGGCTACTCTCTCACTGTACAGGTTAAGTCAATAGGTTGCGCTCGCTAGCATCCTCCAAAGATGGACGACTTGCAGTGGATGACGTCACATTCTCATTCCCTATTGTGGATTTGATGACACAACAACAACAACAACAACGCCAACACGCTGTCACTATTTAGTTCTTGAGCTGGTTCACATGGCAGTGTGTGTGCACTGACCTGACGGCAGATTAACAAAGAGCGGTCTGTTTGTGGACACCAGGGGGCTCTTCATCAGAGAGGGGTCATCCTCATTTTCTGTCAGAGCTGCACGCACACACACACACACACACACAAAAGTAAATAAGTCAATTTCCAGCCCTGACAGCAGTTTGGATCTCATGACTTTCATCATGTAATTAACATAATGTGTGACCTGGTGGGATGTGCAGACGGTACAGCAGCCGGACCTTCTCATTCAGCTCCTCACAGTACAATGTGTCTGAGAGAGAGGGGGGGGGGGTAGTATTAAAACAAATCACATGTGCAACAGCTTCTAATTAAATGTTCCACGATGACACAAACATGCACACTACATGAATACATGAATACAGAAGGATATAAAAGGAGTCCCTAACCCCCTGCTGATCCGTCCCGTCTATTTGTTTGTTTAATACATTATAGCATCATTTGGCGAGTGACTTGTGAAATGTCTTGTTGCCTAAAAATGATGTTCGGTTTAAGCGATGATGGCAGGAATTCATCTCAAAGAGAGAAAAGATGCTATATGCCAGATTTGAGCAAATTGACTGTAATACATTTGCCAGAAAATAGTCCAAATGTAATTTACATGTATATAGAGCAGGGGCTTTTTTCACTGAGGGCCACACACAGAAAAATATACGAAGAGCTGGGCCACTCACTAGAGGAGAGGTATATTGCCTTATCAGTTAAGTTAAAGGTAGGGTAGGTAAGTTTGAGAAACCGGCTCGAGATACACTTTTTGTTATATTCCATGGAATGCTCTTAACATCCCGATAGCAATGAATATCTGAAGTGCTTTGACAAAAAATACATAAAAAAATGTCATCTGTGGAAGCCGTAGTACTGTAAAAAGCACGACCAATCATTTGAGCCGGCCTGGCTAAAATAACTGGATGGCCTACCTGCCTGTCAGCCTTCCATCTGTGCACAAACGTATCTCGTGCCCTCATTGGTCATGTGCGCGTTCGTGTGTGTTGGAGGAGGGGCTCTGTAAGGAAGTGGCAGATTTTCTCCGGTTGTGTATTTTCAAATTCTAGCGATCTCGAGCCGGTTTCTCAAACTTACCTACCCTACCTTTAAGTTAGCAAATTCAATCAATTGTCAAGGTAAATTATGCTTGACACTTGAATATGCTTTAAGAAACACAACAGCCTACATCACAGCTCTCCAGAGCTCATCCCTTAAAACAGAAGCTTCAGAGTGACTATAATAAGATGAAATATGAAGGGTAGATTTCAAGCTGGTTATGTAAATAAGTTATTGGGGTTTTTCATATCAACTAAGATTTGCTAGAAGGTGTTTCCAACTTGAATTGACTGAATTTATTTGAAAAGTGGGCTTATTAACACATGAATACTACTGTGTAATATATTTGTGCATATATATTTAAGAAGTACAATATAAGACAAGCACAAGTTTCATTTGTGGGCCGTATTATATTATACTTTTTTGAATTTGCTGAGGGCCGATTCAAAATGGGCCGCGGGCCGCATTTGGCCACCTCTGATATAGAGCATCCAAAATCGTCCTTCCTCCCCGTCCCCGTCCCCGTCCCCTCACTCACCCAGCCAGCCGGCGAACTCCCTGAAGGTCACCAGGTTATCACAGTTGTTGTCCAGCAGGGTGAAGGTTCTGTTGGCGACGGTGTCTGCGTGCTGCGAGGAGCCGGGCCACGGGGCCAGCAGCCCGTACAGGCTCTTGAACTGAGCCCGGTCCAGATGGTACTGCCGCTCCATGTAGGAGTGACCCGAGTCTCCGTACCGCCACGCAGCCGCCTCCGCCGCCGCCGCCGAGCTGCTGTCGCCCCAGTACAGACTGACGAAGTGCTCCGTCTGCAGGGAGGGAGGAGTAGTTCAAATACAGCTCGGAAAAAATACATATTCTACTCAATTTCAGGTTCATATCAGTATTTAGGGTCTCTACTGTGACATGTCTCCATGCTTTAATGTTCAAAAAGCTCTTATATACAACACTGTAATGTCTGTTTGCTCTAGAATGCATCACGGTTAATCATCTGTTTGTCTCTGTTGCTTTTAGGTCAATGAAATAAATGAAGGACAACTGGTGAAATACAAATGAGCATAATATAGCATATCTGGTTTCATATCAGTATGTAGTGTCTCTACTTTAAAGAGTCCTCTCCTGCTGATGTTCAGGTGTATATCAGTATGTAGTGTCTCTACTTTAAAGAGTCCTCTCCTGCTGATGTTCAGGTGTATATCAGTATGTAGTGTCTCTACTTTAAAGAGTCCTCTCCTGCTGATGTTCAGGTGTATATCAGTATGTAGTGTCTCTACTTTAAAGAGTCCTCTCCTGCTGATGTTCAGGTGTATATCAGTATGTAGTGTCTCTACTTTAAAGAGTCCTCTCCTGCTGATGTTCAGGTGTATATCAGTATGTAGTGTCTCTACTTTAAAGAGTCCTCTCCTGCTGATGTTCAGGTGTATATCAGTATGTAGTGTCTCTACTTTAAAGAGTCCTCTCCTGCTGATGTTCAGGTGTATATCAGTATGTAGTGTCTCTACTTTAAAGAGTCCTCTCCTGCTGATGTTCAGGTGTATATCAGTATGTAGTGTCTCTACTTTAAAGAGTCCTCTCCTGCTGATGATCATGTGTATATCAGTATATAGTGTCTCTACTTTAAAGAGTCCTCTCCTGCTGATGTTCAGGTGTATATCAGTATGTAGTGTCTCTACTTTAAAGAGTCCTCTCCTGCTGATGATCATGTGTATATCAGTATGTAGTGTCTCTACTTTAAAGAGTCCTCTCCTGCTGATGTTCAGGTGTATATCAGTAATGTAGTGTCTCTACTTTAAAGAGTCCTCTCCTGCTGATGTTCAGGTGTATATCAGTATGTAGTGTCTCTACTTTAAAGAGTCCTCTCCTGCTGATGTTCAGGTGTATATCAGTAATGTAGTGTCTCTACTTTAAAGAGTCCTCTCCTGCTGATGATCATGTGTATATCAGTATATAGTGTCTCTACTTAAAGAGTCCTCTCCTGCTGATGTTCAGGTGTATATCAGTATGTAGTGGTCTCTACTTTAAAGAGTCCTCTCCTGCTGATGTTCAGGTGTATATCAGTATGTAGTGTCTCTACTTTAAAGAGTCCTCTCCTGCTGATGTTCAGGTGTATATCAGTATGTAGTGTCTCTACTTTAAAGAGTCCTCTCCTGCTGATGTTCAGGTGTATATCAGTATGTAGTGTCTCTACTTTAAAGAGTCCTCTCCTGCTGATGTTCAGGTGTATATCAGTATGTAGTGTCTCTACTTTAAAGAGTCCTCTCCTGCTGATGATTCAGGTGTACTATCAGTATGTAGTGTCTCTACTTTAAAGAGTCCTCTCCTGCTGATGTTCAGGTGTATATCAGTTATGTAGTGTCCTCTACT